TGTTTACCTCAAACAATTTTCGTCAAAATGTAGTATTCAAATTCCTTTATAAAAACAAAAACTACCTAAAACTCATTTAATTAACCTATTGTTAAATTTTCAAGCATTTCTGTTAAGTCTAACAATTTTACCACAGAGTAATTTTACCTACCGAATTAGAATTACGAACAAAACTCGCAAAATTAAAATGTCTATAAATAGCTCAAAAATGGCTTGAATTTTTTGAAAATTCTACCACCTCTAGAAAAGGCAAATATTAATTTTCTGTCCGAATTTCAAATCTCTGCGAATTTTTTAATTAAATAACAACAAATAATTAATAAAAAAAATAAACACTTTAGTAAAACCAATACATTCTTCGCTACACTCGGAATCTAAAAGTAAGAATTACATTTTTTATTAAGTTGAAGTTTTCTGTTGGTTTTTAATATTTGATAGTATTATTTGCATATCATATTTTATTTATAAATATATATCTTATAACTTTTGGTATAGGTACGCGCATAGCACATATCTTATACACATACAATTTTTTAAGGCTAAAATTTTAGTTAAACCAAAGTTTGACTAACCAACTTAGTAAAACTTCTATGATATAATAAATAGAATTAGTTCAATAGTCTATTCACATCACTAAATCATTATTTCGTATTATGTTAGGAACTAAATGAGTTTGACCGAGAATGGTATACAGCTGTAATAAACGACAGAAATAAAATAAAAAAGAGCTGATACTGAGGATGGGATGTATTTATTTCAATATTATGATTTTTTTTTTTATCTGTAAACAACTTTTTAACCAGAAATCCTGATCTAATCAAAAAACCACCAAGAAAACTTGTTCGTAACATTTAGGTCAGTCTTGGATCTAATTGGTACATTGAAAAAACCGTTTTTTATTTTCCATGTATTTTACGGGCTGCATCATCTACTATCAACGCCATGCCATGTCATGGGATCCTGGTACACAGGTCATGGTTTCGACAACGTCGTCATCGCAGGCTCCGCCCCCGTGGCGTGGCCAGTGTCACTGTTAAAGGCCGGCCGACCTGTGCCAACATACTAATACTAAAAGACCAGTAGATTAAATCCAACAACCGATTTTCCATCAGAAAATGTCTTGTTATATAATTACAGTTTTGATGAAATTCATCAGTACTATTAAGAATCATTGTTCTTTTTATTAGTATTACTTAGTTATTATAACTTTTTCTATTTCAAAACCATTGGCAATATTATACAATAAAATTTTTGGGACAGGTGTTTTTCCAACTGCATTTAAAAAAAAACTATTGTTCAACTAAATTATGGACCAATTTATTTAACATTAACTTCAACAAACATTTTAGACAATTTTACTGAAGTCAGGAAACTTTTTTTTAAACATATTTTTTTCTTGTATACAATCTGGTTTTAGAAAAGGATTGACTACTATTAGTGATTTATTTAAAATTACTAACTACCTATATATGTTATGATAAAATTGAGATTTTTTTTGTGTATCAAAAAAAAGATTTTACACTGTATATATTGATCTTTTAATAAGAAAATTAAAATATGTTAGGATTTATTTTAGGGAAGATTACTTAAGTGGTAAAACTCAGATACACGACCTACATGGCTTCGTGGAAGCAATCAAGTAAAAATAAATCGTTTGAACTTCCTCTCTGAATGCGTTTTTCGAATGGGTTCGGTAACGAATGTTTGAAAAAATCAACAACTAAATTTGTCACTACTGATCAAGTTGATAAAAATGCTGAATTTTCAGTGCGAGAAATGATTAAAAAAAATTCATGAGGGCAAGGATTTTTGTCTTGTTCGTGTAAGGCGAAAACTCCTTGCTAATCAAGTAGGTATGTTTGTTTAAAAATTAATATACTATGTAACAGTCGATCTCATAATCATTCGTCATGTAAAAATAAATAATACGGAAGAAAAATATATAGGTATAGTTTATTAATTATAGTTTAAATCAAATTAAATATCAAATAAAAAATTAATTCAATAATATGGTTTAAGACAATAAAGAAAAGTATAGAAGTTAATAATATAATTTATTGTTAAATAAAAAATTTTGTTTTATAATAATTACACACAAAGTGTACAATAGGTATATAGGTGTATTGTTCATTTCATGAAATGGATGTCCATATAATGTATTTTCGTCAAAATTCACGATCTGGACGAATTTCACTATGTGGATATCTAGTTCAGGAAAATAGCTTATTATAGCGTATTATAGCGTAAAATAGCGTATTATTACTTGTATTATTATTATTCTCCAAGTAACCAGAAATGCATTGTAAACAATTTTTTAACCAAAAACTACTTCAATCTTAAAACAACCTAGAGAACTTTTGTGTAATATTTTGGTCATTTTTTAGATGGTGCAAGCCGTTTTTATTTTTTTTTGTATTATACGAGGGACATCATCTGCTATCACCGCCGCCGCCGCCGCCGCCGCCGCCGCCGCCGCCGCCGCCGCCGACGCCGCCGACGCACCGTGCTATACCATGGGATCCTGGTACACAAGTCGCGGTTTCGACGACGTCGTCACCGAAGGCTCCGCCCCGCGGCGTGGCCAAACATCGCTGTCAAACGCTAGCCGCCCGGTACCGGCGTAACAAACAAAAAGACGGACAACTTCGCACGATGGATGCAGCAACTCTTATTGGTAAGAAGTTGGTAAGGTACGATACAAAAGGGAATTTAATGTATCTGTTAGCAACGATAAACCTTACGAAAAAACGATTCTGAACGGGACTACAAAGATACAAAAATTCTACAAAGTTAATCAAGAACGACTTCCTTTTTCACTAACTGAATTCAAAATTCAACAAAAAAGATCTCTTGATGTTTTTTTTATTGGAGCATTATGTATTGTAGAAAATATTAGCCATACAAATTTAAAATAATGAATAAATTTGTCAGTTTTAATTTTATGTTTTTTTTTTTCGGTTTTTTCTTAAGTTTTAATAAAACTACAGAGAAAATCAAAACGAATAAATTACTCATGAACCAGATTAAAAATACAACAAAAAAGATCCTTGGTCGTTTATCTATTGGAGCAATATTCATGGAAGAAAACATAGTCTGTACGAATTTAAAACAATAAACCATGCCGTAATTTGAAAAAAATCGTAAATTTCATCCTTTTTGATTTTTCCTAATTATTATTAATAATACTTTAGATATCAAAATCTAAATTTAGATTTCTTTTGCAGTGACTATGTGTTAAAATATCTTGTCATTTTTCGATTGGAGTAATATTTCTGATAGAAAACATCGTGTAAAAATCATAAAAATTATGAAAAAAGTAACGCCAAGGCATAACGCCTCGTAAATGATTGCCGTTTTATCTATAATTTTTTTTTTGTTTTTCCCGATTATTTCGAAAACCCCTTAAGAAAACCAAAAAAATGACCTTCTCAATGCACCAACGAGAAAAAATTAGAAAATTAACTTTTAGAAAAGGTACTATAGTCTATACTTTGGCGCATATTCTCTGGTAGAAAGGCTGTTCAAAGGCAGAAAAAAAAATAACTATTAAATTGCATATTTAATACGATCAAATATTAGGGGATTTAATTACATGCTTGAAATGAAAGAGTAACTTACCCTGATAAGTCATGTCAATATTTATATAATGAACGGGCAGCTTTTTTTTTTTTTTTTTTTATAGTTCATTATAATGTTATATTATCTAGTTTTTAGTAATTTACGTCAACCGATAAAATTATACACTACTAAGAAGGAAAATCGGAATAAACAAATAATTTTGTGATAAAGATTCAACGACGCGATGGTAGTACTAAATCAACTGTGTTTTGGACGGAAAGCAATGGCGGAAGTACACATATTAAAAAACAATGATCTCACCAAGTAGTGATGGACGGAACAAACTAGTATTGACCATCTATTGTAAATCGATATTTTAAAAAACGACCGAGTGATTTATCAACTGAATAGATAGTTTTATCCGTAGGTTGTTTTAATAACTATCGAATGAATTAGTCTTTAGATTGCATTTAGTAGGAACACCGACCGATTTTGACTATCGATAGTTTTTAAAAACAACCGAGTGAATAGTTTTTAACTATCGAGTAGTTCGATTCCGTATTAATGGAATAATCGGAATTTTACCATAATATGACATGTATATATTGTTGACAAAGCAGCACTATCAACTGAACTCCGCTCAGAATCGTTTTTTTTTGTTAGCAATGGTTTACCGTTGCTTACAGGTGTACACTAAATTACTTATAACAGTGGCTGCACCCGTCTCCGTCATCCTAGGACGTTTTTTTTTTCTTTATTATTAATATTATATACAAGGTGGACCGACATTGTTTAACAAATTCAATAGGTCACTTTTGTTCAATGGAATGTTTAACTTTTTTTTTTTTTTTTTGTCCAAATAAAAATCATTGCTACTTTTCCAAAACCTTAAAGTTTAATCGTTCAAAATATTTGTTCAATTCTGATAGTTGTCAAATAGCATTTGGATAATTACGAGGGTATAGGCGGGTTGTAATTTAAAATCTGCGACACGTTATCCGTTAGCCCGTCACTGATTGTATCACGGCGCCACTCGAGTTTCGCAATTCGTGTACGTAAGCGTAATCTCACACGATAGGTATTTATTTTCGATATTTTGACGAATATTCGAAATAAATCGGTTCAGTGGTTATGAACGGCGCACAAAACGGCGAAACGTGCGCGATAATGGGCGAACCGCAGGCGGCCGCGCCGCCGAGCACATGGTCGTACGCGCGACCGCGGCAGGCACGTGTACGACAGCGTGGACGGCGCGGCGGCGGCCGCGTTCCCCCACGGTCGGCACCGGGGTACGTGGGTTACCGCGCGACGGCCGCCGTCGGCGACGCCGCGCCGGTGAACGCGTCTTCCCGCCGCCGCTCCTCCCCACTACGGCAACACGTGTTTGGCCGTGGCCGGGCGGAGGTGGCGGCGATATCGATTGTCGATCGCGCGCGCCGGCCGACACGTCCGCGCGAACAGACCGCGTACCGTACCGTCCGTCCGTACACCGACACCGTTGTCGTCGTGCGTGTGCGCGACACGCGAACCGGTGAAACGCGCACAGCGCAACATACGATTACGGTTAATTAATTTGCAACGTTCGTTTTGCGATACGCCGCCGTCGTTATCAGTTCAATTATATAATACTGGAAACGGACGACGTGCACGCGCGTTGTTGTGCAATCGTAACGTCCGGCTGTAATTACGCAGACGTTACGGTTCCGGGAGACGTTGCGACCAGCCGTGTAGAGTGACCGCGCGCGGTGTGTAGCGTGTACGTGTAGTGGCGGTAGGCCGCGAGGAGGGACAGGATTTACACGGCCGACCGCATGGACCCTTGGCTCGCATCCAGACACCGGAACGCGGCTCCGGAATACGAAAGGTAACGGGAACAGAGGCGGAGAGACGCGTATTGGGCTATCGGCAAAACTGGCCCAGGGCCCAAAGGCGTGTCTCGGAAGTGGGCGCGGGATTTTGTGCACAGTAGAAATACGGCGTTATTTCGGCGGCAATAGAACCGCGTTGACCGTAAGAGCGGGAACTTGCGGGTGACCAAAGGCGCTGAAAAGACTTGTTACACGGCCCCGAACTCGTAGTCCGTGGCCCTCTGTCGTTTTCGAGGTGCGCGTAGTCGCAGTGTGTGCAGTTGGCGGGCGGGGGGGGAGGGCGGGGATATGCGCGACGTCCACGTTTTCCCCGCGTACGGCTGAAAGTATTCCGGTCCGTAACGCTCGCCCGACGGGAAATTCTTCATAACACTCGTCTGCCCAATTAACAACTATACGGGTGGGTACCTATATAGCGTTACGTAAATGTCTATACGGTTTTTCGCGCGCCGGATAATTGGCGCTCCGGGCTAAATCCGTCGGTAATTGGACTCCGGCAACCTTCGATGACGATGGAGGGGGGGGTCGGGCGGCAGGGGATGAAGATTGTATCAAATTCGTCTATTACGCCAATCGCGTTTTTCCATTCTTATTACCCCCTTTGTTTCCGAATAGCCACTTTGCCGGTTACCTATCCGCCCGGAACGCTATCTCTGATCTCACTCTCGAGTATGTTATTGACATCGTAAATCTCGGTAATCTAGGCGCCCGCATACTACAATGCATACGCTGTTGAACGGACTTTATTATGTCAATCCGGTGCTCCGATTGGTTGTATTTTGTTTGACCCGTTCGAGATAGCACAGTCAAATGACAGAACTAACGCGGAACTGATAATAAAGAAGAAATACCATTTTCGTTATTCGATAAATAATAATGTACATAATATGTAATAGAATACAGGTACGCGGACGAAGTTGAGATAATTTTAAAAAATATATTCAACTGTGGTTTTAATTAAATTCGTGTATTTAAAAATATTGTGTTCATTATTGTTTGTACACGTATGTTTGCGTGGAAAAAGTATTTTAAATAGATAGTCGCTTTTGCTCTCGCAATCTGCCTTTTATTAACACAATGTTTACAAACCGCTTGACTAACGAAAAAAAAAAATTCTTCCAGTGTTAAGTTGTGAGAAAACGTGTTCCTATCGTGGAAACAAACAAATAATATGATCAATATTACTTGTCGGTTTTTACAAATCAAATCGAATGTAAAGGAAAAAAAAAAAAAAAAATATTAGTTAAATTTATATTATTAAACGCGGGTCCGTGTCTTATTGCATTTATTTGTAATAAGATTCCGTACGAGGATTTCGAATGAATATAATATAATCTAGTCCTCCAAATTCTGATTGTTTCATTTCTTCCATACAAGAAATGTTTGACCTTTGTCGTCGTCTTCGACAACTTCGTTAACGTGAGAAATTGGAAATATCGTTTTAATTATAACGAGAATTATGACGTAATCATATGTGTGTGTGTGTATAATATTCTACTTCAAACAATCGAAATCATTTAGTATTTCAGTTTACACACTGATAACGAAATGATACCGAACCGTGAGAAACCGGAACCTGGATCGAGGCACAGGCATAATTACGGTAATGTTTGTACGGACGGCCGCATTAATACGATCGCCGACCGCCATAATATACCAAGTGATCCATTTAAGCGAGTACACTTATTATCTCGGAAAGTATTGACTTTTTTTCCGGAATTTATTTTCCAGAACGTTTAAGAAACAAGCGGCTGTACAGTTTTATGTCAATGTTATTTTTCGTCACTCCTATTTTCGGGGGTGAAATCACTCTACCTACTTTTGATTTTCAAACGTCACCTGTGTATAAAAAAAAAAAAAAGTCGGTAAATAAACGGAGTATTAGTGAAAATAAATTTTGGTGTCGACATTTTTGATTTCCGTCAACCCGTCGACGAGATATTCCACTTTTAAGTTAGTGTTGGAAGCGAGTAACGATGCATTATTACGGTCACACAAATGACACTTAAATGGATCGCCTGGAACTATTGTGTTATACGAAACGTGCGTAGATAACTCGTACATAACTCCGAATTCCCGGGACGCCCCAATGACCCGTGCAGCATCGGAAATTTATCTGCGAGCGGCGACGGCGCCCCGGCACTGCATAGAAACACGCCGCGGGTTTCTACGGTTTAACACGTTTCTGTTCGTCGGAAAAATTCGCTGGCGCGTACGGGTGCACCGCCGCCGTGTACACGTCACGTTGTACCGAACGTGATGTTTCCTTACACGTTATTATTAAGCGTTTTCATACCGAATCCGCGCGTCACCGGCTAGATAACAATAATAATAATAATAATAATAATAATAATAATAATAATATGTAGATAATAAACGCTCGCGCTCGTTCTAAATTCCACTCGTCCACGGCCCGACGAAGCGGAAAAAACGCGCGCGCCTACCATCCCCACGCGACGAGGCACGGTTGACTCGTTGCCGCCGCCCGATGTGCGTACGTGTCAAGGTCACGGAGAACACGACTCGAATTTCGCAAAGTCCCGGCTATCGCTCCCGGCCACCCTACTCCCTATTCTCTATGTCGAATTCTCGAAAAATTAAGACTCCGGGAAACGATGCTGATGTTTTATCGCTCCGCCCCGCCCCACACCACCACATTCACACACACACACACACACACACTGTATTTTTGTCGAAATAATAAATTATAATAGTACAATTCGTTTCATACAATACGTATCAAAATATTCCAATATACAATAATGCGTTGCTGTTGCTAGATAATAGTGTGAACAATAGTAATAGTAATATCAATAGTTTTTATGGTTTTTGTTGTTTTTAACAGTTTTTATTGTTTGTCGGTTTTAACTGTCCCGCGCACGGCGTGTCCGTGCCAATTTTTGTAATTTTTTTTTTTTTACCCATATTCATTTTTGGTTTTGACCGCGTCAGAATCGAATGATAACAAATAGGTAGAACCTATTAGGGGTGTAATTTTGAAATAAAAATAATATTGCAGCCTTCCTCGATAAATGCATTATAGTACAATAAATCCATTACGAAAATTAATTTTTCAATTCGAACCAGTAGTCCATGCGTTTTGTGACAGACGAAGTCAGTTTTCGGTTCTGGTCCCTACAAATTGCGCTTTAATCCGATCTTGTGTGAGAGGAATTCCTGTGTCGTTATGCGTTTTTTCATTCCTCATTAACCACGGGACCAAGAGTGTCATATACGTAGGGAATTTGTCCCAGAGGGTTTTGATTTTTGTTTGGATTTTCGTGGGGCAAGCTAATGCCTGATACGGGACAAGCGTTACAGATCAGCGGCCGGATCGTTGAAGCTTATGTAACTGAATTGAGAATTTTATTCGGAGTGTGGATTTGTTACTGACCTGCAGGGGATAATGACGCACGGCAATACCGCAATAGTCGTCTGGGCCAGCTACAATGCGATTGAAAACGTTTTGAGACCCGTTTTAGCGTACGGCTGAGAACGCTCGAAACGAAACAATGAAATAATCAATTACTCAGGAAAAAAAAACAAAACAAAACAGTATTGTTGAGAACGAAATTGTGTGCAACATTGCCGGACTATATTCAAATCAAAACTCGTAAATAAATGATGAAAAACTCGTGCAAAATGTCTAATAAAACGGTATTTGTGGGAGTTTAAAACAATCAAGTTTCCACTGCGTTCATAGGATGTAAGTCTAGTGTTATTTTCCACAAAAATGTAAACATAAAATATTTCCACATAATACGGGAAACCACGTATTGAGCGACGCAATAACGCGTAGGTATGTTTTTTTATTATTCGTTGCAACTATAGACACACGAATATATTAATATATTTATGAGACGACGGTCGCGAACAATTCGTAATCGTTGCATTTATGCGGATTATCGTTAATGATGGACTCGGTAGCACGCAATCACAAACAACAATAGGTTTAAATGATTTGACTCGATTACGATACAAGAAATACGTCGAGTTGAAACATACTTTTTTTTATCTATATTTGCGAACACTTAATGGTTGAACTTTCAGACGGCCACGTACATATTTGGCGACGTCTGGTGGTCCCGTTTTCAATTGCAAAAACCGAACGTTCCCAATCGATATATTCAAACGGATCTAAAAATGGTATCGACGATAATAACGACCGTTCTCAATCGTACTACTGCCTACTACTGGCTGTACGCCGCGCGCCGTTTTCCGCGTCTCGGTCGTCAAACGAAAAATGCTCGGGCCCTGCGGAAATCGTACGCGACCGCTACAACCGACCCCGCGCACCACCGTAGTGTATAACATTGTCGTGTACGAGTTTTATTCGGGTTGGCCCATGTCGGCTTATCGGTGTAACGGCAGTACCGTTGAAATACCGTCCGACCGACGGCAATTACGTAGCGCGGCCGCTTTCCAAAGCGCTTAATCGAAACGCGCGGTCGTAACGACAACGGTGCGATATCGTCGTGTACCTAAAGCGTTTGCCGTCGCGTTATGCATTATATCGCAATACAATTGTCTTGAATCCAGTCGATTGCGACATGCGTCCGGTGTCTCGACCGGGTCCGGGTTTATCGCCGCGCGGCGGAATCGCGTTTCAACAATCCGTTTTTTCATCGGTAAACAACTATTATACGAAAACACTGTTGTCATCATGCGTTTCCGGCGACGTCCCACGCGTCTGTCACTAGGCGCCCTGGCGTATAGCTGCGCCGGCCACTGCCGACCGACGGCGGCCGTGTTCTATTCGCGCCGTACGCGCGCGCCGAGTGATGAGACCCGGTAATTAGAGTGGAAAGCCGCCGGTGTCCCGTTGGCGTATGACCACGGAGCAGATACCGGTAATGTTACAATCGGAAGTGGCTACGGACTGAAAAGGCCGATTTACGCGGTACCGGGCGTTGCCGTCCGTCACTGAATACCAGCGAACGTTTCACGTCAGTTGCCGGCTAAGCCGGTGTGCGGTGCAGCGAGCCACCGTCGCGCGAGCAGCGTAGATAACGTATCCGTGGACGGGACATCCCTATACCTAACGCGCGCGGTATTATCCGGCGGACTGTCCGGCATATTGAGTTTAGGAACCTTAGATCATACACACTGGATCTCTGTCCGAATCCTCGTTATCCGTGGTTGGCGTATGAAGGTCGCGTGCTAGTTAGCTGGAGTTGTGTAGAGCCGATAAGCCGGCGTTCATTCGAGTTGTCACACGCTAGTGGCCTTCCACTAGTCGGCTCACCAGCTAGCACACCAGCCACTGACACCGTGTAAATTAGTCTTATGATATGTCTTAAGCCTCGTGTGGCTGCACCGTCGTTTATTACGTTCAAATGAAGTAAAACATGTTTGGCATTTAAATAACTGTCGATGTTTGGCCAATTTTCGGGGTTTTGATGCAAGAAGTTCAGTCTTAGCTGGAACCGTTGGAATATATTTTTCGATTTAGATATCAACGATTCAACTGCAATCGTGAATCTTCTTTAATTTTTTAAATTTTTGTATTAAGTTCATCGTCCTCGAGTTCCATATTTTCTAACAGCCCTTTAGCCGTGTGTTATTTTACATTATTATCAATTTTGTCATCAAACAACGAACGGCGTTTATTTTTGATTAAAAGTCTGACACTAGCAAGCGAATGGCCTCGAGACGAAACAGTTTTACTACTATTATAATTACTACTATAAATACCGTATTTCAACATTCTATTTGAATAACGCGCTTTTTTAAATTGATCGATTTAGAAATCGTGTTTTACCGCGCAATTCAAATTAGCCAATGACAGCAGCGTATTCATAACGTGGTGCTAGGACTATTAGTATAGGCTTTTATAAAACGCTCCCTGTTAGTTTTCACCGAGAACCGCACCGAAAATGTAAAACGATAAGGAATCAGATGAGTCTTTATTGATGTACTGATTTCTAGCTTACGGTCAGAACTGAAGCTACCGATCGCGATGAAATTCGGAACTGATCTTCTGAACACCGAATAACAATATATTAACTCCCTCCCCCAAATTTAAAATTTTCCACCCGAATATTCCGCGACTTGGGCGAATTTTACTGTTTTCTAGTTAAAAATGGCTGTAGTAGAGGTTTGGTTTGGACTGCGTCGGCCGGCGCACGAAATATTTCCTTTATTAAACTTTCGTCGGGAAACTATTTTACTGCAATACAATAGACTATGTAATATTAATAATTATTTCAGTACCTTTTTTCCGTTATAACAAACAAAATTAATTATCCAATAATTTACCAATTACCAAGCATCTATTCTCTTATCGTGTTTACGTGACGTTTCAATCGTGATTTATTCTATGTGTGTGCAATGTGCACACACGTGCGGTATATAATGACACGAAATAGATTTTATCTACATGATGTATAAAAGCGAGAATCGAAATCTTTGTCACGGATTAGCTCTAAAACTACTTATTCAATCGTCATGCGGTTATTTTTTTTTTAATGATAGAGTATATCGCGGAGAAACTATTTTGAGCCTATTTCCTATATACGTTCGTATATTCTATACGTTAATTAACGATCGAGTTTTTAATTTTTAAAATAATCGGCTAATACGCACATCTATATAATATATAGAAATGAATCGATATTTTTTTGCTAACGCCGTAGCTTGGAAACGACTGGAGTGATTTTAACGTGCTTTTCAGCGAAATGTTCCGCGTTGTCCGGAGAAGGTTTATAGCTGTAAATATTAAACATAAGACCGAGCTAAACAAAATAAATTTCGATTTCAAAACATTCTTTTAACTATTCTATACTTAAAAATCACTATAAAATAAACTCCGCTCAGAATCGTTTTTTCGTTAGCAATGGTTTATCGTTGCTTACAGATATGCATTAAATTCCCTTCTGTTTTCCACCTTCCCAACTTCACACCTACAACAGTGGCTGCATCCACGTTCGAAGTATTTCCGTCTTTTTACATTTACGTATAATATTATAATATTATTTTTTAAACATTAATCACTGATAGTAAAACAATGGTTTTTATGTATCAGCGAGAAACTAGACACCGTACATCGAGCAGCTTCTTGCTGTTATCTACGGCAAGTGGCGTATACGCAATAACTACGCTATTAATACGTTAACCTTCCTTGTAAACAAAAACGTGGACTCTAACTTCATAATTAATAATTATTACTGTAATCAAATAATATTTTTAAGAACAGATTCTTGCATATCGAATTGTATTGAATACATATTTTAACAATTTTATTACTATCTACACTGGTACAGTGGTATAGTGGTATCTACGTGACAAAAATGCGCGTAGGCGCAGAGACACGACTAATCGAGGTTTTGATCAGTTTAACGGTTATCCAGTGCTCGAATTGGAAAAATAAAAAAAGAGGGACTGTAAGACTTAAAAAAATTGACATTCTTTGTAATTTTTGAACTCAAACTAACCCGTAGTGGGCTTTTCCTCTCACACAAATTGTTAAACATTATTCAGTACTTTCATTATCCTAGTTCATAATTTCCGAAAAGAAAACACTACTGACAGTCAGCTCCTCAAGCAAATTTTTGCTTGCGTAACAGTAATAGTTTAAATTCTACTATATGATGATTAGTGGTTACAAATATGATTTATTAATATGTATTATTGTTTTTTCAGTATGTGAACAACATTTCTGCCAGAAATCTTACTCCAATCATCAACTTTAGAGGTGATGGTTCATAGTAAAAACTATTGTCGTTGATGTTATGTGGAGGTTATTTTTTGTAGTTTTCTTAATTGCCTTTGAACAAAGAAACCCTTGAACAAACTTTTAACATTTACACACTAACGATTTCTGTTTTGCTCAGTTTTGTTTGTTCAGAGAAAAATAATCATATTGGTCGAAAATTGTGCGGACTAATAATTTAAATATAGTCTCGTATATATATGAATACAGCTGTTTTCAGACATGGTAAAATTTTAAAATCATTCTGGTAAAAACGGCCAGGGGAAAATCACTACTCTGTAGTGATCGTCAATTCTCATTTTATCTGCGTTCCTTGAAAACAAATTGTAGAAGTAAGCTTAAATTTCTGGAAAATTAATTAAGGTATTCCGTCCTCCTGCGTCCCCCTCAATTCAAGCACTGCGGTTATCTATTACTATTATATATACGATGTGTTTTTTTTCCATTACATTTATCCTAATTACCTATATATTATGTGCGGAATATAATAGTAGGCGACTTCGAAAATACGGAACAAAAGCAGAATAAATATAATAGGACCTAGCATATAGGTATTGTATTTTTGTTTCTTGTTTTTTTTTTTTAAATTTTAGATAGTATTATTTAAACAAAACAATGCTAACATTGGAACTTTCCTAAACATTTTATTTTTATGTACCTACACAAAATAATAATAGTAATTTTTATCGTAACTTTAAATCGATGAAATAAATAATATTATACGAGTTTGTGAGGATCAAAACAAATAAATTACTTATTTGTGAAACAATAATAAATTATAGTAAATGTTAGATTATGAAACTTTGAACTGGTTTAATAGAAATCGATCAAATTAATTTTAAATTCTCGATGGTTTTGATCTTTTCAGTTTTTATTTTTTTTGTTTACACTAATCTTTTTGCACTATATTATAACGGTAATAATATTTCTTTACAGTATACAGTGACGTGTTACATTTTACTATTTTGCTAATATTTGTACCATAATATAGGGAATTTTTCAACCGAATGGTGGTAAAATTATTTATTTAAATATCACTACAATAAGATCATCTGTTTCACGCATATATTTTCTATTTGAGATTATATGTATATTTTATAAAGTATGCAGATGCAGCTATATTATTGAAACTGTTTTATTTTTTATTGGTTTTCTCGTATGCTTTTTTTTTCAGTCTGTAATTCGGTTAAAAATATAACTGTAGAGACTTGAATTTTTGATAGAATAGGTACTTTATAAGTCCTTTCTAGACGTGGTAAAATTCATGAAAAAGATTGTTTTTTAAATCAGTATCTCAACAAATTGATAATAATAATTAATACGTTACATAATTTACCTTTAATCGTATGAATTAAATCGGTAAGTCATTATTTTCTTGAACGTAATAGTATACTCCGGAACCTAAAATCCGGACCGCACTAATCGAGAACGTAATATCCTGGAATATAAATGTATGGAACGTAAAACCCGGAATATAAAGTCTTAAACGTTAATATTTCTGATTGCAATATTCCAGAATGTAAAATCACGGACTGCAATAATCAGGAACATAAAAACCCGGAGTATAATATTCTGGAATTTAATAAGAACCAATGATTACCAAATCCTTGCTACAGTCATTGCTATAACGACGCAATACACGACATTATTCCAGCGCTTAGACGGCGGCGAATATTCAAAAATATTTCACAATACATTGATATTTTTCTGGAATTTACGTGCTCCGGATTATTGCACTCTGTGATTTTATGTTCTGAATTAAGCCCTTCTTCAAATCGTCCGAGGTTTAGTTTTGAACCTAATAAAGTCGTGCGAGCAAACGGAAATATCGTTTTTTTTTTTTTTTTTGTTTTTGTGCTCCATAATTTAATGAAAATATAATTTATTCACAATTCACGTTATTCACATTGATATGACACGATACTCACGTCCATAACTATTATATTATTTGTTATTATAAGTTATTATAGATAAGTAATACTGATGTATTATTTATCTATGTGCAATACGATCGAAAATGTGCGAAATTCGTACAATATTCTGTGTTCGTCTATTATTATGTATTATATAATATTTTACATGAATGTTCCAAAACAGTTAATTTTGTATTCAATCGAAACGACGGAAATAGTAGTTACCTATTTAAATGTTGGTAGATTCAAATTTAGACACCAAAATTTAGGGTTTTACCATTATAATACATAATATGTAAATAAGTATAGGTGGTAGGTACAATCGATCATTTTATAATTATCAACGCTATTATTATTATGCTTTATTTAGCGCGAAACATCGTTTTACACGGAAAACGATACACACACTGTTTTCAATAATAATATTATTAGCCATGATATGGATATTTATGTAATAATTACAGTGGAATTAATAATAAATTTAAGAAATTAATTCCCGTAGAGTCATATGAAAAAAAAAAATCGGCCCCCCGTAATTGACGTCTGACTTAATGTCGGACAGGGCTTCGTAAAAATTGATACCACGATTTATCTAAATACCCAGTATTGCAATAGAAATAGAAATAAAAGAGCCGATACTTGTGATGGATGTTACATTATTGAAGTAGGAAAAGTAGGATACATAGAGCAGGCGCGTCCCTGAGAGGGGGGGGCGATCGCCCCCCCCCCATAAGTCGTGTGATGTTCTTCTTTATTATACAAAATATCTATAGTTCTTAATTACAAATACGTTAAAACGCAACTGGTTCCAAATGTCATAAAGATGATTCCGTAATGTAATAGTATATACTATTGTATTATGAAAGTTTAATCTTTATTGGGATCTGATCGCAATAAGGAAACTAATGTAACTAAAATAATAACATTATTTTAAAATTGTTTTATTTTTTAATTATAAATAAACACATTTGTTCCTTGTAATTTTAAATAAAATGTATTAGCTAGTAAAAATATTTCTACTCATTATTCGTTATATGATAAAATTATAAATAAAATGTATTATTATTAAAATATATGTGGCCTACAACAACTTTTTATTACATGATGTAGCCCAGCTGTTTTCATAAAAGGTTGGACACACCTATCAAAGGTTAAGATTGAGGGACTACATGGCTTAGCCTCCAAAATCATCCGTACTCTATTTTGTATAATATTAAGCCAGTTTTAAGGCAGTTTTCTCCGATTTTGTAATATTTGAAAATTATTTTTAACATTTTAATAACCTTACCTTAAGGGAATTGGAAGTGGTAATTTCTCGTATTTTCTGTTAGATTTGAATATGTCATTAAGACCGATTGAAATTGATTTTTCCACCTGTTTGATTTTAATTTTTCCAAAAATTAAAGTATTCCATTGTTCATATGAATATTCAGAATATTTTAAGATTTAGTGAGATAAAATCAAAATTGCGGGAAAGCGTTCTTAAGTAACTTGAAGGTAAATTTATGTCTGTTTAAAGTATTCTTATCACTTCACATACCTTCATTTACCTGCAAGACTTATATTTTTTTTTTTTTTACAAAATATACGGTGATTTCAGTCTTCTACTAGGCGAATATAGTTTCTAGCACTGCAAAAGTATGTCGAATCTTCGTCAACACTTTAAGACATAGCAAAAATGTACTTATTGAAGACCATTTATTTTCTCGAAATTTAAACTAAAGGGTTATAGATGTTAAATATTTTGTGAATTATGAAACTTAAAACGGAATACATGAGGCAATCGTCCCATTTAATCCCCCCCCCCCCTACACACATACACAGGGACGCAATTGATTAAACCTATTTTAATATTTCGAAACACAAAGTACGACTTATAATGAACCTCAAGTTAAATTGTCAAGCATTTCTGTTGGTTTCACAATTTTATCCACAGAATACTTATCAAATTAAAATGTCTATAAATAGCTCAATAATTTTACTGAAATTTTAGCTAACAATTTGACCACGTTTAGTAAAGGCAAATATAAGTTTTTCTGTCCAAATTTCAAGTTTATACGAATATTTATAACTGAATCACAACAAAAAAAAAAAAAAAATTGAAAATAATACATTTCGTAAATTGTTCCGTTTTTTTCCCAATTATTATAAAAACCGCCTGGAAAATCAAAAAATTTGTCGAATTTGTGCGAAATTTTTGGTATTGAAGGGTTGTTCGCAGTACAAAAGAAAAAAAAATATCATTGTAAGACTAATACATTCCTCGCTACGCTCAGTATCTAAATGTAAATAATCGCATTGATAATATCCCCGATTAAAATATTCGACCGATACGGGATAATATTATAACGCGTTCGTAATGAAATCGATAATAATATGGTTTTTAACCCCCTTCCCGATTGCATTGACCAGTGTGGGCAGTGGCTCGTGAGTTAACGGCCGATTTCCGAGAAAAAGCTTGACGTGTATTGATTGGAAATTGGCTTTTTTTTTTTTTTTTTTCTGTTTTTCTCTCGAAGGCGTTTCAATTACCAATTGCCACAGTCGAGTCGGGTAGAAAAGACGGTATTACTGTTTGTTCACGATTTTTGTCCGTTGCGCGCCGTCCCATTTAAAATTCCCGGGCACGGCACCGTGCGTAGGCGCACAATGCGGCGCTATTGTTTATACACGCGATCGTTCCGGGCTGGACGGACGTTCGGCGTGCCGGGAAGCCGGGGAAAACCCGGGGTTCGCGTCGACGTAAATAACGACAGCGAACGGTGATATAATAATATTATTATTATTACGGCGACGATCGAAGGGGTAGTTTTCGCCGGAATGCGGCGGTACGCGTTACGCCCCGCCGCGCGTCGGGATCGCGCGCGGGTGTCGTCGTCGCTCACACGGCCGCGTGTCTGTTGTCTGTCACGTTGCGCGTGAACGCTAAACATAGAACGCCTTTACCGGGGCGAGGGACTGTCGACTCGTTTCGCCGCGGCGATCACGTTGAACGGGCACGCGATAAAACGAATCGAGTTACCGGAATAATAATAATAATAATAATAATATAACGCGTGGATCGGCGGCGGCGGCGGCGGCGGTTGTTTCCCGAAATCGCGAATAGCAATCCGTTCGCGCGCGTTTAATTTAGACGCCGTCCCACCGCGACAACGTTACGGGTTTAATAATGCGCACAGAGCAATTATTGTTGCACCGCTATAACCGGCGGTTTCCACGCAAAATGTTCGGTGAATTTGATTTTAGTTTTTTTTTTTTTTTTTATCAGACACGGCCGCGACAATGCGCCAGCTATAAGAGGACGTGTGTGCAAATGGTTCCGCGACTACGGGTTATCGTGCGGCTGTAGTTGTACCCCGCAAGCAGTGCCGCATTTACACTTTTAAATTAAAAAAAACATCGAGATAAAACCGCCGTAACACACGCAGATAATGAAGTTCTCACCTTCAAGTCCGATAATTGGTCGTTTCACTGTAACGCGAAAACTAACTTAAATTGTCCCCGCATAACGTAAATTCGCTTTGTCTCATACGTTTGTAAGATGCGGACGGCACGTCTATCGTCTACACGAGTACGTAACACGTTTGGGAACATGAATAAACCGCGGAAACGAATGTCAATTAACTGAACACCACTTGATATTTTCGTATTATCCTGAATGCCGCCTCCGATTCCTGTGATGTAGGTTTCTATTTCCATCTACTTAATCAAAACCCGAATGTGTTACAGCCCCCGTTGTACTCGCATACGTAAACGTCAGACAACAATAATTTATTGATAGTGCACGGTCCTGTATGGAAATTAACGCACAAATAAACGAACTGATTTTAAAAAAATTCCCAAACCGCGATTACTTGAAAGATAAACCACGGTCACCGACACTGTGACCTATTATTATTATATCGGTGACGGTTTGTATATATTATGTGCACAAGTGCACGTGCAGCGTCGCCCGAATCCAATGATAAATTAAATAATATTAACCTTGTCGATATTATAAAATAGAACTATTTTTGTTCTCGTGTGACGATTTGTCGCTTATAAGAACACCTAATAAAAGAGAATAATATCGTCAAATTCAAATTCTTTTCAATTTGTGACTTTTAGAACATATTTGGTAACGACAATTGATTACTGTGTGTAGTAGATACCAAAATACTAATTGCATTGCTACTTATTTCGTATATTAATATTATAACATATTATTCATAGTAGTATACATTTATAAAATTCAATATAATTTACAAGAACGTTTTTCTTAAGTAACCGTTTCTTATTTTTACAATGGAACACGCGATAAAAAGGGGTAACTATCCTAAAGTAATACGTGCACTCGAATCGGTAAAACTTTTGGTATTCAAAAAAGAGCACCTACTTACCTACACTTAATATAAATTATTATTTCATAAATAAGTTCATTCACAAATAATATCAAAGTAGGTAGCAGATAACGTTATTATTGTCTATCCACCATTAAATGATAATTGTTATCAATTTGCTTTCCAACAATCAATTCAGATGGTCCGTCATCAGTCGTATTATGTCAGTATGCCAAGGTTGAGTTATAAAGTATAAATCACTGACAATTATATTATAATAAAATAAAAATAAAAAATGTATATAGTAAATAGGTATAATTTATGTATTAGTAATTAACTTTATGATTGAATTTTTTTATTAAACAGGTACATATTAGTTCTGATTTTTACTCTATACTAATAATTATATAAATACAAAAAACGAATTTGAAAGTTATAATTGTAATCAGATAAATACGTTGGGACTTAGTAAAAATAAATAAGTTACTCTAGAATCTAGAGTAAAATATAAAACATCTACAGTCTAGATGTTTTATATTTTAGACTATAATAATGACGTACGGTCTCCGATGAAAATACACCAAGTTAATGTAATAGTTTACAACTTTAATATATTTAAACAAGACACATATTCAGTATCAATGAATTGTACGTGGATTTGAATACTTACAATTGCTCTGGGCTACTTGCAGCCTCAAATCTTAATAAAAATGCACTTAAGTAATATTTGATATTGAATCACGGTAATGTTGTAAAATTTCCAACACATTTGTACGGTTTCATGTTTTATAACATTATTAGAACTCGTATAATATTCAAATGCTCTAAAAATTGCTGAAAAACGGTCTAAAAATAGATTATTGTTGTTTGTTTGCCTGGATAACGCACCGTTTATAAAGATAAGATAAAGATGTTAACAAAATTGACAATCGGTATTGATGATGAATGCCCAAAACCTATTCAAAAAAATCTCACGAAAATAAAATTTCTTGAAATAATATTTTGAATTCGCTAAATGTAAACTACATTGTATAACACTTGTAATGATTCATATACTGTATAAATATTAACTTAAAAATAATAAAATTACCGATGAATGCTAAAAAATGTAAAAAAAAAAGTTTTACTTTTTAAGTAACGAATCGAATTATTTACTTAAAAATTATGGTGTTAGCTCACCTTAAAAAAATACACTACATTAAAATCCGGGCCCTAATCATAGCTTTAAATTATTTATAAATCAAAAAGGCGGACTTCATTAAATGGTTTCTACGTTCAAACCTTTGAGATATTTTTTCATTGTTTATTTATTTATTTGTATTTTGTTGTTATTAATTAATTTTCTTCCCCTGTAGTCAGCGCACTTCCACTATGTTACGTACAGATTGTATAATATATTATATAATTATAAAATAAAAAATTATTTATAGTCGATTGACATTCATAAATTGTAAGGGTACTCAAAAGATTTTAATATAATTTTTAAGATAAGAAAAAGGAACCCATATCTAAAGGAATTTGTACACCTGGTCTGCTGCACGTATTTCAGCAACTTCCCATAGAAACGTGTCTATGCATAATTGATCAGCCCGTTGTTTAAGGTGTTACTGTTTTTTTCCTAGTAAATTCAAATCTATAAATAAGAACACATATTATTATAATTTTATCGTTTTATTCAAATTGCATACCAAATTATTTATTTGTCTATATAATTATACGTATATATTAAGTAACGTGTTTTTTCTACAACTTAAATACGTAGTATTTATTAATACTAATATAATAAAATAACAATAATTAAACATTGCATAAACTAAAATAAAATTGAAAATTGCATTATTTTATTGAAATATAAACAAAAGCAATGATAACGGCAATAATACAATTTCTATAATATTATTTAAAAACTAACAACTTAATTAAAGTAGCGTCACTGTGTGGCCTCGTACAAAGAAACCTTTGTATATATAGATATTTATCATCACTTAATATAATTTTCATAAATTACTTAATATCCTGAACAAAATATATAGGCTGATACTGGATACGGATATGCCATCATTGTAGGTGAGAAGTTGTGAATGTAGGATACATAAAGTTATTTAATTTATATCTATAACTTACAAATTGAAAGCAACGATAAACCATTGCTAACGAAAAAGTTCGGAGCGAAGTTCGGTTATACAGGCCTATAATGCCGTAATATTTACAATTTTCGTGATATTTTCGTCACTCTTAGAATTTTGGAATTACATTAAAGATTAATACCTTGTAATCGCCAATAAAGCTTTACGTGTATTTTCCCATTTATCTATTATAAAAACTCTCGGGAAAATCAAAAAAATTACCTCTCTAAAGTTCTACCCCAGTCAGATTTCCTTTCAAATAAAGTGCTACATTTGAAAATCGAAACAATTTCTGATAGAAAAGTCATTTATAAAAAAAAAAAAAACATTGTAAAACCAATACATTTCTCGATCCATTCAGAATCGAAAATACTTGGGTATACACCGTGTGAGTGCCAAATAAGGTACTCACGACTATCAATTTGTTAAACGGAAAACAAGCACATTATTGCTCGCATAACGATTAAATACTTCGTAAAAATAAAAATATTTTGTAATATTTTAAATTGAAATCAAATAATATTTATGTTTGATTTATTTTGCCATAAAAATAAAAATGTTTGAATAATTAAATAAAACAAATTTGTACCTAATTTATTCATGGTTGATGAGATTATTTTTTTTTACTTTTAGGGATGTGAGAACCAAACAAGTTTGGGAACCGCCGATCTAATTTATTAAAAATAATTTTCTAACACTATAACAATGATTAATACAAAGTAATTAAAATAAAACTGTACATTGTAAAAAAACAATAATTTATGTAATCATTTTTTAATGTTAGTTAGGTTAATGTCATTTTTTTTGATTTTCCCTAGAGTTTTCCTAATAAATCGAAAAAACATGGAAAAATAGGTAAAATAATAATAAAATATTAAACAAATATTGTTAAAAAAAAAAGTTTTTACGGATATGTAATTATTTTACCAAAATATAAATTATATTGTTGACAAAGCAACACTATCAACCTAATTCAGAATCGTTTTTTCGTTAGCCGTGGTTAATCGTAGCTGACAGATATACATTAAATTTCCGTCTATATCCTACCTTACTAACTTCCCGCCTACAACAATGGCTACACCCGTCGACATTATCCTAGGACAGCTTTTTAAATTCAGGGATTGTGTGGTCTTTCAGATATGTATATTAAATATGTGTGTATGTGAAAATGATATGACCCCCCCAAATTAACACTCCACTGCGTCAATGTTCTGAGACATACCCACCTAGAACCTATTCTAAAAGAGCTAAACTAAAATGTAATATTATACAAATTGAGTATTAAAATTCATCAGCTAGTATTAAAATATAGTTCCTGTTAAATAATATATTAATTACGCGATATGAATACAAGAAATGCCCATGTTCACCTAGTTAACAAATTCTCAAGTATAAATAACAATGGCATCTAAAATAGGTACCTACTTATCTATCCGTACTAAATTATATTCTTAAATGGTACTTTTGTTTCATTTTATTTTAAAGGTCGAATAAATGTTTAAGTAGGTACATCATATTAGTATGTATTTATTTGTATATTATACAGCGTTGTCTACAAAAAATTTAAAAAATGATAATATTAACGTAGGTAGTACTATTCACTAAGTACTTTACATTTTTATCGATGAAATAATGGGCATGTGTAAATGTCTCTAAAATACTATTTAACACTGTAAGCCAATTTAAAGCGGTGGTGAATCGTGTCTCGGTCGTTCTTTATTGTTAGTGTAATATAATTTCAAAAATCCGTTCAAATGAAGTACCAACAGTCGAAAAATCCTCATCTTCTAAATTACATCATTAATAAATCTATACATTTTTACTAACTGAAAAATTGTTTTCCGAAAGAAAAAAAAAGTACATTTCAGTAAAACTAATATCATTTTTGATACACTCAGTATTTTAAATGATATTTGAACAATATTCTATCCTGTCTACAATTTTAGGGATTAGTTACGAAATATTTTTAAGAGAGTTTACTATTTTACTTTGTAAGGGGGTTTAAAGTTATCCAAAATAATTTACCAAAACTCTTTATAACCACGTAAATTAAATACATAAAAGGAACTAAAATTATTATATTAACTAATTTTACTAAACTTATAAATATTTAAAAATTTGGTATGGTTTAATAAAACCAATCGAAGAGTTTAATGATTTGAATTATAAACGTTATGGATTATGTATATTAAACACGCATTTATGAACTATTAGCTGATGTTGTTATTTGTAATTTTTTAACTTTACAGTATTATACTCATAACCGGGGGTGTAGCCGCGTAGGTATGGATTATTAATAGAAGGGTTTTGACTTTAAACTATTAGTAATATAGGCTGACGTGAAAAAAAACAAATACAAATATAGGTATATTAAAAAAATATTTTTAATAATTTTTTAAAAATTAAATTTTATACAAGTAAAGTTATACGAGTAAGGTACTTTTTTTTTTAACTGTTTAAAGTTCTTGGTGCTATAAGTGAATCAATATCTAAAAGTTCTTAAGAATCTGTCACAATTTTTAAAAATTACGTATGCGTTGCCGTTCAAGATAAGATAAGGGCACGCGATTTTGTTTAACTTTTACTATATAATATTAGGTTCCTATCTGTATAATTGTACATACCCAACGCATTCTTGTAAAATTGTATCTCAAAAATATTCATCTTCATTCTTCAATACAATTTAGCAATATATATTTTTTTCTATTAACGTTTAACTAAAAAGTACTTTCGGTGTTTGTAGTACCTACCTAGCACCTATACATAAAATGTTTTACTAATTGGGATTTTCAAATTAAGAGGGGGTTCGTTACTCCCCCTCTTACCAACGTCCCTGTTCTTAACTTACATGTATAGGATACTATAATCTGGGATAAATATTATTTGAAATAAGTTTTGTCATACTATTCCGTTATAGATATTACGACTAATCAAGTCTATCTTTTAATACAATGTACGTTATATATTAGATCATAATATAATATAATATTGTAGTACTACAAACAATTTCTGGTCAGTGAAAATAAATACTTAAAATATTTCATTCAGTATAATTTAATAATTCGACAATTGTATACAGAAGGTACTTTAGATAGGGACAGAGATTATATTGTACAATCTAACGCTGAAAATCACGGAATAACACAAAAGTAACTAAAAGAAATTCAAGCATTGCTCTTGGATTTCTCCATACTATTTTGTGTATTACATTTTAATTCGCTTGCAATAAAACATAAAATATAATGTGCGAATTCTTCTTATTGAATTTTTAAACTAACCTGTATCTATTTGTTTTTTTTTTTTTAAGTTGAGAACTATATAAAGTACATTTAATAAAATATAATAACTTATATTATATTTTTAAATTATTCGAATTACGCCATGTAATTTTAAAGCCATACTTCACCACCTACCATTATATACTTGAGCATTATCTTATTTTATAATACATATTATGTATAATATTATTATCTCTAAACTATAATTTATTATGTATACCTACTTATAATGGATATCTTTAAGTAATATACGAACATATTTATTTAATAAATAGGTGTACATCACTGTAAGTTCTATGTATAATATCTATATAGTTAGATTTCATATACAATGAACTATAAACCAATATTTTCAGAAATATGTGCGTAACCCGTTGCTTACCATTTTAGCAGATTAACTAATAAAATTACTCAGTAAATTAATAAAAAATAACAATTACGTACTAATTTTGTATATAATACTAATACAATAAATTTTTTTTTTTTTTTTTTTAGAGGTTTGAACCTTAGTGCAAGCGGAATGAGCCAAAGCGAAGACGATGAATGTAACTCGTTCAATAAGAAAAAATTCTCTCGGGTACGTAAACTGAAATATATCTACGTATTATTAACAAAATAAATTATTATGAATCTGAGTTTAGGAAATAAATTTGCAAACAAAAACTTAATTGTTTAGATTAGGTTAGGTTAAGTACAAGTAGGTAGAAAATACGGTAGTTGATATTTATATCAGTGTATACATTATATTTAGTCTGGTTATTTAATAATTTAATCGATAAAACATTTTGTATTAAACGCAATAATCTAGAATGACTAATAACAAAAATATGGGTACGATCAACGGATAAAATACAATAGGAGGAATGCGGTAAAATTCGAGTAGTGCGTTTAACACTTTAAATCGTCGTTGCATTAAAATATATATTTTGCAATATATACGAATATTATGCAATTATTAATATACGAAAAATGTGTCAATTGATCGATAAATCATCATTTAATCACGTGAATATTATTAACATAAATATTATTTTCTAATGTACTAAATTTCACTGCAAATGTGAAATGCATCGTGTGACATTATGACGTTAATAATTTTTATTTTAAAACCTGCGAAGTTGTGGTATAAACTATGTTGTATTAAAAAGAATATATACACCTCTATCTTCGATAATTTCAGTAGACCAGAAACACAGTCAAGCGCCTATAATTGTTTACAAATTTCATTAAGACATCAATAATTTGAGCGAAAGATTTTCAGACTATTGCAATAAAGTACATGTTTGTTATTATAGGTTATCATTATTAGAAATCAAAATGTTATTAATAAAATTGTAAATGTTTAGATTTATAAGATCGAAACACCCATTAGATAAATTTAAAGGATTTATTTGATTAACATCGGGGTAAAATAAGATAGGTGACATAAATAGATAAAAAAAAAATCAAAAGAAAAATCCTTTTGATTAGGTTATAGTAATAATTAGGTGTTTATAATAAAATTATGTTTAGAAAAACAAAAAAAATCGGTCATATTTGCATTTTTCATCACTTTTCAATTGAAAATGGCAATGATATTGTCTCGTCTTTTGGCTCTATTATATATTATCACTTTAAACTCCGCCCTTGTAACTTGACCTTTATACGTAATATAAAATTCGCGAGTTTTAAATCAGTTAACTTGGTTTGTTTTATAAATTCTCATAATTCTTAATAGCTTTTACACTCTCTACTCTCTAGACATGTGTAACACAGACAGTGGCGTACACAGGGGGAGTTGACTTAAAAATACAAACAAATATAAGTAATTTAATTCAGCCAAGTTGCGAGGAAAAATTTGTCTTATTAATTGTAAATTTACTTTTTTTAGGATCTGTCTTTTAAATTATGAATTACCAATAGTCGAGTTGAGTAAAAAAGACGATTTTATGATTCTTATTTGCCAAATCCCCTTCCATTGAATATTCCTGGGCACGCCATTGAATACAGAAATCTAACAAATATAATACTCGTACAATAACTTTAACTAATATCGTTAATGACCACATTTACAGGGTTTTGTGGTTTTACAGCCCACGGTAAATTACAACTATTGGCATTTTATTAAAACTGTTTAATTTTTTTAACATGCAATAAAAAGTTTTACTTCATTTTTAGAAAAATTTTGCTATTTAAAACATGTTTTTAAGTAATTTGGTATGCAATTAATTTATTTTATGTTCTAAAAAGTATGTAAAATGTTCTATTTGTATCGATTGCAGATGAAAAATAGGAAAATAATAATTCAAATTTAACCAATAATCAAAATTAAACAATATAATATTATATTTATTCTATTAATAATTATTACAACGAAGTTAAAATTTTTAAAATTCTACAGTAAATAATAAATAAAATGAAAAGATATTAAATAAACTACAAAATATTTGGAAAAAAATTAATTATTATTACTATTTATATATAAGCATAAGCGCAAACAGAGGGGTGCTCTCCACCCCAAATCAAGTCTTTATGAGGTAAATACTAAGACGTATGCATAACAAATATTAATTAATATAATGATGTGTTAATCTCACGGGTGGTCAATTGGGGGATGAGGGGGATGTATCATCCCTTCCTATTACCTCATTATTCCTAAATATGTATAATAATATATACAATATTTTTTTAAGCATACTCTCTGTGCCCATCCCATTTTTATGGTTAAATTATGTACACAAATTCAAATTCTGATTTTTTTGTAATTTTTAAGTGTAGTGAAAGATAATGTTTTCGAATTATTAAATTTTTTCTTATATTATCCTTAGTACTTAAAACAGGAAACTCGTAAACTTTTAATTCAAATTTAGATAACAATACATCGAATTTTCAAAAAAATAATTTGCACCAAAAGCATGTAGGTTCTCATTTAAAAAGCTAAAGTGGCTATCACCAAAGGATACCTGAATAGGTTGTGTGAACATCTATATGAATAACAAAACAGCGAAAAAGTACTCTTTAAATGTTTTGAAAAATCTAAGGATGTGAAAATATCGTCGTTCATTGCGTTCGTTCCAAAAATCAAAAATTTGAATTTATGCATAATTTAACCATACAAATAAGATGAGAATGTTTAAAAAATCACTCTACATATAATATTAAATCTTCATAGTTAAAAAAAAAGATTATGTAAATAATAATAATTTTTAAAAATTATCCTTTACCCCCCTTTTTGATGTAAATTATTTGTCCACCACTGGTTAAGCTCCCTTTCAAAATATTTAGGCTATTTATGCCTATGAATATAAGTTATACAAAAATAATATTAGAATATAATGGCAGTATCCTAATTTTAATGATATTATTGACGTATCGTCAATACACTCATTTTTGCTGTACATAATTATCTAAAAAAAAATTCAAAAAATTCAAAATAGGTACTGATTTAAAAACTTAAAATTCGTTTTCGAAATGCCATTACGACGACATTATTAAGCCTATAATATAATTATGTCTTACATAGTAATATGAGAGACACGATGACAATCGTATTATCTCACATAGTATTCTGCACATGCTTCATAGTATAATACATTAATATGATATATAACAGTTTATTAAGTGGCTGCCACTGCTGAATTTACGGTCACTAACGGGCAATGTACTTAACAAAAATGTGTTCACGTAAAACAAACGAAAATACCTCTAAAATCGATTTTAGAGATAGATCACGTATAATAAAATTCGTAGATGACATCATTTTGAAAACAGTCACATGGGCGTTTTTCGATATTAGTTACTAGTTCATAAAATTTGATCTTCGTTCAATTGATATTTCAATATCAAATATAAAATGTATATAATAAATCGGATATTTTAGGAAATCTTAAAATGCCAACGTGGTTTGTTCTGATATCTGAACATTTCAACAATAGACTTCGATTTCAAAGGCCTTATTGCATATATAGAAATTCGATTGCATTTTAAAGGTGAGGTGGTCGTGATGCATTAGGGAAGTTAAGTTTTTATTATTGTTACATGCTTTTCTTTAACTTACAATGTTTTTTTTTTTTTTTTTGGATGTATAAATGAAAACTTAGTCACTATAAAATCTTGTTGAATTTTGCTTTTACAAATCACAGTTATCAATCTAAAATCAGTTGAAAACATACTTTAATTTTTAATATCCTGATAACGGCATAAAATCTGTGTTTTCCGATTGCTGCACGCTTAGATTTGAACACTACAGTTTTTGTTATACATATTGTATGCATATAAATCACACAATATTAAAGTTTCTTAATAAATAAATAGTACAGAATAATAATATAATAATTAGTATGGGAAATATGAGACCTCGGGAGGATGAAATACCAAAGGCAGTTTTATTCCCAGCTGTTGATATATTTCATTTTGTTTGAGTAACCCATAGTTACACCTAGACTCAAAACACTTAAGAAGCATACTAGATAAATAAAAAAATAATATTTCAAATTGAATTTGTGTAAAAAGAGTATGTTGTGTGGACACTATTATATGAATAATAAAACAGTAAAAAAGTACACTTTGGTATCACTTAGTATTGTATACATAAATTTGATAGATATTTTCAATTAAGTCATTCTAAAAAATGACTACGACATGTTTTGACAAAAATAAACATAATGATAAGCAGAGGTACAAAATAAAGGAAATAATATATTTATCATTACTATTTAATTAATACGATAATGACTACAATACATTGTAGGTATCTACTAGATTATAGATTAATTGACATAGGTATCTAATAATTAATAACATATTTTATTGTTATAGTTCTATATAATTCTAAACGCATAGGTTAAGTTAAAAAAACAAGAATTTAATTTCTTAAGTAGGTACTCATAATTCATTGATTTCTAATTATAACACAAATAGGTAGCATGTTTAATGTCTATACCTACTAGACAAACCAATATTTCCCTAAAAAATGTGTATAGTTAACAATTGTAAAATATTGAAGATGGATTTATGTTAAATAAAATCTATCTGTAATTTATTATTAAATTTTAATTGCTATCTCATACGTTTATGTCTTTGCAAGCATTGTGCATCGTATTTTCGTATAGAAATATGAACATTATCTCGGGTAGTCAGTAATTCTCCTGATGGCATTCACAACTAGTGTACATTTTTCAATCAGTTTATAAGCGAAGTGTTTACATTTCTTTACATCCACCTTGGATTCACCATTCACTGTTATCGTCCTCTATATCAGACAACACGCCACCACGGTCACATAGATTACTCTATGGGTCACATTGTGAACCATGGACCCATGGTGATATTACTTTTAGCAGATGAGACATGGTTATTTTACTACAATAAATTTTACACCATCGACATGAATTATAAAACTATGGATTTGTATTAATTTTTGTTTTTATTGATATTTATATTGTCAATTAGTACCTATGTATTGTTATAATTAAAACAATTGAATAATGAATGTATAAAAAAAGTTATGAGGGCGAATCTATTCCCGTATTTCGCCTCCGTAAATACGCCACTGTTACTATTGCATAAGTGAACGATCAAGTGTATCGTATTATCATAGAATAATATTATTACAATTATTATAGGTACATGATATAATTGCACTCGGTAACTATAATAAGCATACACATAATTATACACATACACATAATATTTACACACGTGACCGAGCGTGCGTCTATTAGGTATAGCGAAACGTAGTGTTTCGCATTTACGTGAGTTTTCTTCTCTTTGTGTTTTTTTTTTTTTTTTTTTTTACCGCTGCGGCGACTATAGTAACAAGTATTTTAAACGCTCATCACGTGAATTCGGCGCATGCAACGCGTGACCCAAAAGCAAATTCATAATATAATTATAACAACAAACGCCGTACACCGTGATTCGAATGTATAACTGATTAAATTGTCGACACAACAGGTCCATACAAATTTTCTACTTTACTTTAACTTTTCCTTTCAAAATAATTACCATCTAAAATTAATTATCAATTGATTAAAGCGTAAATTTCAGCAGAGGGGCATTAAGATAAAATCCGCAATTTCAGAGTTCTGTACATTTTTCACAGAATACCTAAATCGTATAATGTAGAATGCATTGGTTTTACAGTGATGCCATTTTAGATTCCGAGCGTAGAGAGAGCTATTAGTTTTACAATGCTGTTTATTTTTTTTTTTCTTCTTTGTTTTAGTCTGTGGACACGTTTTTTCCTACAATAAAGATTTGATAGTAATATTGTGTAAACATCTTTTTTACAGGACAGCCAACGCAGATTAGTCGAGCTTCTCCTTTTAATCGCCTAGCGAAAAATTCTCGAAAAAAACTAACAAAAAAAAAAAAATAGTTCAATGAAATCGGATATAAATTGGTTATTAATTTTAGATTCCGAGCGTAAGAAGTTTATAATATATAATAAGATATAATAAGATATATATAATGAGAAAAAACCCGAGCTTTAGGTTAAAAAATATTGAAAGACTGAAAATAAGGTTGTCATTGGCAACCGTTTTTATTTATTTTTTGTTATTATTAAGTTTTTACTGTTTTAATCTTCTTTAAAAAATCATTGTTGTCATGGAAACTCACATTGTTGTAATCATTTTACTATAATATGATATATACTATATATTGTATTGCTGACAAAGCAACACTATCAACTGAATTCCGCTCTGAATCGTTTTTTTTGTTAGCAATGGTTTACCGTTGCTTACAGATATAAATTAAATGCCCGTCTGTATCCTACCTTCCTAACTTCCCACCTACAACAGTGGCCGCTCCCATCCCCAGTATCAGTTCTTTTTTATTTGTTTTTTTTTTTTTTTGTTTACAGCCTTTCCACCAAAATTCTTGCTTCGATTTTCAAGTGTAACACTTTTTCTAAAAGGAAATTTTAAATTTTCCCTGGAGATTTCATAAAAAATAGAAAACTGGAAAATTTCGAAGTGTCTTATTTTTAAATAGTAAATATGACTGCGTCTTTCAAAACATGTTTAACCGACCTTTGTTCAGAATCGTTTTAGCATCGTTCTAGAATCGAAGCTAGCAATGATTAATCGTTGCGTACAGATATACATTAAAAAACCGCTCTATCTTCCCAACTTCTCACCTACAATAGTGGTTAAGTATTCCCGTTTGTTTTTTAAACTGGAGTTGATTCGAATATTTTAAAGGGTTGATAAGTGTCGTTAAAATTTCTTTAAGAAATGTATTATGTAAAAGATATTTCTAAATATTTAGTAACTAAGACAAATATTAAATACTTTTTGAACAATAAACAATATATAACAATTTATTAAACCTTACGCCGATCCTCAGTGAGCCACTGTGAAACAAGTGATACCATTGCTAACGAAAATCCTGAGCAAAATATTTACGAGTTGCATCAAAATTTGATTTTAAAACCATTATAAAAAAAACTATTATAATAGTTTAGAGTAAGTAAATGTAAGTAGAGTAAATGTATACATTTACTCTACTTTTTTTTTAAGACTACCTAAACATTTACTATTTTTTGAGTTCATATAAAATTGAGTATTTCGTAATGACTTAATACATAATAATTAATAATATTAATAATAAAAGTAATATTAATAAATTTGTACTATAAGCAATGTTATCATTTAATTTTAATATAATGAAATATTTAATATCCAATTGATAATTATCAAATTAATATAATATGATTATAAAATAATTTCAGTAGATTTAGTGTGATGGGTGAATCTGAATGTAGTTGTATATAATATTTCCCCCTGGGGTACATTTTTAGATAAGCTGATGCGCATATCATGTGATATATAATTTGTTCTTTGTTTTGGTTTAATATTGGCCATAGTTAAAAACCATTTTTCATATAAATAAGTAGTAGGAAAAATTAATATATTTTTTAATCGCATTTAATGAAAATTCTGGGTATTCATTATACACTGCACACCAAAAATCAATAATAGTTTCATTTTTAAATTTATTTTCATAAGTTTTATCACAAGAAAGTTCGATAATCTGAGTTTCAAGAAGAGTGTTGAAGTTCAACTCTTCAATTGAAACGGTGAAAGGATTTTCAATCCGTTGAAAATTATCACGAATGTTTTTTTTTTTGGAAATTACTATTTAAGGCAATTGGTATTTGGTTTAAATGTAATAAAATGATTTGTTTAATATCAGTGGCATTCACTGTTACAAGTTACTAGTTACAACTATATAGTTGGTCCATTGAAAATTATTTTCAAAACAAAATTGTTCTATTTATTACAAATAATCATTGGTGTACTCGGAGAGGGGAGAGGTTAGGGGTTATATCTCCACCCGTTGGCATGGAAATAAAAAAAAATATATATAAGTAGTAATTTAAAATCGAAACGCATATATTTCAGCCAAGTTACAAGTAAAAGCTTAATGTATTGACTAGAGATTGTTTTTTTTTCTTTTTAGGACACCGACCCTCGGTTTAAAATTGAAGAAACAAGTACGCTATATGCGCCTTTTGTTACTACTTATCACGAACTCCTTTCCGTTACCGTCACCGATAACGCAGAACCTGATATCACCGCCGAAAACCTGCTGCTCGGAATCTTAAATCACATAACTCCTCCTGAAATCAAAATCTCTCGGGGTCCCTCCTCTTCGAATAACGCTGTCGAAAACCTGTCTCTCAAAATTTTAAAACACATTCTACTCAATATACCTCCTCCTAAAATCGAAACCTCCCGCTAATCTTCACCAAATACCGCCACCAGTAATTTACATCTCAATTTAGCCGAAAAAAACCCACCTGTTAGAAACTTAAACCTCGTACCCAATCCTATTAATGTCTCAACCTCCCGCGAATCCTCACCGAATACTGTTACTGGTAATAAACGTTGCGATTCCGCAACCAAAAACCCACCTCCCAGATTCTTAAGCCGCGTACCCAATACCGCCATAATCGCCACTTCCTTTCAAAACACCATTAATTACCAAGTTTCCTTCGTTGTATTTCAGCTGATGAGAAACGTACCATTACATATAGGATCAATGTAAACTGGTCAAAATTTTCCATTTACCGTCAGTGGTGGACCGCACTAATAACGTGTTGACACCGACACTACGTCGCGGCTGAATGATACCAAAACAACAAACAAAATTCACATGAATCTTTGTTTCGTTGTTTTGGTATACAATTTCTATAATAATACAGTTTTATGTCATACGTTATAAAAAAAAAACGGTGTGCAGCTATTTAAAGCTATAGTTTTTATATTATTTTACTTTTGAACTATTCAAATTGTCTCTTCATTTGTCAAAATATTATATGATTATATTTTATTTAAATGCATGTAAATTGAATTTAATGCTTTGCAAATTTCTATAGAAATCCATTTTGTACTGGGTTCTAATAAATTTAAACCCATTTAAACTTGATCCCAAAATGTAGGTATTATCTAAAATCAGTTTTATACGCGCTTTGCTTAATAAAGGTTTTAATTAGGTGCCGAAATTCTTCATTTTCTGATTAGATTCGTTTTATTTACTCGGTTTATCAAATTACAAATATGCCCTAAGTTACTAGATTATCTGTATCAGATATATTCCAAGGTAATAATAATAATAATTAAGTTCACCTTAATTTTCTGTATCAAATTATTTTTTTAGTTTGACTTTCTGATATTTGTTGTGTGTCTTCTTTCTATCTTTCTGCTCAGTCCTTGTTTGTTGATTGTAGGTTTTCCATTCGGTCATCTGTCTGTTGAAATCAGCATTGCTGCGATGTGCATATTTGCCGTTTTTCCTACGATTTTGTTTCTGATTTTTCCTAATTATTTTAAAATCTCGAAATAAATCAAAAATTGATTCGTTCAATGCAACAACTAGATTCAAAATGCCACACAAATAAGGATCTCGTCATTTTTCGATTTGAGCAAATTTTCTGTTCAAAAACTTGTTTATAAAAAAAAAAAACAAAAAATTAAAAAAAAAAAAACACGTTATAATAAAACCAATAGATCTCTCGCTTTGCGCAGAATTTGAAAATAACCATGGTTTACGTAACTTATTCATAGCTTTTTATAATTGTATATTGTGTAATAATTTCGTTATTGGCATTTTTTTACCCGATATGTTTGGTAGAAAAATTTAAAACGTGCACCTAACGTACAATTGCGTGAACGACTTCAGCTACAGTCAATTGATATGAACGTCCAACATGTCACAATAGACTACGTATTACATTCGTTAGAAATCAATTTGTAATGTGTGTATTACACTGTTTTATATTCGAAAAATTTTGCTTTGGAACGAGTGTAGCAGTTCCAGAAAAATAATTTAAAAAATATTATTTCCTTAAAATATTTAATCAGAAAATCGCTGAATAATTACTTAAAGACAGAGAATAAATCCGTTGAACCCTCTGTTTAGCATGCTGCGCATTTTTTGAAATATAGTTCGCCTATGTATATACGATGTACGTGCTCATGTTCACGTATAGCCAGCAGTTTTGAACAACTATAGATAAATAGTTTTAAATTGCGGCTTTTTGTATTGGAAATAATTATGGTTTTGAGTGTTTTGATTGACACGTTTAAAAATAAAATAAAAATAAAATTACTAGCTATTAAACATTTCTATTTTAAATTATCGAATGATAATTACGAAATGTGAATAGTTACTATTTTTTATATTCATCCACGGCTATATATTATAATGTTATTTACATAACATGTTATTTACACGTACCCACGTACCAACCACCACTAGGAAATGTAACAAATATTAAGTAGATATAGCACCATATTTTTCCGTTTATCTGTGTTAGATTTATAGAAAACAGTAAAACATGAAACTTAGAAGATATCTGAAAAATTGATCCCCAATGGCTTATTTTTAAATCTTCGGTGATCTGTTTAATCGCGATGAAATTTCGTATAAATATTACTAGGTAAATATTAAATATTCAATGTTAGTACAATATTGTTATAAACGCATTTTTTAAAATTATTATTATTCAATTCAATTATTATTTATTTTCAAATATGACAAAAATGCAATAATTTTTTTAGTCGAGCTATTGTACAATCCGGTGTATCCAAATCGGTTCCGAAGATTGTTTACATGTTACCAATGATTATATTAGGTATATACAACCAATGTAATATAATAATCAATGATATTACGCATGTACAAACATTACCTAATTCGTACACTCTACGGTTATTGGTGGATTACTGAACTCATTAACGAGTAACGACAATTTATTACATTAGGTACCTATATACATTATACACCCAAATGTATAATGATTGGAAACATGTTATATTAATAATAATATAATAAAACTAAATTTGCCCTTTTTTGAAAGTTTTTTCATCGGGAACCAATTAGGATTTGTGTCATCTAGAAGCTAGAATATCGAAAACCAATTCGGATACAGTCTTACCTATTAATACCTATTAATAACTACTACTTTTAAATACTAACCGTTTAACATTTTTCTTTTTTTAACAAGGAATTTTTCAAATTATCTCAAAAGTTAATAAAAAGTTGTTGATTATCTAGTAGTTTTAAATTATTATTGGCACAGAGAAATCACATTTCTGATTATGTTGTATATCATTTTAATGAAAGGTTTTGTCAGTCGTCACACGTTTTAAATTCTGAGTGGAGCGAGGAATGTATTTATTTTACAATGTTATATATTTTTTTTTCTTTCTAATCTGTGAACAACTTTTCTATCGGCAATTTTGCTTCAATTTACAACGATAGAATTTTATCTGAAAGTAAGTCTGATTAGGGTGGATCGGATTCATTTTTTGATTTTCCCAAAAAATAGGAAAAACCCAAAAAACAGAAAAACGTAGGAAAAACGGAAAAATTTGTATAATATTAAACAAATATTATCAAAAAAATATATAGTGCATATATTATGTAATTATACCATAATATGATATATATATATATAATATATATTGATAAAGCAAAACTATTAACCGAACTCCGCTCAGGATCGGTTTTCGTTAGCGATAGTTAATCATTGCGTATACTGATACACATTTAACTTTTCCTCTATTACCTTCCCAACATCTCACTTACAACAGTGGCCCACCCACGAGTGAATTATGTCTGTCTTTTTTTTAAATTATTGTACCAAGTTAAAATATTATTATTAACAACACAAATATTTTTAAAAGTCAGTTAACAAAAGATGATAGTTGAATAAATTATTTATTTTGGATGCAATACATAATATTTCACGTGGCATGATATTAATTGTATTTTGTACGTTATAATACAATCTAAATTAAGTTTTTATTTTCTAAGCATAATATAATGCAAATTGAAAATAATTTGAAAATGAATTATGTATATTTCGACGAGTGCTTAACTTAGCAAACACTAGTAAGAAACCATAATTTATTCATACGCTCTATAAATTATTGGCGACATTAGTCACGTTGTTATATAATTTAAATTATAAAAAGTTAGTAAATGAGGGTACCTGTATTCAGCATAATGCACAACCACACGTTAAATACAAGTAAAAATAGAGAACAGCAAAACCACCTATTTTCTGGAATATTCATGTGCTTTAATTGTTTAGTGGATCGTCTGGCTGACAGGTTAAATATAACCTGACCCAACTGTAGAAATTATAGTATAATATATAGGTACATGACAATACTCTGTAAAAGCATAATATACTTATAGGTAATATCGATTATAAATTATAATATTCAGTTTGAACCGAACAGTTGGATAATTTTTAATAAGTTTATATTTTTTTTATTTCTTGAATATTTCTCAATATTCTACCGACTTACGATTATTACTTTAGTAACTCGAATATTTTTTTATAATCAATTTAAGTATGCTATACTTATCTTTAATAAAATGTCGGTTATTTAAATCCTTATGAAGAATAATTTAATAGATTTTGAAATTAAATAAACATTGTTTTGTCTATAAAACATCTTTGTAATACGACTTTGGTTTTTACCTATTTATCCCGAGTATAATTTTTAAACGTGTTTCACGACAACTGGGTTATAACTTATAAGTGTGTAGATATTATTAAGATACCATTTCACCAGCCCGGATATTTGAACAAATTACGTATTTAACATCATCGTGATTTTGCAGATAATTTGCGTGATTTTGTGGACTGAATTCCCAAAATTTGCGGATCATTCGTTTTTTAGTTATCCCTAAAAAATATAGGATTTGGCTAATATATTGAAAATTCAGCATTCCTCACTGGTTTCGTCAATGCCTTTTTTTTTGGATAATTTGCGTTATTTTGCGGACTGAATTTCCATCTTTCTGGACCAAATCTATCTGCGTGATAAAAAAGTATTGTACGTTTTCTTGTTAAATTATTATTTATCCACTTACTACCACACGTAACTAGTAGGTATATATTATTCAGAACCTAACCTAATCTGATAATAGAAATATACATGGTACTTCATAGTAGATTATCGTACATTTTATTTAAGTTACAAAATTCAACTTATTTGTTTAACCTCTTTATGTACCAAATTTGTTTTAAAAAAAGTTTTTCTGATATTTATGCTCTTGATAAGAATGGTCAAATTAGTTAAACAATTCAAAAACTAATTTGTTTGCAATTTTGTGTATGGCATTATATAATCCTGTGATGCAAAAATGGACCATGATTATTTGAAGAATACATGCGTTTAGTTTTTATAGTTTAATAATATTTTATAGTAAGTACATATTATTTACATTTGAAACAATATACATATAATTTAATACATAGATATTTCTAGAAAAAACAATTTAGATGCTATATTTTTAAATGCTATTAACATCATTCTATGTATTGACTAGCGGTTCGCCAGTGCAACGAACAAGTTTCTCCCTGTTCCCAGCTATAATAGGTTAAACATGTTATTTTTTTCTTATTTTATTTGGATCTTGTACTGGAAGTACGTGGCATACGCGGGGAGGGGGAGTTAGAGGTTATATCCCCCTTCCTTTGGTTTAAAAATACAAAAACAATATAAGTAATTTAATAGAAAAATGCATATATTTCAGCCAAGTTACGAGGAAAAGCTTGATGTATTGATTAGAAATTAGTTTTTTTAGAATCCAACTTTTAAATTCTCGATTCCCATAGTTAAGTTGGATAGAGAAGATGATTTTAGGATTCTTATTTGCTACGTCGCCTACATCCCCTCTAATTGAAAATTCCTGGGCACGCCACTGTTTGACTCACTTTATAGTTGTATTCCTCACCCCTATCACAGTTAATTCACGTACAACATTGACCGTTCTAGTTCAACTCAATGGTAATTCCCTATCACCAATAACGCCTTTTCACATCAATATTTCCTTTTCCTCATCCTTCCATTCTTACTCTCTTCTGCCCCTCAATAATATTCCATTTGCTTTCAATGTTAAAAGTTGATTATGTTAGGAAGACATTTTCTTGTGTGAGTTTACCTTTAGGTAAAAAGTGAATAAAAAAGACAAAAAAATATAAAAATAATAACTAGTAGGTAGTTACCTACATAATGTTTGAACGTGTTTATTAGGACAATTCAAACCCGAGATAACTCAATAGTTTTTTGACGTACCGAATAGAAAATTGGCTTAAAAATTTTCACGAAAATCTTTATCGTGATATATTCTATCATTTAAATAAAATTGCTTGGGTGAAAAGATGATTGGGCTAGTTTCGGAGAAAAAAAAAATTGATGTAGATGGCTGTTAGATACTAGGCGCTCTAGAACTGCTTTAAAAACTGCGTCAATTGATAAAAGGTTCAAAAAATTCCGATGGATTTAAATGACAAAAATTTAAACGTAACACGAGGACAAACAAAATGAGTACCTTAGAGAGAAGTAAAATAAAAGGACATACTTTGCACGTGGGTTGGCCACTGTTGTAGGTGAGAATTTGGGAAAATAGTAGATGGAAAATTGAATGTATACCTATATGCAACGATTAACCATTGCAAGAAAAGCGATTCTGAGTGGAGTTCGGTTAATTAATTGGTTAATTGTTAATTGTTAATTAATTCGGTGTTGCTTTGTAAACAATATATTTATGGTATATTATATGGTAAAATAATTAGATATGCATTAAAAAATTTTTTTAATAATATTTGTTTAAAATTGTACCTATTTTCCCGTTCTTCCTACTTAATTTCTGGGTTTACCATATTTTTTCCCGGTTTTTCCCATTTATCAGAGAAAATTATAAAAATACCTCTCTAAAGTACTACCTCAGTTAGATTCCCTTCAGAAAAAGTGCTGTCATTGTAAATCTAAGCAAAATTGCAGGTAGAAAAGTTGTCTACCGAAAAATAAAAATAAAAAACTAACCACATTGTAAAATCAATGCATTCTTCGCTCTACTTAGAATCTAAAATAATGGTTCACAAAATTTGGAATTCAATTTGCAAAATCTTTATGATGTTAAATACGTAATTTGTTCATATGTCAAGGTTGGTGAAATGATACCTGTTATTAAACAAAAACCGTATCGTCCGAGTGGTCAAAATACCAATACTTCAACTAGTAAACATGTTGTGCACTGCGCTATGCACATACTAAAGAATTCGTAAATAAATTTCTGTTTACAAATACGTATGCATGAAAAACAAATACAATAATAAACAAATTAAAAAAAAAAAAATACAATATCCATAAATATAAATCTTGGCACCAGATTTAGGCAAAAAAATGCCGTGATAATATATTATTTATTATTGTTTGGAACTATTTTTATTTTGTCAATCGATGTAAATGATATACTTATTAAAGGTAACTTTACTTAAGGTAAATACCTTTGTGTTTGTTTCGTATTAGTTATTATGTAGTCCTTAAAATATATTAAATAGTCTATTTGTGAATCAATCTTAACTCATATTTCACGCATTGAGTTGATGTCCACATAGAATTAAGCATACCTATAGAAATCGAATAAAATTTAAAATACCCAGTATATAATGTATGTATTATACATAGGTCAATTGATCGTACTTTAAAATCGATCAATTATGACTCGTAATTTAGTAATATTTTTTTTTGTTTGTATTCGTAGATTGATTTAATGGACTTGGAAAGATTGCCGATGTAGGTACATATTATAAATATAACTGCCGTTTAGCGTTTTCAAATAATAATTATATACTACTGAATTACAAATAATATAGACATACATTTTAAGAATACTTCTTCACAGTAGAATCTATCGTCTCTGCCTGTACGCTTCCGTTTGCACGATCGTTGGATGTATGGTTAAACATCCTCTAATTTATAATGCCCAAAATAATGATTATTATGACGTAACTGCTAATATTTTTTCTAGTGATGTTTGGTTTCTTCGTGGAAAACGTTGGATTTGAGGTTAAATGGACTCTTATTAAATTCGAAATAAAATCGAAACGATCACAGTTTATTCTAAAAAAAATACCCGAACTTGATTTCATTGTTTTTTGATAGCTGTTGATATAAATTTCATGATAATCTTCGGCACTTTTCGATGTAAATAATGGATTATATAGGTAGTTACAACGGTTGAAGTACATGCGTGCTTATAATATTACACATGGCATCAATTATTTTGATATGGGCGAGAGAAGCACTTAACAGTTAGGGTTAGGTTAGGTAAGTATGGTAATTATATTATCTTCAATACTTTCCTACCCGCATTAAATAGAATATATGTTATACGCACTAAAATTATATGTATACCTACGTGATCTTGCAAAAAAAAAAAAAAAAGAAGAAATGCTTAGACAAAAATGTCACAATACATTTGGATCTGAGAATTAATATTCCCGTACACTGTAGGAGTGGACTGAATTAGGGTTGAACCCAGACGATTTTCCTGTGGGGGGCTCACTTTATTCCTTTGTCATTACTATGTAAAATTTAATGGGTATTGTACATTTAACAAATTCATTTTGCTGACAGTTGTATTTGTCAAGGGGGCATTCCCCCCTTAACAAATTCATTTTGCTGACAGTTGTATTTGTCAAGGGGGCATTCCCCCCCTGTAGTATACCTAAATTGAAGACTTTACTAAAACGGGTAGGATCTCAACGAAATATGATTTTCGTAAATTATAGTTTACGTAAATTAACTGGTTTTCAACCGGAAAGAGACCAAGAGGCAGATATAAATTGATGGAGGCATAATATAATAGGTATAATAACGAAATGATGTCGTACAGTGAAAGAAAAGATTATTTAATATTATTTCGAGAACTTCAGTCATGATGTCGAATCGCGAGGAGGGCCGAATTCGGATTGAACCCTCTTCCCCCCCCCCCGAAGGTATATAGCCCGAATGAGTTCGGATACGCGATACATCAAAATAATATTACAAAATACGACGTTCCATTGAGTTATTAAGCACAAAAATGTTATTAACAATGACACGTTACGTGTACGACACACTATAACCATAAGTAGGTATCACGTTGTTGTCGCGTAACATAATATCATATTGTATACGCACCTACCTACCTATATTATTTCGTGTCGCACGATACCTACACGTTAACCGCGCACACGGCAATACTTGTCACGTTCGGTGCAATGTGCTCGGGCGCCGCGCCGCCCCGGGTAAAACGGTATTTACCTCGTATACCGCATTTACCACTTCCTGGTCATACGTGTTTAGGACCCCTTTCCGGGTTACGCGCCCATATAATATACCGGTCCCGGCGGGACACGCGGGCCAAAGCGTTTCGCCGCCGCGGTAATTATTGTTATTATTGTTATTATAATTATTTATAGTAGTAGACGGACGACGGAACCAGCACGTGTAGGCCGAACGTGAAACGGCGGGCGGGCGGGGTACGCGACGGCGGCGGTGGCAACACTGGGCCCGCCGCCGATCGGAAGCAGCTTTGCGCGCGCCGCGCCGTGGTACGCGGTAGTCGCACGCTACCGGTGGTCTCGCAACCGCCGTGGCTGTCGTTGGCAACCGTTCAATCTATGTGTAGGACCGCGCGAACGGTTCGTTTGTTGTTATTGTACCGCCGTGACCACCGTTGTTACGTTATTAGCGACACGTCTGCGGGACACCGTCTAATTGCCGGACGTACTGCGCGCGTTCATTTACGCGACATCGTAAATCAAACCGCGCACGGCGTACAATCGACTGAAGTCTGCCGCGGTGTCGTGCCGTACCGATATTATTACGGTTATCAGTGATAATACAAACTTCCAAGTACATTACAATCTAGTTTGCTCAGTTCTCTTTCTTTCTTTTTTTTTTTATTTTATATCTTCGAGTATTATTATTAATATTGTACTCGGTTTCGTTTATTTATTTCAAACAAATTCGGATTTTGTTTCCTCGCGGTAAAATAACACAACTACCTATTTTTCACCCCTACAACCTGTTATGGCACACACCTCAAACGGACAATACTCGTGATTTTTTTTGATCGGATAAAACTTATTATATTGGGTGAGTTACGCCGTTATTTATATTATTCCGGAAGGGTTGTCCGTTTTCAAACGCGTGTAAACCGTTTAGTATGTATATACTTGACGGCTGGTGTTTCCCACAGGTGTCAATGCTGTCTGACATGATAACGTACCACGAGGGCGCCATGAAAGACAGACTGTCCAATAAATTTAGTCCCGTGTCGCAGACACTACCGCATTCCCACACGACACTACAATACGAAAACTTGGTCGAAGACAAGACGTCAAAGACCCGACCCCAGAATCAAGCCAAGAACATCAACAAAGAGGTACGTAGTGCCATATTTCGCGTATTCGCGTGCGACATTCGGAAAATACACCGATAAATACGATATACTATAGATACGTTTTCCAGTATTATTATTATCCTATTCCGACGACAACCGTTTCCTCAAAATAATGTTAATATCTTTCGATTCGACACGCGGAAAAGTTTTCGAATACTTGTTTAAAAATTTAAACAATTTTCAGTTAATACATAAATTATGGGTGATACTGCGTGTATAATAACAATAACACCGTGCACTTTGTTTTCGTATTTCACGTATCATATCGCCGGTGTACAGTGTCATTCCGCTAATATTTGATACGATAAAATACATAATACAATAAGTTGGTAAATATTTGCAAATTATAGATTACGCTTATCGTCTAGTCATATTAGTGGCACAATTTAGTTTGATAATATTAAATTATTGGCCAAAGCCCACGAAGTTCTAATATGAAATACTGTACGTAGAGATGATTAGGGTCTAAGGGGAAGGGTTTACGGAGTTGTCTAAATAACGGTATTAATATTATGAACAAATAATTATAATATTTTAAATTAGATACGAATTTAAACAGTTTACCAAGTCTATATTAAAAAAAAAATACATAAAAAATTGTTTCAAAGATTTTAATGCTAAATAAATAATTATATATACAAATAATAAAAAAAAAAAAACACTTAAACTGAAGTAATACAATACCTAAGTTGTGTGTATTTACGATTGATTTTAATTTAAAAAATCATCACCAGGTAAATGCAGGTGAAAAAATAATTTAAAACACTTCTGAATATACTGTACTGTAATTTTGTTGTACGTGTCTATACTCAAAAGTACACAGAAATAGAAAATATTGCCATTTATTTTTTTACATAAAGAGTAAACAAATTTTAATAGAAGATGTTATTATTAAAAAAAGATAAGATGACATAGAAAATAATATATTGGTATATAATATTACTCGTATTTTAGATTCTAATCTGGTAAAGTTTTCAAAATATTTGAGCCATTTTCGAGCCTTTTATAGAAATTGAATTTTACTAGTTTTTTACATAATTTTTATTTAGTAGGTGCTAAATAGATAAAATTGTTAGACCAAACAGCAATATTTGAAAATTAAACACGAAGTTCATTATAAGTTGCACATCAAGAAAAAGTTATATTTAATGTAATACTTTTATTTTACAAAAATTTTATTATAAAATTTTGACGAAATCGTAAATATTACGGCCCTTCAAAGCATGTGTAACCGAAATCTGCTCAGAATCGTTTTTTGTTTGCAATAATTAATCTTTGTGTATAGATATAAATTAAATTCTGCATCTAGCTTCCCTACTTCTCAACTACAATACAACAGTGGCCCATACATCGTGTGAAGTATTTCCGTCTTTTTTAAATCTGTCTGTAGGTACATTTAAGGTAGTTTTAATATTATTTTCTTAAACATTATTATAAATAATATGTAAATTTTCTAATACGGAACTAGTGAAAACGTTTTCTTTGCTATTAAAACTTTAAAGTCGTCATTTATAACAAAATAAACGCTATGATAAAGTTGATAGATACAACTTCTACATTTTACCTGCAATTTTATTAGCCATGACCCTTCACAATTAATACTATTTAATGCCGGTAGACCGCTTTAAATACCCCCTGTTATGGTAAGACTTGCACTTCTTCTGGTGCATATCCGATTCCGAATGTTGGTGACCATTCCAGCAATGCTCTCTCAGTTGGGTTGCGACGCGAAACAACACAGATGAGCTATTATTCCCGAACCATACCCTTAGATTCTGAAATCATGATATTCTTTTTCTGCTAGGTCCTCTTTTTCCAAACATTTTTCTTGTAAAATGAATTGAAGTATAGAATACCTACTCTCATTCTTCATTATATGTCCTAGGTATCGGAGTTTTCTTATCTTAATGGTGTTTACGAGCTCAGTGTCCTTGTTCTTCCTCCTAATAACTTCGATGTTGGTAATCAGGGTAGTTCATGGTATCTTCAGTATTCTTCTATACAGCTGTAACTCAAAATCTTCTATTTTCTTTATAATGGCATCATTCAGAGTCCTGAATTCCAAACCGTAAAATAGCACAGAGAACACATAACGTTTTATATGTCTCATTTTTGTTTTTAAGAGATAAATTATGACTTGAAAATTGCGCTCATTTTTTAAAAAGACTTACACTCTACATTCAAAATTAATGGTTAATTGTCAAAATTCTTTAAAGGGTATCTACCTACCTAATAAAAATAAATCCATGACGTTGATAGTAAATCCCGAGGTAAATCCACCTCATGTACTTTTGTTGGCCTACAACTACACTCGAATATATTATAGTTATCAGTTATTAAATATTATGTGAACACGATGAATAAGTTTAACAAGTGCCATCGAATATTAATTTACATTTCTAAGCTTTTAAGATGACAACGCAATATTTATGGTTTTCGTCAATCAAAGATACATTATAGCGAAATTATAGTCTTTGTGCAACTTTTGTTATTATGATTTTATTGGTGGTCAAAGTTAAATCTTCGATTTTATATTGTTTTTTTTTTTATAGCAAATCAGTGGTGTGGCCAGAATATTAAAATGGAGGGGTTTGCCGTTTTATTTAAAATAATAACTTCTAACAACAGGGATGTTCTATAATCCACTATTTTAAATAAAAGTTTTGTTTTATTTTTAATACATTATAGGAATGACGGTGAAATATTCAACATTTCGACTAACATTATAAAGTTATTTTGTTTATAAAAATAATACTGAACTTAAAACTGTTCAATTTTTACTACAGTTAATTCTATTTAAAATGTATAATATAATATCAATTATTTTCCTGGTTTGATGGGGCGGGAGAGGGTGACTCCAATCACTCCTTCTGGGCACGCCACTGGCTTAGAATGACGTGACTGCATACTATTACAAATATTATCCAGAAGGATATTGGCTATTGGTTTAAAATATTTTCATTTCAAACACGATTACAATGAATTTAAATATAGGTACCTACCAACTATAAAGTTTAAATTTGTTTAAAACTTGTCCATAGTATATACTGGTATACTGGATATTATTCTTTGTAGTTGTTATAATAAATTATATAATAAGTATAATTCGAGCCTCAGGGTACAATAATTATTATGTATAAAAAGTCTATTATAATAACGAAGATTGATGCCAAAAAAAGTTACACTGATATTTGTATTTATTTATTTTATACTTAAACAAACTGAGCACAGTAAACAATGGGTAATACATTTGATTCTATGTAGAGAAAAAAAAATAATAGCACTATATAATTATTATTTATAGTCAAATAGTAAAAATTGAATAAAACTCAATAAAATGAAAAATAAATAAATCAACTTGGAAATCATTCGTTAATCGCATGGTTCTATTAACACGAGCTGGTAGAGCATAGTGCATTTTAGATTCCAAGCATATAGCGATTGGTTTTACTAAGATGTTTATTTTTTTATTCTTTCTTTCTTCTAGTCTGTAGACACGTTTTTTCCTAGTTAACTTGCTCCGATTCTTACATGTAGTGTAGCACCTTTTCTGAATGTTCAAATTGTCTAGATTGTACTTTAGAGAAGTCATTTTTTTGATTTTCAACGCCATTTTTTAAATAAAAGCACTTAGGTGGGAAAAAACGTAGGAAAACGTACAATTTCACGATTTCATTATTTTATAAAAACACAGGCGATTTTTTCTACGAGAAAAAACGATTTAATCGAAAAATCACAAAATATTTTTTTTGTTGCCTTTTTAATTTACTTTCTTACGGTGTCATTTCCAAAACTTTTGAGCTACTTTTGAGTTTTTAAGGAATTTTAATTTTGAAACTTTGTAATAATAATAATTATATTGAACTTACCTAGACGTGTTTAAATTTCCGTAATCATCGGACGACTTTTTTTTAATAAGGGTTTTGAAATCAAATTTAAACAAAAATCGCAAAAAAAAAATATGGCACTTAAAATTATGTGTTACCGAACTGCGCTCGGAATCGTCTTTCGTCAAGCAATGGTTTATCATTGCTTACAGATATAAATGAAATAACCTTATGTATCCTACCTAACCAACTTCTCACGTACAATATTGGCCGCTCCCATCCCCAGTATCAGCTCTTTTTTAATTTAGATATAAAAAGGTTTTGTAGATTTAGTTTAACATTGAGCATGTACAAATTAAAATAACTTAGTAATCTTGGATATTTTATAGAGCCGTTAACCATTTTATATAAAAACTTAAATCATTAATACCTACTCTTCTCTTGACATTTTTAATTCGATATAAATGTATAATGATCATTATAGAGAATATAGTTTTAGATTCCGAGCGCAGTGAGGAATGTTTTGGTTTAACTACGATGTGTATTTTTTTAATTTTTCTATCTGTTACAGCTTTTCTACCAGTAATCTTACTCCAATTTTAAAATGTAGAATATTTTCTGAATGCAAATTTCGAATTGATTTTCCTTTTAGTTTTTTTAATAATTGGAAAAAAGGGAAAAATGTTAGATTTAACAGAATATTTTTAGTATCCCTTTCTAATCGTGATGATATTTTCAAAACATTCTGGCATTTTTTGGATAATTTGTAAGAATTTGACATTTTCGAGTATTTTTCAGCTTTTAATTGGTTTAAAATAAATTTAGTTTTAACAAAAAAATTATTTTGGCCAAGCAAATAGCTTGACAGTTTTATACGAAGTTTATCATAAAAGTTGTAATTAGTAAACGAAAAAATGTATAGTATGCTCTTTTTTTTAAACATTTTAAACTTAAAATGTCATGAAACTCTTAAAAATCATGACATTTAAAAATATGTTCAACCAAATTTCACTTAGAATTTGTTTGCTTTCGTTGATAATAATTTATCGTTGCGTACAGATATAAATTAAATAACTTTTTTCTATCCCACCTACTCAACTTCCCATCTAAAACAGTGGCACATCCGTCAGCAGTATCACCTCTTTTGTTTGTTGTTATATATAATGCGATTAAAATAATTGCATATACGAATGTATATATTTTATTTAAGACTTAGGTAGCTTGTATTTTATATCATACAGGTACTATCACCAATATAGGCACATAGACATTATTTGGCTACCATTTGGCCGCTAGAGTGTGTATCATTGATTCTCATGCAAACGTCTCTAGCGTTCCATATCTAATATCCCTATATACCACGGGCTATCTGTGTACTATAGTATAATCAATGGTCATAGACTCTTAGGAAAATAAATGAAAGAAACATATTATTATGGAAGAACAGTGAATGTATATATAGATGGTATTTAAGATTGACTGTTATATAATGATAGAAACTATAAAATGGACAATTCTATTTATAAATATAGGTGTATAAAATAGTAATAAAAAGCGTAAACAATTTGAGTTATTAAATTGAAGGAGTATAAGCCATTGCGTATATAGTCGGATTGGATATTATATACATATATATATATGTATAGGATTATTCTGTTCAATAAAGCTCATAGATACTTCAATAGGTACATTGTATGTAAAATAAATATTATTGCGTATCCGCAGAATGAGACAATTTGACAGAGATATCGTTATACGACGAACTTAATGCAATCGGTCATTAATAATGAATGAGAGCTATGAAACTACCAATATTAATTTCAGTTCAAGTATCTCTCATCTGTAAGTAAGTGTTTTTCGTGACGTTATTACCTATAATCCTTCACCACTCTATAATACCAACAATGTATAAGTTAATAAATGGACAGACTTTATGAAAATTATTATCCTTCTAATAAGCTTCGTGTAAATATTTATTTTGTACTCATCCGTACAATCAAATATCACGAGTTGATCAATGTATTACTAAGTTATACTAAGCTAATTGGTTCTATAAGAATATTTAATTTAACTTTAATCTTAATACAATAAAAGAAAGTATTTTGCGATCGTGAGTGTACTGTAAAGCAAAATCGATATGGGACGCGTAGAAATATGACATTTTTAACATAGACATTAGACGGGTAAATGGGGAAGTGACCTGACAAGTCGGAATTTTGAATTTAAATTTTGGTTTTCACAATTGAATTTTAGATTTTTCTGTTGATCCCTGTGACCACGATTACAATGCGGATTTAATTATTTTTAAGGAAAAAAACCGTCGTTTACAATAGCACAAAACACAATTCATCAAACCGATATGATCTAGAATAACAATATTGTAGGATTAAGACACCCCTAACATCCATTAAAGTGGGATGGGTTTGGACAGACGAGTACTGTGTAGACTAGATATTAAATATATATATCTAAGCCATGCCTGGTGCGGCAGCTAATAAAATTTGTATATATTTCTCCTTTAATATTATTAGTTTCTATTTATAAGTATATAATCGAATTATTACTATATTAAAACTATTAAAACTATTACCTAGTTTGAATATGTACAAACCACTAACAACTATGATACTAACAACTTTGTTTTCAATAATATGTAATCTAATTAATATATAATAATCAATAATTATTTATACATCTATATCTGTCGTATACGTGACTAAATTATTAAAACAATTTTTTTAAATTTAATCAAGAATGTTCTAAGTCGTTTATAAACTATTTATAATATCACTAATACTTTATTCATACATACATAGGGATGAAATGATGCATTTAAACTTGTGTTTCCGAATTGCGTACGGAAATTATAATATAGGTCGAATTGCGTGCGTGGTTTTTTTATTTTTTAGATTTTAGATTCGCTGAACATTTTTTTCCTAGAAATATTATAATTTTTTGATTTTACCAGCGGATTATTATAATCAAAAAAAAAAATCAAAAGAAATACAATTTATAAATAAATACAAATAGGTATACAACGAATTGTATATTATAATAATAAATACATTGAATAAAATTTACATTAAAAATTGTATACATATATATATTTATATACAAAAAAAAAAAAAAAAACCATTAAACTGGTAAGTTTTTGTATGTACTTCAAACGGGCTAGGATATGAAGAATAAAACATGTTGTTAAGTTTCGAATGAAACGATTCGCAAGTATTAGTGGTACGCATTAAATAAACTATTTGAAAATTTAGCCCATATTATTGATGGAGGGAATTTACAACGTTGTGAAATGTATAGTTTTTTTCTAAAAAAGTTACAAAATATCTTGTATTTACTAATTATTTGGTTTTATAGCAATGAAATCTCCGGAAAAACATTCTTGAACTTTCTCAGGCTTTAAAAAAGATAATCCAAAGAATAATTATAAACATTTTGGATTTCTTTTTAAAATGTTTACTTAGACCAAATAATTGAATTGTTCTCCTCATAGATTGGCCCAAATAAAAATGCCATGATAAACTACTTCGAGAAAAATTTCCAAAATTATCGAATTTGTCGAAGTTTGTTCGAAATCAGCGTAAATTATATGTGATGTCAAATTCAAATCGCTCATTTTTTTCTAATAATTCGAAAGTGCATCTTTCTAAATATTTGTACTTTTGTCTGTTAGTAAAAAAAAAAAATAGACTAGTGGTGTGTAATTTCCAATTTTAGCTCCATGGATAATAAAAAATTGGTAAGTAAAATGGGTTTGGACAACTTTTGAACGTATCATCAATATTTAAAACAACGCATTCAGCTAAATATTTCAAGTTAGTTTGGGTTGCAAATGCTAAAAAAAATTTTCTGGATCATTTATAAGCAAAAATATTTCATATCGATTTGTTTTAACTTTACCTAAATTTATTAGAGCCAAATGTAGTTCATTTAATTTTGGAGCCTTATTTAAAGGTGCATAGTGAATATGATTTCGTATACGTACCATTGTCTGTAGTAGTCAAACCACTAATGTCCCCGTAACGCAACTCACCATTTTGCATGGCTTTTCACACGGATCGTCCAGAGCTTTACGATTTAATTTATTACTTAGTTTTTTCTAATTAAAATATTTTGATCCTCCTTTTCGTGTCGTGATTTAGAACACTAAAAATAATTTTATCATATTCACTTAATCTAAAATAAGATTTACATATTATTTTTGTAAATGCCCATCTCTCGATATTATTATGTGAAAATGTATTGAAATCAAATTTATATTTCTTTCATCGTACATGATATCTATTTTTTTTTTTTTATCGTAAGTATTTGAAATTTTTTCAATGTCTAACTATTGACTGATCACCAAAAGCTATAAATCGTTGAACAGTATACAGTTTACTTATCTAATCGCCATTCACTTCTAGGAGAAAACTCATATAACAGTAAACAGTGTACCAAATTTACTAGCTATATTTAATAGATCGGCGAAAACCAGTCCAAAAAATGTAATATCGAAACGTGTAAATTATACCATGGCTTAAAAATAGGCGTCTCGGTAAATCAATTTATAATATGAACAATACATAATGTTAAATGCATGCATCGCACACATATGCGCGCACCTGATAAAAAATGCATGGGAAGTTTTATCTGATGCATAAAAAATAAAATATGAACATAATATAATAATATTATTTCTAGTTTATAAATCACGGTATGTAACTTAATAAAGATTAAATTTTGATTTCAAAATAAATATCAAGTACCCAATAAACGAACGTACTGATCTTATTAATCGATTGCAATGAAATATAATATTGCAATATAGTTATTTAAGTAAATAACTTCCTGAATGTTTTTTTGATATTTCTCAATATTCGGATTTCAAATTTGTGGAAATTATAGATTTATAAATTTATATCGCATAATGATCATTAAATAATATTGTTTGTATAATATACGAGTACTGTTAATTGTGCATAATACTCATAGACGTTTTATGGACATTATTTACATGGAAGAGTGCCAGTTCGTATACTTTTTTGTAATAAGGGCCAATGTATTTCGGAAAACGCTGGAATGGCAAATGTCCTTTTTTGCCCCATCTTCGGGCATCTATAATAATATCTAAGTTGCTATAGGTAACTCTTTTTAGTCCATGGAATGATATATGTAAATTAAATTTATTGCAGTATTATTATAAAATATATTGTTATTATACTATCGTTAAATAAAAGCACGAATTCACGGGTAAAATTATTAAAAACAGTATTGTTAATTGTTTATTGTTTTTATAACCTATCGTCTGTAGTGGTATAATTTGGAACATTGCGTTATTTACAAATTCTCGTCCGTTTAATTTTTTAAAAAAAAAAATCTACCTAATTATTTAATATTATATATTATTAGGTATACGTCTGATTATTTAATCGAAATAAACTGTCCCATTAGTATCAGCATAGGGCTGAACAACGTTGATCATATTTGTGTCAATCTCCATGACCCTATGTTTGTTTTTAACAATCGTCCCAATCGAGTTGAACCAAAATAACGTGATCGTCAGTGTAATATAATATAATTTACAAACAATGGCGTGACAACGTGATCGCCGACGAGCAAATCGTTTACTCATCACGTGTTATTCTTATGTTGACAATAAAAATGTAGTACTCGCAATGTTCGAAACGTGATCATTATCGATTCGAATAGCTATTTCATTCAAATTGTACAAGATACATATTTCATGAAGAGAAATGTTCCTTCGTGTATACATTACTCACCTCGAGTGTTTCGTAATGTTATTATATTTAATGAGGAAATACAAACGATCAAAGCAATGATGAAAATGTTTTATTTTATTTAGGACCCGATGTCACACCGGATTATAGAAAAACGGCGACGCGATCGAATGAATAATTATCTGGCTGATCTGTCACGGTTAATACCAGCAGAATACATGAAAAAAGGTCGAGGTCGGGTCGAAAAAACCGAAATTATCGAAATGGCGATTAAACACATGAAGTACCTACAATCAAACGCCCCGTCGCCTGGTAAGATATCCTATTATAATTACGTACATCGAGACGCCAACAAATAAAACCTAATTGTACATTTTGATACATGACATTTTATAGATGAATATCAATCACTCGGAACAAAACAGTCAGAACCCGTGAAAACTGAAATATTACCCGAGCAAAACGAAAAATCTGTTTTAATATCAGAACAGTATAAAATGGGCTTTTTCGAGTGCCTAACCGAGACTATGCAGTATTTAGTCGAAGGACATGGATATCCGCCTGGCCACGGGTTGTGTTTATCGCTCATTAATCATTTACAAAATCATTGTGCTCAAATCGTCAAAGGTATGTAATATACTAATACTATTCAATAATATGATTGATGTGAATGATATTCAACGCCCAAATTATTGTTATTAATTACATATTGTGGTTATATCCAGGAAAACAAGTGATCCAAGAGGTGATAAAAGATGATATAATTTTGGAAATGAATAGATTCAACACAAATATGCTTATGAACCTAGACGAAGACGGTGACGGAAGCTACGAAGATAACAGTCGACAACAAAATTCTTCAAAAAACTCAAAATCACAATCGTCTGTTAGCACATCCAATGATCAGGTGCGTGACGTAATTGTTATAATATTAATATTTATTAATTATAAAGAACGGTAGCTTTTACGAGGATGTGAAACATAGGATTAAGTGAAGGAAAGCATCAGGTGTTTTATGTGACAAGATGATTCCAATGCGACTTTAAGGTAAATTCTACAAAAATTTGGTGAGACTTGTTATGTTGTATAGATCGAAGTGTTAGGCAGTAGACAGAAAAATAGAACAGAGAATGAGTATAGCAGAGATGAGAATGAGTGAATGAGTGGAATGATGAGATAAGGTAGGATAAGGAATGAGTACATAAGACTTAGATGTGACTTCGATAGTGGACAAAATGAGGGAAATTAGACTGAGATGGTTTGGGCGTGTCGGAGAGACGAATCAAAAACAGTAAGAATTGTAATGAAAATAGACGTAGTAAGAAAGAGGGGTAGAGGAAGACCAAAACAGAGATAGTTGGATGCGGTTGAGATTGATATGAAGATGGCGGGTGTATGCGAGGACAATGTGGTGAATCTATTCAAGTGCAATTTTAGGACAAGGGTTTTTTATTTCATATCACATATTTTGCTGTCCAATATTTTACCTTCAATAGAAAAAATACCTGCGCGATATTCGTTGACGTATTTTTGTAAATTTGACGATAAAGTTTTGATTTAGGTATTTTACTGTATGTACTTCCCTATATACACGCAAATGCCAAACAGCTGCTACTAAAATGCCTATATTTTCTAATAGTTTGCAGGCACCTACTAAGATTATAGATTAACTATAGGTACTATAGATTAATCTATTCCAGAAATTCACTATAAATATAGATACACCATAAATAGATAAATTTAACCATAGTCGCCTTATTTTATCACATCGTGACAAACCAAACGTTGTGCTTATTTGAGTTATACATCTTGGATATTATTTATAAAATATAAATATGATGTATATACAGTCAGCGTAAAATAATAAATAAGTATGTAAAGACGGAATAATAATTGATAAAAAAAAGGAAAAAATGCCCTAAAAAATTTTAAATGTCAACAAATGCTATTTAAACGGTTTGGTTCGTTATATTATTTAAGTTGTGTGATTTGAAAGCTATGTTTTAAAATAAGATAAAAATATTGTACTACCTACAAATTCACAGCCCTAGTTATAACCTTCCAGTGACCATAAGTATTTAATAAACATTGTGTTTTGTTTATAGACTTTACCAGACCGCTGTAATATGTCATTTACTACAGACTCTTATTCGTCTAATGGCTCTATGTACAAATTCAAGACGGACATTAAACAGCGATTCAGTGCTGAGAACAGTGGCATGAACTTAACGGAGTCTATGGACTTGACAGACTACTATACGCAAGACAAAAAACGGCGCCGAAAAGAATCCTCAGACTGTAATGAAGATAGACAGGAAGTGCCCATATTCGCGTTGCATGAAAACGGATCATATTACATACCCCTAACTGTAAACAGAGAAGTTATTTCACCCATGCTGAACAACGTGCTTGCCGAAAATCGTTCGTCAGTGATCGTACATCCTATATCGATTTCAGTTAACTTTCAAGCATCCAACCAGTTCTGAATGAAGTCCCCTTTCAGAACCTAAAGACTACACATGTAATGGCATAATATAATTGAAACCGTTTGACGAAACGGGACCAACATAAAAATTCCATTTGAATTAATTAACTTAAATAATTTATTATTAATGAGTTAAGCTTTTCCTATACCATTATTATATATTTTCTATGTAAAACTTGAGTTTTGACTTTTTCATACAATATTATTATTATGTGCGTGTATCAAAACCAATAAATTATACACATTGTTTTTTAACTAATTAGTATATTGAGGATATTACTTTTATTGTACACGATAATGTAATCTGTACTTTAGCGTTTATTTTTACAAGGTAAATAATGTATTCTAAACATTTTCTAGGATTAACTCCGGTAAACAAGAGATACCTAAATATCGTTGTTTCAAGTATTTTGTGAAATAAGCAAATTATTATACAGATATACATCCATATTAATGTATTACATAATATATATTATGCTAACATTTTAAAATTCAAGTTATATTTTTATATTTGTTTATTTGTATAGTCATACAATCTAAAGTGATACTTTTAAATCAAAATAATTTCAATATTAATTTTATAATTTGGTACAATAAATATTGAAAACTAAATTTAAGATAGTTTAAAACTATTGCATTTATATCATGATAATATTATAATATTCTGTACAATTTTAGTGGAAATAATAATACACACTTATTAATAGTTTTTAAAAAGAATATATGAATCTTCTTCGGTCATCCTAAGTTATAATTTTTTATGGATAATTTTTGAAGAAGTTAGAAGAATTTATTCGAACATTCTTTTTTAATGGAATTATGAATAAGAAAATTAAAATATTTTTGTTAATAACTTGTACAAAAAATTGAAGGATTGTGTATTTTAATAAACTATATACTATATTCAGTGGTTAAAATAGGGGCGAGACGGAGTCATCCCTTCTTATTTAGGGTAAAATTATCATTCCCCTTAGGCGTGTTTGAAAACTCAACTCGAGTTAACTCTAGTGTCATTTTAAATATCAGAGTTAACTCTGACTACTGCTGTTTGGGAACGCAGAGTCATTAACTCGAACGACTCTAGATAAATAGGTATATTATTTTAACTCCGCTGATAATGATGCTTATCTCATGATGAAAACCAAAATCATGATTTTATTGTGATCTATATATTTATTACATTACCATTTGAAATTTTGAACTAAAGTAATGATAATAACCTAACTTTCCTAATTTTTATTTTTTTTTTCAATTCATTGTTTAATGATTCCCTGAATGAATCTAATACCTACTATAAATAGGTCTGATCACTGATGGATCATCTTAAACAAAATCAATGATATAGTTTTATAAAATTAATACTAATTTTTAATTATCTTCTACCGTTATTTTTAATATCATTTAATGCTTAAATATTTGTATTTTAAAATTTAAAATTTAAATACTCATTAATTTAATAACTTGTTATTTATAATTTATAAATACCAAAAATTTGATATAAGTATATTGTTTGGTTATTTGGAGTTATCACATTTGAAGTCATTTATGGAATAGACTGATAAGAGTAAACTCTAACTACAAGTTTTTGAGCACACCCCTTTAGTTGATGTCCAAGGATCCTTTAATTTTGTCAATGAAATATTTTTTATGACATAGGTATTAAAAATAAATTATTTATTACTAATTAGATTATATGTATTCAAATTCTTTTTTATTTTATTCTTACTGAGCAATCACATGCATAGGATAATATTTAAGAAGGATGAGTACCATTTATTTTTAATCCTTTTAGTATAAAATTTTTATGAACAAATGTGTGTGTGAGTAAAATATTTTGAAAGTCTTGTCTCCATGACAGGTTTCCTTTAAGTTTAGTAAGGTTTAGTTAGTTCTTTGGAATACCTCTCAATTTTATATAAATATATTCCTTTTTCAAAGTTTTTCCCACTTAAACACTGAGTTTATATTAGTACTTCTATATTACTATTCATGTTCAAAATTGAATAATAAATGTTTGTTTAAAAGTATCCTATTCAAAATTAAAATTCACCATATTAAAATAACGAATTTATGGAAAATTTATTATAAATTATATAAAATACAAAAAAAATTATTTATAAACAAAAGTTCAAAACATTTACTTATTATATTAATAATAATTATGCATCTAAAAACTGTTTTAAGTTTTATTTTAATTATTTAATAGGTATATTATTTGTTAAATGGATGTCATTCCAACTATAATTTGATTGTAAAAACTATTTTGTGTGGAAAAACTTTTCTGGCACTATATTTAAAATAGAATTATCAAAATAATTAAAGATGATCTTTATATTATCATAGCGTACTTATTTTTTTTAGCATAAATATAATTAAAATTATTTGTGTTTAATTTCAATTTTTTGGGTAAGTATTAACTTATTAAAAAATATTTAGCAGTACTATTGAAAAATAAAGCATGCTAGGACTTGGCTAAAGATTTATCCTATACATTAAACATTTTGATAGCTCTTATAAATACCGAAAGCAATTAGTCTTTACAGAGAAAACAAATACTTTTTTTGTCACAAAAGTAATATTTTAATAGAATACATTATTAGAGTATAACTTTTATAATGTTAAACTAATTTTATTGTTAAACCAATTTTTTAAAATAACTAGTAGGCATGTAGGTATGTAGAATATACTTATATTATTAATATTAATAATATAAGTACCTTTGTGTCATATAGTTTCTTCTGAGATAGGATTCTTCTATGTTATAACTTTTTCTTTATCCTATCAAACGATTTAAGGTATACACTATTTTTTTTGACTGAATCTTTAATTTAATATTGAATATTAGGTATTGCTTAAATATAAACTCCATTTACTCAGTACTGCCACTTTATAATTTTAATACCAAACCTTAAGGCAACGTACTAAAATGCTAACCCATATTTAATGGGTTGCATTTAATTAAATTTCTTGAATTTTTTAGTAAATGCTTATTTATTAACTCAATTCAACTTTATTGATTTTAAAGTATATTTATACATTTTTCTGTCATTATCATAAGTAAAAATTGTGTAATCTTGAAATAAAAAATTATCTGGCCATATTCCTCACAAACCTAATGCCATAAGGTAATAGGTATAATTTGATATTATTTAACACCAAATATAAAATATTACAAAATAATAAAATATTATATTAAATTATAGTTTTTTTCTTTAAGCATTTAAATAATTTGAATTTGGTTGGTTTTTTTTTTTGAGAACTTGCACTAATTTATTTTGGTTTTAGTTTTTTCAATAAACTACTAATTTCACTACTACAAAATGAGTTATTTGAGTTTAAAAAATATTAAATTAATCAATTTTAAAACAATATCTTTTTTTCTTCATTTGTGGTATCAAAAAAATAAAAAACTAAAGTACAATTATTAATTCTCCTTTATAGTATATTTTTGTTTTTTAATTAGATTCAAAATAAGTTTTTACAGTCAAATAACAGGTGTTAGAATGCCCTCTTAACAGTAGGTACTTTTTTGCATAAAAAAATATCTGTATACCTCCCTAAAAAAGAAAAATTCACCTACCTTAATAATACGCATAAATTATATATCTGTAAGTTAAATTTAGTAGATACTATAAAATATTAAAAAACTGGAGACAAGTCAGCCTCATGTTATAAACTAGGTACCACTAAATTATTTGGCCCAAATACAGGATGTCCAACGAATGGGTATGTACCCATTGTAATATCTTCAGAGATAATAAAGATAATCAAAATCTGTTTTTTTTTTATACTACTCACAAGGATAAGGACTAAAAATATATTTATGATATCAACAGTGATATAGCCACTGCTGTATTACATCACTCTAATATTTTATGAAAAATTTTTTCTAAATATCAAAATAGTCTTACAATTATTTGCTACACTTCCAGTATCCACAGACACCCCTGAAAGGTCATTTTCTACTTTAAGGAATTTAAAAATTACATGGGCTCTACAATGTTTAGATGAACGACTTAGCTCTATTAAATATTTATATAGAAAAACATTTAGATATTGACTGATATCAATGAATTTATTAAAAAAAGAAAAGAAAAATGGTCTACCAATCTAAGTCAATCTGTCAACTGTAAACTATCCAAATATCAAATTACTATATACATTTTATTAATGTGTACTTATTAAAAAATAATTAAGTATTTATTTAATCTTTAAATACAATTATGTATATTGATTAATAATTATATATTGAATTGTTTATACCTAACCCCCCCTTTTTTTGAACACAGATTCGAATAGAGTACCTATATTTTTCTAGAAATTTCGATATGCATAACACTAATATCAAATTTACCGTTTATGAGTTAAAATTGTTTAAAGTTTAGACCGGAGGAGTAGGGAAGAGTTAATAATTATCATTTAAAAGTAGATATACAATTTATGGAGTAGAATTAAAAAATTAAAAATAGTTTTAAAACAAATTTAAATCAAATTCACTTAAAATCTTTCGAGATAATTACTGATTCATGATAAAAAAAATTCCTCTTTCATAGAAAAATTGAAACCGCCTCATAAAATTTGAAAAACGTCACTGATGACAACAATAATAAACATGAATATTATGATTGTTCTGTGGTCTTCACCTTTAATTTAATTAACTGAACGACGTAAATAAACATACAATTTTAAACATCATGTCAAATATAAATAAATAATATTTTTTAAATTAAATGGCCTAAGCTCCTGAAGGGACTCATCTTTGACATGGGTGGCTAAGTCCCCCTAGATACTCCTATGATTGCGACGTATGTTCAAGAAAACCGAACCGAGAAAAAGATTGTACAGTGCAGCGCGGCCGTTTTTTCAACCTTTCCAGACGACATGAAGCGTAACGAAGAGGATCGGGATTCAATGACTGTAATTCATAATGATGGGCAAAACCGATTTGTTTTGAATATTGATTGTCAATCGATAGTTTAAAAAACAGCCGAGCGATTTATCGATTGAATAGATAGTTTTATCCATCAATTGTTTTGAAAACTATCGAATGAATTAGTCAATAGTTTCATTCATTAGTAGCACCGACTGATTTTGGCTATCGATAGTTTAAAAAACAACCGAGTGTTTTTGACTAAATAGTTTAAAAACAACTGATTACTTTTTCCACTGAATAGATATTATCAATAGAATGAACTAGGTACTCAATAGTCCGATAGTTTTCTATCGGTAGTATCGGTACCGACTGGTTTACAAAACAACTGAATGTTTTTGACAATCGATTGTTTAAAAACAACTGAGTAAATAGATAGTTTTAAACTATCGAGTAGTTCCATAGTTTTCATTAGGTAGTGTCCATCACTAATAATTCAATATTTATGTTTACCTCGGTTATCTACGAGTAGATCTATTATTACATACCCGAAGTACATACATTGTTTTAAAGATAGGTAATTAAATATGAGTGTAGTGCAAGTGGTCCGACAATTTCAGCGTACAAATGGCTGAAGTGTCAAGATCTATCTTTTCTTTCTGACCTTCTAAATCGAAGTGTTATGATAAGTTTATGTAAAAGTTACCGATATTAGGTCTATATAAACCAAGGCAATTACTTATAGGTATTTTACATTAAGTAGATCATTTTATGATCAGTGCCGATTTGTAATATCATTGATTGTATTGTAAACAATTGTATAATATATGGTAACAATTAACAGAAAATAGTCTTAGGGCCGTTAACTTGGTGAGAACGGTCATTAGTCAGTAGATCAGGCTTACTCGAGGATACCACTATAATAAACTATCATAATATTATTATGCTTTTTAGATAACATCAAATTTTTACTGTATAATTTAAAAAACTAACAACAAATGTCGATAGATCTAATGGCGCTGAAGTTCATTCTGAGGTCGTACCTAGGCCCAAGAGTCCAACCACTTTTTCAAACATCGTACATGATGTACACAGTGTTTATTAAAACTTAAAATTAGTTTACAATAATATGATCAACGATAGAGTAATACAATACTAATACAATATACTAGAGATTAGGGAATAGCTAATAGCTAATATCCAATAAGTGTATCATATTTGATGATTAAATTATATAGTGCCAATCTTGGTTCTGGCTCACCCGGCTAACTAGTGATCGCCGGAATCCAGGAGCCCTTGGATGTATTTTTGAATATTGGGGGTCTTTGGTCAAATGAGAAAATGAGAAAAAATATTTAGACATATTTTAATTTTTTTTAATTCTTAATAAAATTTTAATTATAATACTATATTTATTTCAGAAAAAAAAACTAAATAAATTAGTAAAAACTACTTTGGTAGGTATCAAAAAAAGGGAAAAAATATTATACATCTATAATGTAATAATAGTAACTCACCAAAGTGTTTTGCAATTTTGTACAATTGATGTCCGCGACAGCCGACATTCTATTATATTACTAGCATTTTTGGTGATGAACAAAAAGTCCGAAAATACAAAATAATCTATTAAATTTTCAGCGTCTATTGTTACAAAAAAAAAGGACGGACCGATCTTTAAATCAATATACGAGGGGTTGCTATTAAATAACGAGACTGGTTACGAAAAAATGTTTTATTATAAAAATTATTCTACATTCAAATACTCCCCTTCAATATACTCCCCTCCCCTCGCCACACACCGTTTCATTCGTTTCTTCCATTGCTCGAGGCAGTGCTGGAAGTCTGTTTTCGTAAGACCATTCAGGAGTTCCGCCGATTTTTGTTTCATCTCTTCCATCGACTCAAACCGGATTCCTTTTAAGGCAGACTTTATCTTCGGAAACAAGTAAAAGTCGCAGGGTGCCAAGTCGGGTGAGTAAGACGCGTGTTCGAGTACTGGAATGCCTTAAGCGGCCAAATAACGCTTCACGCTTTATCCTGGTGCAAGATCCACGACTTGTTTTTCCACAATATCGACCGTTTCTTACGAACTCATTCGCGCAATGTTGCCAAAACTGTCAAATAGTAATGTTGGTTTGACCCTCTGGAACCCATTCAGTGATCACGATGCCGTTGATATCGAAGAAAACGGTTTTGAATTTGGATTACGACTGAATTGGATTCCGGTGCACTCTCGACCTTCAGAAAATAATTTATGCCACTCAAAAACACGCGCCCGAGATAGGAAATCCTCACTATAGGCCTCTTTTAACAACTTATAGCACTCAGTTGGAGGTTTTTTTAGTTTAACGAGAAAATTTTACGTTTATCCGTTGCTCATGTTTTTCGTCACACATGGTTTTCGGCACGAGAAAAAAACACGTTCGTTTCAAACCACTACTGCACAAATACTATAATAGTGACGAAAACATGTTTTGGTACGTGCATAGATAAGATATCTAGATACCCAACGCATTACTCGTTTTTTTCACTACCCATCTAGGGCACCTTCTAGGCGAGAAGTCTCGTTATTTAATAGCCGCCCCTCGTTTATGTGTACAAAATGTTACCGCACAACCATCCAGTTAACTGCCTATCATTCAAACGACAATAATATGTATACATAGTAGATCGCGCGTAAAACGAATGCATTCTTATTATCGTTATATATAATATGTATTATCGTAATTTCGTATGGTAAACGTTAAAATTCGTATACCACTAGTGCGATTCGATATTATTATTGTACGACCAATAAAAAGCGAGGTATTCAAAAATGCCATTCTTATGACCTTTGACTTCGAATAACCTTTGACGCGTACATGATATCGAGGTCGACTTTTTACATATTGTTTATAACGATGTCATAAAGGTGTGTACCAAAATTCAGGTAGGTGGGAATTTTTCCGAGCTGAAAACCTGGACGCATGTAAATGCACGAATTGTATTTGTACGGAATATTGGCTTCCGGAATTTTTATTTTCAAACCGTATTTGTAAGGATTACATATTTCCGGAATGTATACACTCGGGCTATATTTTACCGGAAACCTTATAAACCCGGATTTTATTTTTCCGGAAAAAAAACATTTTGCGAACTATAGTCACGGATGTTAAAAACACCGAACTGAAAAATATGCATAGTATATTTGTACAGATTGTCTGTTCCCACATTAAGTGTTCATCGTGAGAAAGTAAATTCAAAAAAAGACCAATTAATTAAAAAGTACTAATGCAATTTAGTGGATAATATACACGTAAATTAAAAATTGTATTATAATTTGTTAATAAGTAATTAAAGTTAAATTCATAAAAAACTAAAAATATGTTTATAAATATCCGATTTATTACTTACGTACTCATATTATGTAATAAAACCTATGTATTAATGATATATTATAGTTGAAGATTTATTTTATAAACAAAAATCGTTATTTATTTTAGATTTTGAATGGAGCGAAGAAACTTATGGTTTTACAAAGATATTTATTTTTTTTATTATTTAATTATTTAACTATATAATTATTTTACCATAATATGACATATATATTGTTGACAAAGCAACACTATCAACTGAATTCCGTTCAGAATTGTTTTTTCGTTAGCAATGGTTAATTTTTACTAACAGATATACATTCAATTACTTATAACATTGACTGCACCCGTCCCTATTATCCTAGGCAAATATAATTTAAAATTACATTTGCCCCCATCTCACCTGGAAAAAAGTCTACATTCATGCTTTATGGCTTATACCTATGCATATCGTAAAAAATATTGCTACCTATTAATATTTCTGTGTTCTGTTACCAATTAAAAATGTATTCGTTTCCGTGAATAAATGCATGATCAAATAACTGTGGTTCAGTAATGTACTTTGTTCTCATGTTAATTTATTTAAACATTAATATCAACGGTTTACTTTCACGCATATATTTTCTATAACTAAACCTTTTGTTGGTGGATGAAACCGGGAGCTCTATAATAGAATCAACAACTAAAGTATATATTTTACTAATATTTGTAATTTTGTATATTTTAGGTAAGTTAGGTATTTTATTATGTAGGTAGGTAGACCGTATTGCATTCGTTTTAGCTATTATTGTTATAATATTCGTAATTTTATGAACGAACGTGTTTTCGCCCAAAGAAATACTTATATTAATCATCATTAACGAAAACAAATTTTGTTTACCACTGTATTTTATTATTGACTAAAATATGTATACCCTGCTCGGGAACCCTTCCGGTCGACTGTCAGGGCGTTTGTCGGCACCAGGAGTGCCACTCCTGATGTTGTTCAGAATATTTTCTGCGGCCCAGCGGACATTCCACGCCGTGACCAAGATCGCATCAGGTATGACCAACTTATGGTCGCTTCTACTCATGGCACTCAATCTTTCTACTCCATGGTGGAGGACATCTTGTGTCACAAGAAACAAGGTGAGAGAATCAGGGAGATCGAGGTGATGGCTAACCGGCGGACTGCCGTATGACACACACTGCATGATCATCTAAGCCACCTGTTACTCACTACATTGGCCGCGAAGAACACCACGAACGAAACCTCAGACCGTCGAATTTTAATCGAGAGGCGAAAAGGAAAGGCCCTCACCTAGGCTTAGCTTGTCAAGGGGTGTTGATGGAAAGGCGTCAATTTTACATATGATAAGCTAATGTAAGCGTGTAAAGTATTGTGTTAAACAGACCTCTAACTGCTGTCGATTATAGTTGAAAAAAAATTATTGAAATGTATATGTAAAACATTATTTGTCATAATAAACAACTTAAATAAGTTTAAAACTTATAACAAATAAAAAACATTATCTATTCGTCGAAGTTATGGTACATGAATTAAATAAACTCATTCAATGTGAGGCGATCTGATTTGTATTGCGTTACTCTCAATTAATTTATTTCTTATCGTAATGTTTTGTATCTTTCAAATTTTTCAAAACATTTGCCTTATTAATTTTAAGATAATTTTTGGTTTGAATTTCATTGAGAATAATATTCAACCATGCAAAAGTGTTTTTTTTATTGAAATTTAAATTAAAATGCAAGTGAAATGATTCAGATATAGAAGAGTTACAGAGTATATAAGAGTTGCATGCTCAAAGTTTAGGAGAAAATAACTATATTTTCTGAAATAATATAATTTTTAGTTAAATAATCACAATACCTATTTGGTTAGCATGTTATCAATTCGACAAACGTTCACTGAATCCTCAACAAAACAGATACTTCGTCGCTATTTGATTTTAGCTGAAACACCACACCTATTTCTTTAATAGTTTGCAAATTGTAGTCCTTTTGACGTAAAAATAATAACTTTATATAAAAATGTCTTAAGAAATTTAATAATTATAGGTATGAAATTTGTGTTTGAAACTTTTTATCGTGACAAATAAAAAACGAGATATTTATAAAAAGGTCGTTTTGTGACCTTTGACCTGGAATAACCTTTGAAGAGTACATGATCTCGATTAGAATTTTTCACACATTATTTATAATGATATTATAAAAGTGTGTACCAAAATTTAGCTTAGTGGTACTTCGTCCGAGCTAAAATTCTAATTTGAATGAATTATAATATTGCGGCTTGCACTCTAATATTTACCTAGTCATAGAAGTACCTAACCGGAACCAATAAACAGTAATACCAATTCCTAATAATCTCATATTCTATAATTTCATTAGCTATCATTGACATTCATGAAGGTCAATTGAAGTAAACAAATTGTCTATAGTCTATACAATAAAATATTGATAAACTGACGCTTATTATAATTCAGTATTTCAGTTACAATACCTACGAGTTATGAAAAACGATTATATCATTTAAAAAATATTTATCCAAACTATTTTAATAGCAAATTTTACTTTTTTTAATTTATTGAATATCATAAAATATAAAATATCATGGTGATCGCTAAAAAGTTTATTTTAGACAAATCGTTTAATGGCCCACCGACAGATGACAATTTTAAGCTAGTAGATGAACAACTAGACGAATTAAAAAATGGAGGTAGGCAATTCAATTTTTTTTTCAGTTCAAAAAAAAATAAAACAACTCTATAAGCATGACAATTACCTTATCTGAAAAATAAATTTCAATATTGATGATTATTGGCTTTTCTTATATTTTTAGAAATTTTAGTTGAAGCAATTTGGCTTAGTGTTGATCCATATATCAGGTACCTAATTACTGAATATATTACCTATTGTTTATTTTTGTTTTAAAAGAAATATAAAACTACCTATGTTTTTATTTTCAAGACCTTATTCAAACCATGTATCACCTGGAACCACTGTTATGGGCACACAAATTGCCAAGTAAGTATTTAATGTACATTAAATCTAAACATTTAACATTTAAATAATTAAATGGTCAAATTAATAATATTTTTTATTATTAATTAAATGTTCAGTTAATAAACTTCTCAATATATTATAGTATAATACCTATAATATTTATTAACTGTAGTAGAATATAATTTATACGATATACCTAATATTAAGTATTGAATAAATAAACTTCGTAGTTAATGTTAATGAGTCAAATTGTTTTTACATCTTTCCGTTTTAAATCCGTTCCCGGATAATCATATATTATAGTCTATGTGAGCCGTTTTACATACGAGCTAAGAGCGTTTATATTAATATTTATTACTAAATACACTTGTTCTGAATTTTTTTTTTTGATTTATTAGTTACTTTATTAATTAGTTACGAAATATCAGTTTTGCACCTCTGAATTTTATGGTAAACCTAACCTAACAAATATTTATTTCTTTGTTTTTAAATGAATAGAAAAAAAAGCATATTGAGGGTTTCATATTATAAATATATATAAAATCACTATGATATAAAAATATCAATAAAAGTTAGGTTCGATAAAAAAACATAAATATAATCATCTTTATGTCTTTTTACATTTTAGTTATAAAAAATTATTTTTTTATATAGTTTTATTTTTAGGAATATTATATTATTACCTAATTTATATTGATATGCAAAATTTCAATATCGTATGATATCGGGAAGTGAGATAAGCTATGGTTGCAAGGTTTAAAAACAAACATAACTGTATGTGAATTAAAACGAAGCACAATATATAGAAATTAATTTTATTTCAAAAGGTTTTAAAATTTGACTAGATATTTGATTTCTGTTATTTAATCTAAGTTAATAACTAATGTACTTATATTTTCAAGTATATAAATTATTAAATCAAAATTTAAAAGTATCTTTAACTGAATATGTTTGAAGATACATATAAATATAGGAGTATAATAAAATGCAATGGAAATTATTTTGTCTACAATGGTACACAAAATCTTTTAAAAAAATGTAATATAGGATTCTTTGAATTGTCGATAATAATATAATAATTTAAGCATAATAAAACCACTCAATGACGTCGAAGTAGTTTAAAAATACTCGGGCAAACAAGGCAATACTATATTATACTGGTCTTATTTAAGTGTATGTAATATATTATATAATTCATAATACTATTAAGTATTAGGTATTAGATTTTGAGAAAAGCTAGAGATGTATTGGTTTTACAATGATGTTTATTTTTGTTTCATTTATACTGTGCATAAAATTACTACCAGTATCAACTATAAAATGTTCATAATAATTTGAAAAAACCGGAAAAATGTACGAAAATAATGCTTTTATAATTTTCAATTTTTTTTTTGTTAAAATTCAATTAAAAATATTGGACCAACATCTTATTTATATTTACCTTTTCTAGACTTGGTAAAATTTTCAAAACATTTAAGCTATTTATAGACACTTATAGACATTTTTAAGCTATTTATAATTTGTAGACATTTAATTTTGCCAGTTTGTTACGTAATTTTTATTCGGTAAGTACTCTTTGGATAAAATTGTTAAACTAAATAGAAATTGGAAATTTGACAGGAGGTTCATTATTATAAATTGGATTAGTGGTCAACAAGAAAAAGTTGAGTTTAATGAAGTTTTTTTTTATAAGAATTTTAATAATAAATTTTGACAAAATCATTAATATTACGGCCTTTTAAAACATGTACAACAGAACTCCACTCAGAATTGTTTTTCGTTAGTAATGATTAATCGCTGCGTACATAAATATATATTAAATTCTCCTTCATAACTTATCAGCACAAACTTCTTACCTACAACGGTTAGGTTAGGAAAACCCATCCATCATATGAAATATGTCAGTCTTTTTTATAGTTATATTTTCTACACATACTACTCATATTATGTATATTTCTCACCATTAGCACTACCCACTCATCCATCACTAAAAACTTGTACCCCGATTCGGTGCTTCTGCAAATACTGAAATCAGTTTCCGCTAGATACAACAAAGACCCATGCAACATACTTTATTTTAATTGTCCCTATAAATAAAATATTATAAATTTTGGAACCTGAGGAGCTCCCCAAACACAAACGCTGCTGGGAGCACTAGCTGCGTTTATAGTTCAGCGGTCAAACCCAGGCTAATATTATAATAAATACTTGAGTCTTTTATGATTGATTATAATATTATTTATAGATAGGTGTGAAATAATTATAGGTAATCTAAAAGATAATTGAATGAAAAGAAAGTGTAATGCCTAAACATAAGTCTTTTTTTTTTGAACCCTGATGAAATTTTATATTCTATATTAAACACACATTTAATACATACCTATAATTAGTGGTGATAAAATGGTTTTATTTAAGGTATTTTTGAATTTTGTGACTAATTGTTTTCCAATTGTTAATTCGATTTTGTATAGTTGAACTTTTTTATATATTCATTGGATATTAATCTTTGTATTATCCGTCTAACCGCCTCTTTTATACCGAAACCCCCAATAATTAGAGATAACATTTTAACCTAGTATGTTTTGATCAACAAATATATATTTTAAATTATAATTTATTATTATGAACATACATTTTCTTAGAGTTTTGTTTAATAAAATGCTATTATTTGTTAATGCATATTGTTGTTAATTGTTTAAACATTTTTCGTATTTCATTAAAAATTTGTTCAAATTCATGGTTTATCAATAGATCAGGTTTGTTTTTCATTCATTCTATATTTCTATTCAAAGTCATCATTATGGTGTGTGGTTACTTTCCGTGTTCTTTAATTCTTGTACACATTGTTGTTAGTTGTGTCATGATATGTTGTGTTTCTATTCTTGATAAAGTAACAAAATCAATTTTATTAGAAAATAATGTGAATAAATAAAACATGTGTATTATTTGCCATTATTAGGTTAAAATGGCACTTTGATTTTAGAAAAAATATAAATTATATAAATACCTATATTATGTAACTAAATGCCCATGTTTCCTATGATTCACAAAACGATAACATGAATAAAAGATTTACTATTAAATTACTTTTTTTGCAGTTTGAATATTATTTATAACATAGATAGGTACCTTGTAAACTTCCATTAATTAAATACATACCTACCTACCAAAAACAAGATCGTAATACTAGATACAAATAAACTAAATTCGTTTAGTTTAAAACAATTTCAGTTTAAAAAATAAATACGTTATTCAATCAACAATGAATATTAATTCAATAATAATAATAGTTCTAAAAATTATCTTTATACTCTCCTCCCCTCAAGACAAAATTATTTGATTGCTACTGCATTTAAACGTAACAACGTAAGTATACAACTGAATTTCCCGAAAAATATAGAACAAGTAAATTATTTACCTATTTATTATTCATAATGTTACGTTAAATAAGAATACAAATTGAATAATTAACCATACAATATACTACTATAATAACTATGAACATTTAGGTCGATAATAACATCATATCATAAAGCTCAAAGTCAACAAGACTTTAGCTTATAATTAAATAAATATATACAAGTATATAATAAATAACACTTATACTGCATTATGAGTAATAACTAGAAACTTTACTATATTCGTATGTATTACAAAATATCGACACTCATTAAATTATTTTGAAATTAAACATTATCGTTTAATTTCAAAATAATTTACCATAGAATCATTATTACTTAATTAATAATAATTTATTTACCATTAGAATTTCTCGTAGATATGTACCTACTGTGTCTAATAAAAATCAATTAATAATATTAAGTACAATTATTAGTTTATGAAATAAAATTAAACTGCGCTACGGAAGTGCTTTTACTTGCAATCGGAATCGGTTACAATAAAAGTTATTATCAATAGCAGTGAATGTTAAAGTATAATGTTAAGGATGATTTCGTTTAAAATAGTATACCTTATACATACAAATTAATTATTTTATAAAGAATCGCTATTAAATGACATTTTATTTTAATCAATTTTGTCAGAATAGCGTTTTGGTAAACAACCATAGTTTATTGCCATAGCCAAAAAATATTTTAATTTACGTCTATAGTACGGCCCAATTTACTTAGAAAATATTTAAAATATCATTTCTAATTGGCAATAATGGCCTTTTCACTTCTTTGCACCTTATAATTTAACCTAACCGATTTATTATAATAATTGATTAACTGAGTGAACTAATTCGTTTATAATTGAACGTATTTAACAATCTAGTATTTTTCAACCATTTCGGTATTTTATTCATCTTATTTTGAGCCAATTAAAATTTGGTTTCTTAAATTGTAAAAGAAAATTATCAATGAAAGCTACAATTCAAAAAGCCCAAAAACATATCTAATTAAAATATCAACAAGTTTGAGAATTAAATAAGTTATACAATTCAATAATACCTCAAGTACCTATGTATTGTATATATCTATACATATGGTCAGCATAACACTTGATTATAAATTATTTGCATTCATTTATTTTATAATTTAACGGAACTAGTCCTTCCATAATCTATACTAAGAATGTGCAGGTATTACAGGTAGTTCGCTAATAAAAAATGAAAATAAAAAAAAGAAAAGTAAGATGATGAAGACGGGTGCAGCCACTGGTATAGATGGGAATTTAATGTATAGCAACGATAAACAATTGCTTACGAAAAAAAAACGATTTTGAGCGGAGTTTAGTTGAAAGTGATGCTTTGTCAACAATATATATGTAATTTTGTATTAAAATAAATAATTAGGCTTTATATATTTTCTTTAATAATATTTGTTTAATATTGTATTGATTTTCCAAGCAAAATTGCTGGTAGAAAAGTTGTACATAGAAAAAAAAAGGCCATAATATATTAGATAATATAATAGATTCGGAGCATAGTTCTGTTGTACATTTTTTGAAAGGCCTTAATAATTACGATTTCCGTCAAAATTGTATTGTTTAATTACTACATTTAACTTTTTTACCAAATATTACGACTAATTATGAACCTCCTGAAGAATTTCAAATATTTCTGTTTGGTTAAATAATTTTATTTGTAGGTACCTATCAAATAAAATTACGTAAAAAATTTGCAAAATTAAAATGTCTAAAAATAACTTAAAAATAGCTCAAATGATTTGAAAACTTTATCACGTCTGTAAAAGGTAAATATAAGTTTTCTGTCTAAATTTCAAGTCTCGACGAGTATTTTAAACTGAATTTCAACAAAAAAACAAAATTTAAAAATGAAACAAAATTTTCTCGTTCTTTCTACGTTTTTTTTCGATTTATTCAATCATTAAATAAAACTACGTGATACTATTGATGCATGGCGAGGTTATAGGTGGAAAATTGTGAATATAGGAAGTAGAAAGTTAAGTTTTTTAACTTATATCAGTAAATAACGATAAACTGTTACTAATGAAATGCGATTCTGAGTGAAGGTTAATTATACATACAATGTATATTATGCACTTTAAAATATTGTAATTTTTACGATTTGCGTCAAAATTTTATCTTAAAACTTGTATGTAAGTATAGGGTAGCGGAGGAGACGGGCTAGCGATGGTGGCTATATAAAAATATAGCTCCTGTTTAGATGACTGTATTAAATAATAGCTCCTAATCCTGTCTCTTGATCCTATTCTAGAACCGCTCTTTATATCCTACTTATAAAAATCCTCGGGTTACATTTTCAGGCATCTTTGTTTGGTCAAACAATTTTATTCATATAGTAGGTACCAATCAAATAAAACTAAAAAATGCTTATTAATAGATCAAAAATCTTCAAAATTCGTTGAATCACATCTTTACTACGTCTAGGAAAGGTTAATACAAGAATTCTGCGAAGATTTCAGTCCTCTACGATAATTTTTAACCGATTTACAAAAGAAAACCAAAATCGAAAATAACGAAACAGGTTATTTCCCCTCTAATGTATGTAGGCTAGGAGCCCGTATGCTCCGCACACTCTGCTCACCCGCTTTACGGCACTAGATTGACTTAAATCTAAAAGTATCGCGACGTGTATAATGTATTATAAATATCTAAGATGAGGGAGACTTTATTAACAATTGTCAAAGCTTTAACTAAAAAGAAGTTATTACTAATTTTAGACTAAAAATATGGGATAGTAAAAACATCGCGATTACGAGAATAGAAGGACGGGATCAGAAAATTTATTTGAGGACATAAAATTGTATTATTTAATAAATCTTTCATAAACATAACGTCAGTTAAATGAAGTTTCGATATAAGAGAATTTATATTTATTAAACTTTGAACCCAAAAAATAAAATTATGATTGAACCCATCTTCCAATTTACTTTACAGAAATACAATAATATAAAAATAATTTTAAAAACAAATTATTGTTTATATTTTAGCAATTTATTAATAACTAACATAAATAATATTTATTGAATTATAATATAATTGTTTGTATGTATTCATTTTTTAATTTAGGATCATTAAATCAAAAAATCAACAGTACAAAGAAGGTAAAAAAGTATTTTGCTCTACTGGCTGGAGAACGCATAGTGTAATTAATCCAAATACTTTAGAAAAAGACGTAATGCCTAAATTTTATGTGCTGCCTGATTTCGGGAATTTATCTCCTTCACTTGGTCTTGGAGTACTTGGAATGCCAGGGTAAGGGTGATTATTTATTATCGGCCGTATTTGATTACGATTTGTTATATTTGTAATATTTTGCACACAACGCATTACAAAATTAATAATTATTGGGTACTCAATTTAATCGTGTAATTATTAAATTATATTAAGTTAGTTAAAAATGTTACAAGGTTAATAGCAATATTGTTTAAGCAAATAAATCATACGTTTTGATGCTTAAACTAAATCAAATTAATATGAAACTATTTATATAATAGACATAGCTTCGTACACAAATAAAAAAAATTTATTTTTATGTTACTATACTTTTTTAATAATAATAATAATAGCTACATGAAAAATACTGGGTTCGGTGAACTGCGTCCCAAAAATAAAATATTAACATACAGCTTGGTGAATTTCAGCCTGGATATTTTTTCCAAGTAGGTGAATTGCGTCCCTAAAATTTGTTTTATTTATTTATAATAAATGTATAGAATACATATTCAAAACTTGCATAACAACAAACGCAATTTTCCTTCCAAATTTCTGGGTTGAATTTGTGAACTCGTGAACATTATACAAATTGTCCGTACGTCTATATTGTATTTATATTTAAATTGTTATTATAGTAACACAGCCTTATTTGGATTTTTAAATATATGCGATCCGAAACCAGGAGAAACTGTTGTCATTAGTGCTGCAGCGGGAGCTGTGGGAAGTCACGTGGGCCAAATCGCAAAAGATTTAGGATGTAATGTTATTGGTTTTGCTGGTTCCGACCATAAAGTAAAATGGCTGAAGGAAGTTCTTAAATTTGATGCAGCTTTTAATTATAAAACGAAAGACGTTACTGCTGCTCTTCTCGAGGCTGCTCCACACGGTGTAGACTGTTACTTCGATAACGTAAGTTCAATGTTCATAATATAGCCCATATAGGTAATTAGTTAATTCACTACTGCATGAAACTCATTTGAAAATATATATTTATAAATGTAGAATGCGTGTTTATTGGTTGTTTTACAACCATTGCAACCATTACAACATACACTTTTGTAATTTCTTTATTTTTATAGCTGGTTTTAATTTGGCCGCGTATATAAAATTAATTTGATTTACACCAATGAAATACAAAAATTACATTTATTCATCTTTTTACTCTCTCCAGATAGTAGTTTAAATAAAATATTTAATATAAACTACCAAATCTAATACTTAATTAAAACAGATATAGGTAAAAATGTTTAATACATATGTAATCATTTTAACATAATACGACATGTATATTGTTGACAAAGCAACTCTATCAACTGAACTCCACTCAGAATCGTTTTTTCGTTAGCAATGGTTTATCTTTGCTTACAGATATACATTAAATTCCCGTCTGTATCCTGCCTTCCCAACTTCCTAACTACAACAGTGGCTGCACTCACGTGCGAAATATGTCCACCTTTTTTTATTATTATTACGTATTGTCACACTGGACCACCGGGAAGGAGGAGTGGTGCGTTAGCATTACTTTCCCCGGCCTAATATCAAATTCTTATCATGAGGCGACCTATGACTGGCCACATCTCGCGGTGACGTTGCCGTCACTTAACAGGCGAATACTTGACTTTTCACACCGTCTCAATTCTCATCGTTCTCCTTGCTCGCACGGGAAGCACGGGATTTTCGTGTAATCCTGCAGTTTCACACAAAAATTCCAAGGTGTCCTCCGAACTTGAGTCCCGATTATCGAGGAACATACGAACATCGCGTCTCTCCACCTCCCACCGTAGGCACACAAATGCAGTGTGTTCCGTGGTTTTGTCCGCGCTCACTGCTTGCACTCAATACAAATACCTTGGACCAGGTAAGAACTCAATCCGGTACAAGTAGTGGCTGAAGTCCCTGTGACCCGTCAGTACCTAAATCAAATGGAAGATCATCGATCACGTACCCCTATTCACCCACTTTCCCAGGTCGGGGATTATTAGGCAACTGGTCTACACGACGACGATACTCCTAACCAGGTGTTTCTGCCAGGAGCGCATCATTGCCTTTCTACCTGCCCTTTTGATCGCGAGTATTAACAAAATCTTCTCCACATCGGCCGCTTTGGTTCGGACGTACGCCCTCTCCCGAGCGAACATGAGCGCGAAACAGTCTATAAAGTGTACACTCGCGTGACGCGCAAAACATCGCATACACTTTTTAATCCAACATACTTACTACTTAACTTGCTTGCTACGTCCATATACGTAATATTTTATAGAATTAAAAATCATATTTATTATTTTATTTTAATTATTATTAGATCATCGCAATTCAAAACATACATTAAATTAGGATAAACAATGTTTTGATTATAATACATTGTTTAATTAATACAAAATTTACCATAGGTCGGAGGCGAATTCAGTAGTGCAGTAATATATAGAATGAAAAGTTTTGGCCGTGTATCTGTTTGTGGTTCAATTTCATCATACAACACAAATCCAAAAAATTTACCGAAAGGTAACCATTTTAACTTGTATTCTATAATTAAGTTTATCTAATAATTTATTTATAGTACCAATGCTGCAACCAGCAATCGTGTTTAAACAATTGAAAATTGAGGGTTTTATTGTTAGTAAATGGGCTGGCGAATGGCAAAATGGTATTGAACGTAATTTAAATCTCATTAAAGCAGTAAGTTTATTGTTTTATATGGGCATAACCGATTACCTGATATTTTTATTATTATTAAATATTATGGTTTTTTTTCTAGGGTAAACTTATTTATCCTGAACACGTTACTCAAGGATTTGAAAATTTACCTCAAGCTTTTATGGGCATGCTGAATGGAGACAACATTGGAAAAGTTTTAGTTAAAGTTTAAGTCTTAAAAATCATTATTACGCCTACATAAATTTAAAAATTATATAGGACTTTTTTTATTAATAAATAAGGTAAATTTACATAATTAGGTATAATTTTTTTAATGATACCTAATAACCAAACCAATTATATTATGTAAAAATGCATTACACATAGGTAGATGATAGATTTCTATTAATTGTCCAATGAACATATTTTATAAAATTACTTTTTTTTTTTTAGAATACATTTTTTTTTATTATTATTATTTAAATGCCTCGACAACTGAGTCATTAGCGTCAAAGCTGTACAAACTGTCATATATTATAACAATACATTTAAAATAATGGAATAAACCATAAGCCATAATGAATAAGCCATAATTGGCTTATTCAAATATGCTATTATAGCTTATATAAGATTTGCTAGACTGGAGCGGGACAGCTTGTATATAATACGATTACCATTATATAATACGATATATATATTTGATATTACCCAAAATGCATTTATTTTTTCCCTGATACCTATCTGACGTGGTTTGGCAAAAAAAATGTTTCGGAACTCGGGTATGAACTTGCAATCTCTTGGATGACAACAGGTATGTAGTACGTGCCACCACTAGACTACGACAGACATACTATAAATTTGATAATATTTAATTACTTATTATAAACACATATAATATCCATATAATAACAGAACTTTAAAAAGCTATAATTTTGAAACTAGATCAGTCCACTTAATGCTGACATCACCATCGTTCTTAAATTGATAATATATAACAAATATTATATAAATATAATAATATGTATATTGTTTGCTATGTTTATATTTAATTTTTTTATTGAGCGATTACTTAGTAACTACTGGTTAAGTGGCTTACAAAAATAGCTCATTTTCATATCAACGGATATTTTAACAAGCTGAATAATTGCCGATATTGGGTAAGGCCCAATCACAGATATAGATAATAAACAACATTGCCCACTAGTAAAATCCACAAGCAGGCCGAGTGACGCCGCTTTTCCGCTATATTGGTTGAGGGCTATGGTATTTTATCAATTTTTATTGTTGTGATTATCCAAAGATAAATTGTATCATAATTCATGAACTCGAAAATATTTTCAGTAATAAGTAAATATTTGTATTTTAAATACAATGTAGTAAAATTGTATGTATAGGTGACCATGTTGAAACTACTGATACATGTTTGAAAAAACCACTTTATCACAACCATAACGATTGGCACATCCAAGCACACAATAAGTTAACGGCATTTTTCTTACACTATTTACACTTTTACAAACAAAAGCCAAGACTCAAAGTTAAAATATCATAACATTTAAAATGCATATGCTCATTTGTTTATTGTTTTTTTTTTTTTTTAAGAGTATTAGATATAATTTATTTTTAGATCATATTTAAGTCAGATTTGTTTTTTTTTTTTTTAATTTTATTATCAAATATTGTTTTTTATTAATTAATAATTATAAATAATCTTAATTTTTTATACAATCATTTTGATTAATAATTTACGCGTATAATTTATTTTTCATTATAATATGTTCATTTACATGTATAGGTAATAATTTAGTTTATTACCTATATATCTGTGGTAATATGTACGATTTTATCTGAAATACCCCCCTCCCACCCCAGGGTCAGGTGCCAAATGGTAGAATCACGTAGTTATAACCACAGATATATAAACATACCAGAGATAGCGGACGACCATTTACTTGATATTATTAAAAGTGTGTTTGCGGCGGCCATTTGTCAAGACGGCAATGTTTACATCATGCAAAATTGCTAATGAATCATAAATTAAAACTTCATGATTTTATTCGTTTTTATACTGATAACTGTTACTGTATAAAAGTATTTATATATATTTTTTTTAAACTAATTAATATTGAAGACAATGTTTTAGCTTTGGTGTGTAATTGAGCAGGTATTGTTTTCTTAGTGAAGTGTTTTTATTTATTTACTTTCTAGTTAAACATTTCAATTAAACTAAAATATATACACCTAAACAGTAAACACTTAATATTAATACAAAATAGAAAATACCAATGCATACACAATATTATAATATAATATTAAGTATATACGAGGTGGATACCTCGTATACCTCGTATATTATATACAATATAAATATATTACTAAATTTATCAAGTTTATTGACTTTCAATATGGTTCTTTTACGTTAATACATTTTGAATGTATCCAGTATCCAAGTGTTGCACCCCGACCAGCCATCGGAAATGTTGCAGACCAAAACTTTATGTCATTCAATGTTAAATGTTTTTTACTATTCAGAAATTTAGCTTAAAATGGTAATTAGCACGTGAGTACACACACCCCTCAGGCCGTGGTGTGTCTGGAGCACGGTACGATGACAACGGCAACGGTGGCATAATTAATTTTTAATCGAAGCGACATGCACACCACGGCCGATCGTGACTAATGAAATAATAAAACGCGTTCTCTCACGAAATCGAAAATCCGCGGGCTGGTCGTCGATACGGCGAAATAGTGGGCGTGGCGATACAGAGCGCAACGCTGTCTATAGCGCGTTGTACGCAAAAAGCTTTGGGTAGCACGTCCTCCTAAGGTTCATGTATATTTATTATATTCTAAAACCGTGTTTATATCTATTCTGTGGTATCAATAGTAGTCGTGGAACATAGATTACTTTAAAGCAGTGACTCTCAACCTTCTTATGTTCACGGTACATTTTTTTTAACAATATATTTTGACGGAACATTATAATAACCAGGTATATAATACTATACGCGTGTACCACGGTCGGAGTTCACTCATTGTCAGTTCATGGCTGCGGAACGTCGGTTGAGAACCACTACTCTGTGGGTTGGAAACTTCGATTTAAGTATTTAATATAATATATCTTAAATCGTTGTTAAATCTGGATAAAACAGCCACATTAACATGTTGAAACTGGCCCTGACTGAGGTTAACGTGACTGGGGGTGTAATAATTTTATTCCGGATCTATGTTCCCAGGTTTTTCATTGAGAAAATGTTTTGGGGTATCACTTTAGCGGTTATTTTGTAACCGATTTGTCTATTACCATGATATAAATTAGAGGGCTTGTATTATATATGTATATATATCATAAATAATATTATATATCTTAATATTTTATGTCTAGGCTCTCTAGTATGACGTATTAACGTATTAATAATATAAAAAGACCGCCAAATTATTTCTACAACTTCTTTGTTATTGTTATTGTAGTAAATAAGAACATATGACTGATAAGGCAATAAATAATATGAACACTTGTTCTTATCTATGCTATTGATTACCAATAGGTGTTTGTAATTTCGGAGAATTGTTAATTGTGTGATATCAAAAATCAAGAGTCAAGTTCCTATTTTTCGATATGTGGCTCAATGGAGCGCTTTGGCGTTTTTTGTAGACGTAATTCGTGTGCCTAATTTTACAACGTGCATTTTAAATTTTTAAGTATTTGCATAAAATGTTTGGAAGAAGCTTGAAGACAACAAAGAGGCTGTTGAGCAACCCCACTACATTGCGCAACGTCGAATACCAAAGGTCGCTGGGAAAAAAATATGGTTAGTGATACATGTTTTGTTGACATTTCTGCAGTGTTTTAACGCATACATGTTTAAATTGCATTTATTGTATTAGTAGGTATGACATAGACAAGTGATAATAATTTGGGTTTGCCTACCTCGTTTGTTTAATATAAACATATTTCCATAGTTTTCTATTTTACATAATATTTATTATACTGTTATAAGTGTTTGATGGATAATACAATAATAATTCGTCCTTTGATTGAATTAAGTAAGTACAGTTTTGAATTGTTCAGCAAATTAAATTAAATTTCAATGTCTTCAGGTTGTAATATTGATTTAATAATATAGTTAAATCAATATGTTATTTTATAAAATTAATAAGTGTTTACATACATTTTTATTATTGGGTAGGTTTATACTAAATTTATACCTATTGAATAACATTACTTAAGAACTGTTTTATTATTTTATTCATGTACCATTAACATTTTATACATAATATTTTGTCGCTGTTCATATAAATTTACTTAATTTTGTATTATTTATTAGTTAGTATTTCAAATATTTTTATTTTTAAATGTTGACTTAAATTTCACTAAAAAAAAAATCTTTAAAAGTACACATAAAAAAGTATCGTCTAATAACAAAGTATACAATATTAGTTATTATGTTAATGTAATAGGTATTTATTCAGTACATTAATGTGATTGATCATTAGTAAAAAATAATAAAATAACCATATTTTTGTAATTTATATTATCATATAGACAGGTTTTAAAATAATTTAAATAAAAATTAAATTATATCTAATTACATAGATACTTACCTCAATTTCTAAATTATTCACCTACTACTTCTACAAAATATACAAAAATTAATAAATAATATAGAAGTGTTACCTTTGCTATTCCTTAAAGGTACATTTTACAATAAGTACAATTTTTTTTGGTTCTTCAAAACTACTTTATAACCTTATTTATAGTGCAATCATCAAATAAATTATTTCTTAAATTATATGTTGACTATTATTTTGAGATTTACAATTGTCTACAATATTTAAAGACATTAAATAAAATTTCTTACAACTATATGAACATAAGTTTATAATATTAGATTCTGGATATAGTGGATTACGTATTGGTTAGATTAGTCAGTTTATATTTTTTTGTATTTTTGTGTCTGTGATCAACTTTTATATCATACATTTTGCTTCAATCAAAAATGACAAGAAACCTTTTATTTCATATTGAATGTAGTTGGTTGAATCGAGACGATCATCATATTTTGATTTTCAAAGCTGTTTATTTAATAGTTCTGAAAGACCAGGAAAAATGTATTGGATAAACAGATAAATATTTTTGATATGATGCAGTATTGCCGATTTTTTATTATTAATTTTTGTGCATTTTTATTTATTTATTAGAATACAAATGCCGAGCGGCAATTTCAAAAACAAAAACTTAGATAATTTTTGTTTTTTTTTTAGACATGTTATTCTAAATTTTAAGAGTGACATTTTTTCTGATGGAAAATTTTATATGGCTGGTGAGTAAGGGAGTTGTGTTTTGATTTTTCATGTTTTATTCTTACAAATTGGCAAAATCAGGAACATTGAATAACAGTTTTATTCAATTTTTTCTTTTTGTTTTAATTCTGTTTAAAATATTTTCAGAGACCTGCATATTTTTACAGAATACTTATATTTGATACATACATTACTAGTAGTATACATTACTTATATTTGACTTTCTTAAATATGATAAAATGTTTAAAACATTTTGGCTATTTTTTAGTTTTTATAATTCTTATTCAGTAGGCATTATATGTTTATAATTGTTTGATCAAATAGAGACGTTTGCAAATTTAACACAAGATTCATTATAAGTTGCATTTAGTGGTTAAAAATAGAAGAAAGTTAAACTTAATTTAATATGTTTTTTATAAGTGTTTTAAGATTAAATTTTGAATTTAATTGAATAAATAACTGTATTTTAAAACATGTATAACTGAACTTTTCTCAAAATTATTTCTTTAGCAATGGTCTATTGTTGCTTATAGATACAAATTAAATAACTTAATATATCCTACTTTTCTAAGTTTTAACCTACAAGGCTACAACAATAAAACACCTTTCCCTAATATCAGTTATTTTTTTTTCTTTTGATATCTAAATAATTTTATATTTTTATAATTATGAAGTCAGTTTTTTGATTTTCAACTTGAAAACTTTTTTGAACCTTTTAATTTTTAATTTGATATAGGAGCATACCTATAATTTATTGGTTAATAAGTTAAGAATGAGATCACAAATATTACACAATTTTATTTAGGACCTAATTACTCAGATGATTACTAGTTATAGATCCTATCCTAGTGTTTTTTTTTTAAATTGTCTTACCTATTTATAATAATTATAAAGAATATATTTTTTGTGTTAAAACTAAGTAGGTACTTATGTACTTACATACATTTTTTTATGTGGATTATTTGATTTTTAAAAAACTGTAACCAGTTATTACTATTGTAGCCAGTAGTTTTAACTATAATTATTTTAAAATACCTTTCCAAGATTTTCTTTTCTTATCATAATATTAGACCCTAAGCTGGGCCCACAGTTGAGCATATGTGTATTGTAATTAAAATAGCAATATTTTGAGCCAGATTAAACTTACAGAAAATGTGTATGATGAGCAATATGCTCTATTACCTTGTTTGCGAATGAGACTAGGTTAACCATCAGAAGTACGTGCAAAATCTTATCGAAGGAAGTGTATATTTGATGTATATAAGATGCATAACATGAAATTACATAGAATTCGTGGATACATTTAAGCACACATTAGCATGTGTTTGAAATATAACTACACACTATCAAGTGGAATCTCGGCTTCAGAATCTTGACAAAATAATTTTTTTTTACCAATTACTAGGAAATTATAAAGACTTATAAATTTATTACATTTTTATATATATGTTAATAATGAATAATGAAATAGTTAAATTGAAATCCAAGCTATCCCTGATTATAAATATAATATGTTATTTAAGTTATATTACAATTAACTGTACAATGTACCTATGTCGTATGTATAATATATATAATTTGTTTTAATCTTTTTAAAATTGATAATTACTTCTTAGTTATCTAGGGTCTATCATTAAGTGAAGTGTTATTTTAAGATGTATCTAATTAGTTTGCAATCTTCTTGTTATATATTATTAAAAGTTCTACTCCAGTCTAACATATAAAAAATTAGAATTAATTGCATTATTACAATTATAATTTATAGTCAACATGTATAGATAGAAATAATAAACTAAAAACAAAGGATTAAATTGTAATATTTTAATAACTGATAAAATATATTTAATATAATACAAGAAAGGGTTAAGCAACATCTTTATAGATGCAGTCACTTAAAGATGTTAAAGAAGTCTAATTTTTTGTATTAGATGGGTATTAGTCTATAATTAATAAGATATCAGATTTTTAAAAATCAATTTCTATATGTATGTTCACACTTGAACTATTGACTTTTTTGCATTTTTAATTTGTTTTTTTCTGGTTACACAAAAAAAAAACTCATTTAATTATACCAAAATAACATATATAGTTGATACAAGACAATATTGTTATAAAGGGTATTTTAAACCTGTATTTTGTTTTGTTGTCGAGGCCTACATTTTTTATGGTTACATTAATTATTCAGTTTTTTGTTTTTAATAAAAAGGAAATAAATGTAACCTATCATAATTTTTAATATTTATTTATTATAAATTATCTTATAACTAGAATATGTTTATATCAGTCAGATACTTAGATACCTGTTTAGATAGTTACTACTTAAAAAAAGAATAGATACTAGAACATTGGAATAGTGGAATATGAAGACATTATATTTATTATAAAATGCATGCTATTTAGGATTTTATAAAATTAACTAAATATTTATCAGTAAGTATTTCAAATTCTATTTAGGAAATCTTATATTTATAAATTGGTACTTGAATTATACTATTTACACATCGATATGTAAATTGTTACTGATAGGCAGCTTCTACCTAATACATTTTATTGTATACCTAGTGTTGACATAAATTCTGCAAGTACCGTGTAGTTAGGAGACATTTTAATTTCCAAAAGTAGCAACACTGCAAGTGCACGATAATAATTGTCACGTGCATGGCTCGATCACAGCAATTGCCACAGTAACTGTTGTAACAATGCAGTTAGAAAATTATCACACGCTTTTTGCCATAATTGATTTGTTTAAATTGGGCAAATCCGCGTAACAAATTTTCACTCCCTTGCGACCGCTTTAAATGAGTGAACGATTTGTGTGTCGCACCATTTAACGTTACTCTGAAACTGGTGATGTTGGTCATGTTAGACGTAATCGTTCCCGTTCTGTTCGGACAAAAAAGGCGATTGAAGCCGTTCGTTCGAGAATCAATTGAAATCCTTTATGGAAACAGAAAATCAACGCGCGATCGGTTTTTCGCATAGTTCGAGATGATTTATGTATGCGTGCATATAATCGATATACAAGCCATTTGTTGACGGACCGATTAAAGAGAGTAAGACTCGAAAGATCAAAAAAGCTCCTACGCTTGTACGGTCGAAAAAAATTTAAACAAATTTTATTCACAGATGAAAAAGTATTCACCGTTGAAGAAAAATACAATAAGCGAAATGACAGGGTATATGCAAGGTCATCATTAGAGGTCAGAGAAAAAGTTTCACGTGTTCAACGAGGCCACCATCCTGCTCAAGTTATGGTTAGGTGTGGTTTGTCATTGCATGATGTTACATAAATTCATTTCTGCGAGAAAGGGGTTAAAACTGGGGCTCGTGTTTATCAGAATAGCGCCTTTAGTGTAGCTTCATTGTTCGATGGAATTGTTTGGGTTTTCTAACAGGATTCGGCATCTGGCCATAATGCAAAAATAACGCAAGAGTGGCTTGAAAACAATGATCCAAATTTTCTATTAAATTTCCATGTATTTCTGTCAAGTTTCACAATTTCTCTACAGAGTACCTACCAAATAAAAATTACATAAAAAAAACTCTCAAAATTACAACGTCTATAAATAGCTGAAAAATTGATCAAATGTTCTGAAAGTTTTATCGCTTAAAAGTAAATGTAAGTTTTCTGTCAACATTTTAAGTCTACAAATATTTTAAATTGAAATTTTGTTCAATTTTTAAGAAATCTAAAAAAAAAAAAAATTAAATAGCATACCCATAAACTTAAATACCTCGAGATTAAAAATTCAACAAAAAAGATCTCTTTCATTAATCTATTAGATGGCAGAAAACATAAGCCGTACATGTTTAAAATAATGAAATATGCCGTAATTTAAAAAAATCGTATATTTCATATTTTTTTGTTTTTTCCCAATTATTATAAAAAATACTTTGGATATCAAAAAACGACTTCTCTGCCAGTGGCGAAATATAAATAACAACAAAATCGATATGTTGTCATTTTTAGATTGGAGCAATATTTTTGGTAGAAAACATCGTGTAAACGTAATAAAAATAATAAAAACTGTAATGCCGCGCTGTAAATATTTGCGGTTTTACATATAATTTTTTTTTCGGATTTTTCTCAGTTATTTCCTAAATACCTTGAAGAATTAATAAATGACCTCAACGCACCAACTAGAGAAAATTAATTTTCAGAAAATGTGTAGTCTATACTTCGGAACAAGTTTTCTTGACTAAACAGAAATTGAAAATTAGATCGAAAGTTCTTTATAATAAATTGTGCTTAGTGGTCAACAAGAGTGAGAACAAATTGAGCTTAATGTAGTATTTTTTTTTTTAATAGGAATTTTTAATATCAAATTTTGACGAAAATTGCAAATACTACAGTCTTTTAAAACATGTATAACCACCGAATTCCACTCAAAATCGTATTTTCGTTAACAATGATTATTGATCATTGTGTACATATATACATCGAATTCCCCTCAATATCCTACCTTCCCAACTTCTCAACAGTGGCCCATCCATCGTACGAAATACGTCAGTCTTTTTTCTTTTTACCTTTAACGGTAGTTTTAAACTCGTTCCTAAATGTTGATATGTGATACTATTGATTAAATACATATATATTAAATCAAAGGTGATACCACTGGGTATACTATTATAGTTTTATTATCTAATAATATATATCTTAAGTTTCCTCATCTGTTCTATTGGATTTCTGACCATTTTATTCTTTATTTGAAAAAATTATTATTATTATTTGTGTAGTATTCTGAATTTGTTAGTTGTTAATAGAGGTATGTGCAGACCAAGCAACATTTTGTTGGCAACAACAACGCCGTCAACTGGCGTGTTATATCTGTGTTTTCCATGCTAAATGGAAAACATCGCTCACTGTGGACAGTATGAGTTTTATCTGTAATATATTTTTATATCATAATATATTGAATTTTATGGAATTTACAATAAAAACTTTGTGAAAAATGGAAATAGTATCATTTTATTTTAATTCGGATTTCAGAAATATTTCTTTAAATACTTACATTAATAAATCCCATTTGACAGTGTAGGCATCAACAAATTGGCTGTTAATATTGGTAATTTTAATAGATAGTTTTATCTTTTATAGGTGTCCCTATAATATCAATGTGTAACATTCAATATTGATTAAATTTAATTACTTTCGCTATATTTAAGTTTTAATACAACTTTTTTCACTATTTTGGCTAAAAAGCAAAATGTATACTTATGAATATTACTGTTCGATGAAAGTTTCAATTTAAATTCTCACAAAGTTAAAATAATTATTTATTAATTAAATATTTGTATTGTTGGAGCAATAAATTTTATACTAATTTCGTAATATTTTACTATAAATATAATAGTGTAACAAATAGGCATCTACACAACTACATTTACCTACTACCTAAAATATGGCCTAGATAACAAATTTATAAATAATTATGTAATATAATCCCCAGTATTATCAAAACAATTCAACACAATTGTGTTTTATTGTTATAAACAGTGACACGTTAAGAAATTTGTTTTGAGGGGAGGGGGCACTTCTAAATAATTTTATAATGCTAAATATAATAGATGTTGTCAATTGGAAACTCCACATGTTCTAACAACACTTATCTACGTTAAACTAATATTAATATAGTATAACAAATTATTTTTATGCAAAATATAAATACATAATATTATAATATTTTGTTTTGAGAAAAATAGATTTACCATTACATTTATACATTTTATATTTTTTGCAAATTGACCCAATATCCATATATAAGCTCTTCTGTAAATATAATTAAGAATAATGATATTTAACTTTACTTGGATAAAATATTGCATTGTTTGTATCTGAGTTCTAAAATAAATTAAACACTTGATTAATTAATGTTGGGAAAAATATTACTTACAATATTATTTCATTATGCAATTCTAGGTGTCACAAAAGTTTAACACATAGTAAAAAGTAATTTACAATCAATGGCAAAATGTTTATTTTATTAGACAAAGTTAGAATAATCAAGTTTTTTTTAATCTTTTATTTATAAATTAGTAAATTATTGATAGCAATTATAATTAAGTATTAATATTAACCTATTATACATTTCAAAATTACAGTTAGAAGTAGTTTTAGATTCTGAGCAAAGCGAGGAATGTATTGGTTTACAATGATGTTTATTTATTATTTTTATACTGTGTACAAACATTTTACAAGAAATCTTACTCCGATATATCATGTGTAATACCTGTTTTGAAAAATAATTTTATCTTGTTGGTACTTTCCAGAGGTCATTTTTTGATTTTCTAAGCAGTTTTTATAATAATTGGGTTAATAGCAAATTTATGAAAATAATGCTTTTGTTATTTTAAATTTTGTTTTTATTTTGATGTGATTCAGTTAAAAATGTTGACATGAATTTTGGACAGAAAACTTGTATTTGGCTTTCCTAAATATGGTAAAATTTTCAAAACATTTGAGTCATTTTTAAGCTATTTATAGGTGTTTTAATTTTGCGAGTTTTCTACATATACATTTTATTTAGTAGATACCCTGGATAAAATTGTTAGACCAAACAGAAATACTTTACAGGAGATTCATCATTATAAATTGTGCTTGCTTAGTGGTTAACAAGACTAAGTTGAGTTCATTGTAGTATGTATTTTTTAGCAGTAGTTTAATATCACAGTGACCTATCCACCGTGCGAATTATGTCAGTCTTTTTTTTCTATTGTGTATAATTAATATTACACCAGAGTTCTTATGTAATGTAAATATTGCCATAATTTAAAGGTGAACATTAAATATCTTCAGGGTAATATTGTATATTTGATTAATATTAACATTATCCCTATAACATATATTATATTTTAATAGATATTAATCAAAATATTGAACATTAAGGTAATAGGTCTACGATATTACAATGTGTATTCTTAAATTAAATCTACTGTAAAGCTTACTAAAGCAACGAAATTGTAAAAATATAGAAATATTAATTTAGTTAATTCTAAGTAAGAAAGAAGCCAAATTAATTATTAATTACTAAATTAGTGAAATGGCCTTTATAATATTTTACTATTCACATAAATTTATTTAGTTTTGTTCTAGTCTTAGTACCCTGAGGATAAGACCTTTGGTTTAAATAAAATACATTGCCTTACTGCGATATGACTAGCAAAACATTGAAAAATGAGAAAGCAAGAATTATTTTTGTTAAGGTTTTTAATATATATAAATTTCACAATTAATTAATAGTATGAAAAATAATACACAATTCGTTTGACCGAATGACGGCTAGAGCGATTTCAAGGAAAACGTTTTAAAATTATTCTATAATATAGTTTGAAATTTGTTATCTGTGATAATATTGGGTCACGCCTTACTCTTAAGATTATTCAAACAAAAGTGGTGCGACTATTACTTGATTTAGATTATTTTAAATCACAACTACTCCAATATCCGATAGAAGATAATACATGAAATAGATGTATTAATCATCATGTTATAATATTTGCAAATATTTATATATATATATATATGCTACTACTTTTGCCAAAGGTCAATTCAATTAAAATCAATTGAGCTAGTTGCTTAATTTTCAGGGGGAATGGAAACCATTCGCTAAGTTAGGTACTGTACATTTTTATATCGACTAGAATAGGTAAGTATTATATAGGTAATATTATATGGGTAAAACCGAATTATATTTTGTTTATCAAATACGTTTTAAAGATATATCAATATTTTTATGCCGGCAGTTTAGGAAGCTGATAAAAATATAAAAGGAAAACGCTAATGAGAAAATGAATGGTTTAAATTTTTTTAGTAAGGTCATTAGGCTGACTGATTTACTCCAAACCTCTTCCATCACGCCACCAGACGCGCGCTAACACGCGTCAATTTTATGCGTATGATAATTTATACATTTACACGCGGACACGCGTCATGGATGAACTATGGGTCCAATACTACTATGAATTAATTGATATTTGTTCGAAATATTTGTACGCCTGTGTGTAACTTCACCTATTTTGTTTTTTTTTTTATTCTGTAATTGATTTTATTTTGCATTATTTTTGATATTCAAATTATTAACAATGTTATGTTTTAGGTAACAATGGTGGCGATGTCGACGGAGTTAAAGAAGTAGTGGCCAAAAATACACGATGGTGGAGCTGGTCGAACCTGATTTATCCCATTCCTACCGGTGTAGGATTAACTTTATTAGCTGTACTCCAATGGCGTCGTTTGAACAAGCAACAACCGGAAAACGAACAACAGCCAATCTATACGCAGAATCTGAGAGTAATTAAATATATTATCATAGAACTAAAAACTTCATAAAATATAATGTGTAAAATAATTTAAATTTGGAGACAAAATCATTACTTATAAAAGTTAAGTACCTAATAAGATAATTTTAGATTTTGAGCGGAACGAGGAAGGAATGTATTGGTTTTACAATGATGTTAATTTTTGTATACTGTGAACAACTTTTTTACCAGATATTTTGATCGATATTCAAGTATAGCACTTTCTGAAAGGAAATTTTAACTGGATGGTACTTAAGGGATGTTATTTTCCAAGTGGTTTTCATAATAATTGGGCGGAAAAAATTATATTATTTTAAATTTTTTTTTTTTTATTGTGATTCAGTTAAAAGTATTTGTAAAGATTTGAAATTTGGACAGAAACTAATACCTGTACCTTATACCTATTGCCTTTTCTAGACATGATAAAACTTTCGCAACATTTAAGTCATTTTTAAGCTATTTATAGACATTTAAATTTTGCGAGTTTCGGTGGATTAACAGGAGGTTTATTATTATAAGTTGTGCTAGGTGATCAACAAGAAAAAGTTGAGTTGAATGTAGTATTATTTTTTTTTTTAATTATAACAATTTAAGTATAAAATTTTGGCTAAAATTGTAAATATTATGGCCTTTCAAAACACGTATAACCAAATTTTGATTAGAATCGTTTTTCTTTAGCAAAGATTTTATTGTTGAACATAGATATACATTAAATCCCTCTCTAAATCTTATCTTCCAACTTCTCAGCTACAATAATGAACCACCCATCATGCAAAGTATGCGCATCTTTTTTTATATTATTATTCAAAATTTAATAAAGTATAATGACAGGTAAGCTTGCTTAATATGGATTAATCAATAATAAAATCACCCATCTTGACAAATAACTGTTGCCCAGGTACTTATGCATAATAGGTACATGTGAAAAAATATTTAAATAAAACAAATCTGAAAAACATATATCGGTATCATATTATTATAGACACTTACAATTATTATAATTTAAAATGTTTAACTTTCATTCAAAATTAGGTGTGTACTTACTATAGAAACATAATATGCATGTAATATAAATACTTATTATGAAATATTGTTATATATTTTTTTTTTTTATAAAAAATGTAATACTTGGTATAATATATTTTATCAATATATATCTAGAATATGTTTCACATAACATGTTTATGTAACATGATAGTTATTTTGTCTATGAACATATATTATATTACTAGGCACTACTAGAGTACAGACTATAATACATTTATGTAGAATAACGAAGCTGATTAATTAAAAAACAAGCAAAACTTTTATTATTATTCAAATGTATTTGTAAAAACCGAAGTTTGTGTTATTGATTTGATTTATATTTTTTCATTATTGAAAAAGTAGATCTTTTTAAAGGAATGTATTGGTAACAGCTTTTCTACAAGAGAGCTTTTTTGCAATAAATGTTGTCTAGTTAGTGCATTGGAGAAGTTATATTTTATATTTCTTAATTCGTCTGTGATTGTATCAGTGCCGTTCCATTTTAAGTACGAAAATCTCTGATGATTTAATCATTCACCTTGTTTCTGAATTAATTTATGAGATGTAATGGACTAAATGTAGTTGTTATCTCATTTATTTTAAGGTGATAGTCGATAACATCTAATATTATGTTTATTTTTTGACTAGTTTTATTTCGTGTGATATTCCGCCTCTTTCATTAAATTAAATTTGATTTGATTATTTCATGTGATCTGTAATCAATATCAATATAGAGTGCTTTTAGTTAAAGTAACTTTTGATAGTTATAGTAATAGAACAATTTAACAATCAAAACCCACAACATGGCGGGATTCATTTCTCAAAATCTTTAATTTAATATTTTGTACGTATTTATGTAAATTATATTCAGGATAACACAGAAAAAAACCACATTCTCTTAATATTTCATGGTGCCATTAGTGATATCACCACTGATACCATTAATTAAACATGAAGACATGGTTTTTGATTTATATTACTGTTTTCTAAACATTAGGGAAAATGTATGCAAAGCAATTACTATTATTTTGAATTTTGTCTTTTTGTTGTAATTCAATTAAAAATAATCATGTAGACCTTAAATTTGTATGGAATATAATATAATATACATACATATTATGTAGACTTGACAGGATTTTGAATACAGAACCATCTAGCTATTTTGGAGTTATTGATAGCCATCTGAAATTTCCAAGTTTTAGATTTGAAGTATACCCTAGCAAAGGATCTATTGGTTTTATTGTGTTTATATTTCTTTTTTTTTGTGTGTGTCTTTTTGAACAGGAATCTTGCTCCAATGAATAAAGTATTACTACTTAATTAAAAAAGAAATTTTATCTATCTGGTGGATTGAGGGGATGGTAATTTTTCGATTTTCATAATAATTAGGAAAAACTGGAAAAAAAAATTATTGGAACAAATTACAGAGCATCGTATCGTTACCGATTTTATTGTTTTTTATTTTTACTTATGATTTTCTATGATTTAACTAAAAAAATTCGCGAAAATAAATTTTGTTGCATTTTGGATCTAGATATTTGTAAATAAATTGATTTTTTGATTTTCCAAGTAGTTTTCATAATAATTAGGAAAAACCTGAAAAATATATAAAATGAAAACTGACAAAATTATGGTATTATAATTTCATTATTTTAAATTCTTATGTATTATGATTTCTAATAGAAATATTGCTCCAATCAAAAAACGACAAGTGACCTTTTAGATTTTTTTTCTTTTTCAATCCAGTTGGTGAGTAAGAAAGTTATGTTTTGATTTTATCAGTAGCTTTATTGATAATTGAGCAAAACTGAAAGAAACGGGAAAGTTAATAGACATAATGATTATATTTTTTATTTTTTATTGAATTTCAATTAAAAATATTTGTAGATTTGAAATTTTGACTGAAAACATCTTTTCTATACGTGGTCAAATTTTCAAAATATTTCGATGATATTTTAGTTATTTATAAGTATTTTATGTTTGCATAAATCTACTATGTGGATATAATTGTTTGACCAAACAGAAATGCATGCAGATTTAAGTTATATTTAGTTATATAAAAAAAAAGAAATCTTCAAAAATAACATTAAATTATAATAATAAGAACGTTGTTAAATTGTACATCATCCATTTAAATACATATTTATTTCAAGTTCTACTTACGTCGTAAACTTTAAATACTTCCTTTAATTATATTTTATAAAAATAAATTGATAAAATCTTGTGCATTCAGTACAGCTACTTACATTGTAGTACATTATATTTAAAGTTGAACATAAAAAATGAATAATCAATTAAAATCTGATTTTATTGAATTTTTTATTTTTTTTTTGTTAGTTTAAAATTGTATTGAATTATTCAAATTAAATAAATAATAAATTTTATATTTATTTTTTAGCTATCATTTTACAAAGCCATTCCATTAAGAGCAATGTCAAGGTTATGGGGCTATATCTCAGGATGTTATATACCTCGACAATTGAGATATTGGCTATACACTGCATATTCAAAATTGTTCGGTGTTATTATAGAGGAAGTTGAATTACCCATGGAATCTTATAAAAGTTTAGGAGAATTTTTCGCTAGGCGATTAAAAGAAGGAGCTCGACTAATCTGCATTGGCTGTCCTATAGTAAAGATGTTTAGACAATAATACTATTAAATCTTTATTATTCTTATGTGATTATTTAATTTTCTTCTAAAAATGTTTAGGTTTCTCCTGCTGATGGTACCATAGTTAGTGTTGGCCGTGTAACATCTTGTCAAGTTGAACAAGTTAAAGGTGTTACGTATACTATCAAGTCATTTTTAGGTACACCTACGTGGCAAGAAGACTCAGAAACATTAAAATTATCATCTTCACCAGTAAACACTATGAATAATTGTGATTTATTGAAGCAGGACTCTACATCTAATAACTGTAGTGGTTGGACAATAAATTCGACTTTTCTGTTCTACCACTATGGCCTTCTCACCATGCACATGTATTGCATCAATTTTATATTCAACTTCCTTTCACAAGGTGTAAGTTATTTCAGTCTTTCATTTAAGAAACAGGACGTAGCTTTGTCTAATGATACACAAGAAAAAACAGTATCTGTTGAACGGAAAGATAGTAATGACAATGAATGTGAGCCAATTGATCCCCATTGGGATGAATATAAATCAAAGTTGTTACACAATCCAGAAAATGAATTGTATCAACTGGTGATTTATTTGGCTCCAGGAGATTATCACAGGTTTCATTCGCCAGCTCAATGGACCGTAAAATTCCGAAGACATTTTCAAGGTATTGGAAGAATTTGAAATTGTTTGATAACAATATTTATAAATTATCGTTACAGGTGAATTATTAAGTGTCAATCCAAAGATAGCCCGTTTACTACCAGATTTATTTGTATTAAACGAAAGAGCTGTTTATATTGGTGAATGGGAACATGGATTCTTTTCTATGACTGCTGTAGGCGCTACTAATGTAGGATCTATCAGAGTGCACTCAGACAAGGTATAGTAAAAAATAATTATAATCAGAAAACATTACTATTTATTTACATATAATACTATTTTGTAGGGCTTACAAACTAATATGCGATGCCGCCGAAAAGATTTTAATCAACACGACCGTCCATTAGAGACTCAATGGTCAAAGGGCCAAGAAGTTGGAGAATTCAGAATGGGCTCAACTGTGGTGTTATTATTTGAAGCACCCAAAGAGTTTATTTATAATGTTGAGGCTGGACAAACTATACAAATGGGACAAGCTCTAGGTAAAATAGGTGTTTCACGAGTCAATTCTAATTAATATAAATAAATAAAAATCCTATTGTCTCATAAAAACTTCAGTAAATTCTTCTTGCAGACTACCTTAAGGCTGACTAAATTTTTAATTAATTTATATATACATAAAATTAATTATTTAGTTTTTATGTTTACATAATAGAGTTTGAAGTCTTGGTCGTTGTTGACCCGTATTATTATATCATATATAATATAATAGTTATCTCACAACAACAATAAGTATTTTAAAATTAAAAAGACAATTTTTTTACATACCAGAATCCAACTTTTAATTTAATTAGAAATATAAATAGATAAAATATTTTAAAATCAAAAATAAGTAATTACCTTTACTTAGTGCGCAACATTTTTTTCTATCTTAAAATTTAATTATCGTAATTAATAAACAGATATACTGTGTTTGTGTGATATGTATAAAGTATAAAATTAATTACGTTATCTAGTATTTTAAAATGGTTAGGTTGGTTTTTTTAGTCTTTCTTATTCTTCATAATTCAATTATAATAATTGATTAAATATTTACTATTTATACATACGCAATAAACATTATAATCAACAGTGCTGTAGAAAATAGTTTATGTAATATTATAACATTATTTTGTGTCAATTACCATTAGTTTTAAAAAAATTAAATTTATACTCAATAAAAATCAAATACAATTGTGTATTGAATGAATTAAATTTATTAAAATCTGTCTAAAATATAAAAATATTTGTACAACAATATTATTGTAATAGTATAATTATTAAAAATAAATGTCTTTTAAAAATATCACAAATATTATATTAGTTTATATATTATACACAAGCGTATAAAACATCTACACAGTATTACTCGATAGTTTTTTTTTATTAGTCTAACAATAGTCTATCAAGTTTTTGCTTCACAGTGTTTATAAAATATAAAATATATTTATTGAGGCTGGTTATTTTTTTTCCAAAACATTGTTTGTTTGGCAATATTTGATGATTGAAACATTTTAACCATTTTAGGTTTCAAATCTTGAGTGACACTCAGACCACTGCTAATAATTATACAAAACAATTAAAAATAACAAAATTATAAGTAAAAAGTAAAATTAATACCTTTCAGGTTGTAATGATGGCAATCTTGATTCTGCTTCTTTGATTAACATAGCTGATAATTCTTTTTGAGATAAATTATTTAAGAAACAAAGTTCTTCTATACACCTAAAACAAGTTGTGTATCAAGTAATTTACTACCTTACACTTTTCTGACCTAAATACTATGATTGTATTATATTTGGGGGGGGATAAAATTAAAAATACCTTAAACTAGGCAATAAGGATGATGTAATTGCACTTTGAGATAAAGTGCATTCATAAAGAACTGTGCTGAATGCATCCAATAATACACGCGTTAGTTCGGTTTTTCTTGTAATGTCTGATGTCCTTACTGCTACACCAGAGTACATATTTAGTTGCACCATTATCACTGAAAATGTATTTTAATTAAACATAAAAGTAAAGTTAAATTTTGTTTTTTTTTTTACCATCTTCTCTATAAGCTTGATCAGACATGGGAGCCAGTTTACCAAATGCAGTTATTAGTTCAGTGGTAAACGTTATCATGTCGCTTAATGTCCTATCGTCCATAAGACTTTTCATCTGAAAACGACATTTTTCAATAGTATCCTTGTTATTAGTCGACATCATTAACTGACCCAGAATTGGAACTAAAGCTATTTTCACTTCACTAAAATTATATGTATTTGATTTTAAAAATTGATGTATTTAAAAAAATAAAATTATTAAGTATGTAAACACAAACCAGTTAGAGTCATTTGACAATGTAATGAGAGCTGGCATTATTCGATTAGTTATATTCACATCAGATAAGTATGGCATAATGGACGACATAAGTTTAGTAACAGTCAAGCGAATTGTTTCTTTCTGACTAATAACTCCTACAAAAGTAATGAATTAATGAAAATTGAACACAAAATTATTTATTCCTCTACCCACCTTCCCAAAGAGATGATAATATCAGTTCATGTAAACGTTGGTGGTTAAATGCTAGTAGGCTAATTGTCAAGTTCAATACATCAATAGGCACACCACACAATGGTAATGTACACACATACTTTTTCAAAGTAGCTTCCAATTCATTATCTTCACGCTAGAAAAATTAATATCAACACATTCCACGAGATAAATAAAAAATATGAGTAATAAACAAACCTGAATCGGAGCTAATATCGAACACATATAAATACAAAGAAGAGTCATTGATGGTAGTGGAGTAGTGGACATATTGCCTAGGGATCTTTCAATATCTTGTATCTTTTTTATAAACAATGGTTTTACCTATTATCATATAGTATGGTTAAAATTATGAATATTATTGTAAATAATACATATCTATTTATAATGAACCATACTCTATTTTGTGTAAACTTGGATCCAAATCCATAACAAAATGACTGAAATAGTGTCACGAGCGATTGTAAAAGTTTTTGATTTTCAATTGATACTAAAGACGAAGATTCTATTAAACTAGGCAACCTAAAAATGTAATAGTTATAAAATATATGTAATTTTATAACAAAGTAGTACATTAAAAACATGTTTACATCCATTCATAAAGCCACTGTAGTCTAGGCCATGTTATTTGATTTTCCTCAACAACAGCATCAAACGTACACATAACTGTACCAATTGTATTATTTGGATCATTGTAGAATACTGTTGGATTACATAAACCTACACATATATCAGCAAAACCTGTTCCTGAAATCAATTAACATTTAACAAATATATACTAAAACCTCAACAGACACCTTAATATAAATGACGTTTTTTTAGTCAATTAAATGATTTCCTTTCATAGTATTATTTATGTTTTTGTATTTACTCAATTCTCCTCTAGGAGTATCTTCATCTCGCAATGATAAACATTCAGGGGCAGATGCTACAAAGAGAACTAAATAGGGAAGTATGGAACGAATAGCATTCACCATGTAACAACAATTTGATTCCAATTGATCTATTTTTTGGGATTTCCTCTGGGAATCAAGAGTCTAAAATGAAAAAGAATTATAGTACTAATAAAGAATAACTATCACACATGATCTAAACAAATAACCTTAATTTGAGTAGTTAAAGAGTTCATCAATCGGGTATAACAATTTGATTGTAAACGACCTTTGTCAAATGCCCATTTAGCTAAAACTGGCAACAAAATTCCAGCAGTGATTTCAATAATATATTTTAAATTATCTTTTAATCCCACAAAAAGAAGTTCTTCAACCTATAAAACAATCAACGTTTAAAATGAACTAATTATAGATAAACAGTTCTGCATAGGTAGTTAAGCATAATTTTGTAATGGCACTTATACAAATATGTTATAATTTTAGTTAGGCTTAAAAATGAATTCTATCATATTCATACAAACAGCGAAACCTATTGACAATATTAAATAAAGCGATTATAAATTCTGCATTTTACTTGAGCATATTTGTCGGTATCATAAATATATACAGCATTGATTGCAATGCTTTTAATAGTAGCTGCACGTACAGATTCATCAATATCTTCAATCAACATTTGTTGTAATACTGAAAGTAATGATTGCCTAGACTCACACTAAACAGTTATCAATAACAATATAACCAACCATTATTCTATTATATTTGTTATTGTTAAATCAAAAACTTACAGTAATTAAAGGGCTGAACCATGAACAAGCTTCTGCAACCAATAATCTCTTTTCGACATATTTATCTGATAATAAATGCCATAATTGAGGTAATAATTCATTTTCAAAAAATTCACTATTTGAATATTTCAAAAGCCAAAATAAACCTAATTAAAAATAATAAGCAAATTTAATGTATAAGGTAATTTATTTAAATATTATATAAAGTACGTGAAGGAATACCTCCAATTATCAAACTTCGTTCTTTTTTATTAGGTTTTTTTCTCATATTAAATAAAGAACATAATAACTTATCCCTTTCTGTTGCATCAGGATGAATGTGCATTAAAAGAATAGTTAAAATTATAAAATCCTGAAACCAAATACTTTATATTTAACTATTAATGCTGATAAAAATACATTATCGATATTTAATTACTTCTTGTTTTTCGGATTCTAGAAGATTGTCATCATTTTGGTTGCGTATTCTTTGGTTTTCGAGGATTCGCATTATTGGATACAAATTTAGTTCAATGTTGTCGTCAGATATGATACTTAAATCAACATGCAAATCCATAAATGGCAATTGGTGATCAGGCCAACACTTATTAATCAAAGTGTCATGAAAAATTGATAATTCATTATTACTATCATATTTAGGTTTAACTGTTTTAGCTAGCCGTAACCACTTTTCTTTATAGGATTTTAAATTTTCACTACACATATCTTTTTGAGATTTGAGCCTATTGAAATTAAAATAAATTACTATTCAATAGTTATAATTAAAATAAAACCCATCAACATTTACAATTGTAGTTGTGATATTAGACTTTCATTATTTTTTTCTAGTTCAGACATTCTTATTGAAAGTTCACTGCAGTCTTCATCTGTCTACAGAATTGTATTTATTTAGTATATAATTAGTAAGAAAATTAATTAAAAATTATAAATGTATACATGATTAATACCTGAGTTGTAATATTTGTACATTTAATTGTTTCACTCTGACAAGATATATCAGATGATTTTAAATAATTTTTAGCTCGATCTCTATACAAAGATAATAAATGGGGTGGTCTAGAAATATTAAGACCAACATCATCCCAAATTTCAAAATCCTAAAATCATAACATTAACATGGGTAAGTATTTATTTAATTTAAGGTAAAAATAATACAATATATGGTTCATTTTTGTTATACGAGACTATCACAATCTTATAAATGTTTATGTGCCATATTTCAGTGTTATAATTTATAATTCATCACTATATTATTAGTTTTTGTAATGTTATATTTCTTTTACATTCAAATTACTCGGTAGTTAATACATGGAAAAATCATTGAAATAGATAAAAGTTTATTTTTAAGTATAAAAATATTGCTGGCAGGATACTTCCGCAAAAATTAAGTTTTGGATGATTATGTTGTGAAATTAAAGAATGCGTTTTGTTCTGAGTTCCTGATCAAAACTTATCTGTAATCCTTAATAAAATATCATAAAAAATAAAATAAGGGAAGAACTATTAAGCTTTTCTAACAAAGTTAATCAACTTTTATTTTTTTTACATTCTTAATGTACATGCAAAAACACACATTTTGAAAAAAAAAAAAACAAAAAATCGATAGGTTGCTTGACTAATTATGCCTCTATTTCCCCCAATCAATTGGTAATAGATAATTACCAGTGAATTATGTTCACTAAAATAAAACATTAACTATTATATACATTTCATGTATTGTTCAATTTAACTTTTTAACATTTATTATGACATATGTTTATACATATATACAGTGAGTGTAAAAAGTATTGTATGAATATACACTACATTTTTAAATAAATATTCATTTTTCTTCATGATATTTTATTTTTCTCGATGAATTAATACATGCATATTATTATTCTTAGTATTCGCTTTTCTCCAAACAAAACATCTTCCATCAGAGTCAAAAATATTAAATTTACTTTCGTCTGTAAATATAACTTTGTTCCAAAAGTTATCAGATTGATGTAAGTTATCTCTTGCAAAAGCAAATCTCTTTTGTCTATTTTTTTTATTTACAAAATATTTTCGACGAGCTACTCGTCCATGGTAATCAATATTTTTTAAACAATTTCTAATTGTACTTACACAAACATGACTCCAGAAAAGTTCGCAAGATCTTGTACTATTTTAGGAGCGCTTATTTTTGGATTCAATTTGACTTTTCGTTAAACTATACGTTTATCATGGTCAGAAAGTTTTTATGGACGACCAGATCGTTGCTTATTTTCGTGACTTTTCCGCTCACTGTATCGATTTATCACGTCTTTCACAGTGCTATGAGCTCTGTTGACAATTTTTGATATTTGACGTAATGATTAGCATTAATTATGAAAATTGCAGAATTAGTTCACGTTCAGTTTTATTTGTCTCGCATTTTTTTTCGACTCATTTTGTGATAGATGATAATGTGACATTTTGTATATCTTATAGTTTTCTAATAACATTATTGTGAGTAAACAGGTGATTCCGTAACTAAAATAGAAGTGTACGAATATTTATTGTTCCTATTTTATATGTATTGTTTTGTTTGTTATTGAATATTATTATTAATATAACATTTGTCAGTTTTTTTTTTTTTAATATAATTAAAAATCGTTAATGAATAATATGCATGTATTAATTTATCGATAAAAATAGAATATCATGAAGAAAAATGTATATTTATTTTAAAAAGTAGGGTGTACGAATACTTTTTACACTCACTGTATATATAAATAACTATACAAAGAACAATAAGTCAGATTTGTTAACAAAAAAAAAAATTAAAATTAGGTAGTCTGTGATAATAGGAAAGTGATAAATATTGAGTCTTGGATAACAGGGTTATGATATTTCACAAAACAAGGTAATCTCGTATAACAGGAGAATACCTAGTATACTTTTAATTAATTAATTTCTTTAATTGGTTATTTGCAGCATTGTCTGTGTAAAAGTTAGTGAGGAGTTCTATTAAATAATTGATAGAAAAATAAATCACAAGGTTAGACTACTATAAATAATATGAAATATATATAATTATGTGTTAGTTCAGTACAAACAGTTTTAGGGTGTAAAAATCAAAATTAACAATTTACTTGATTTTCATTTTCATCAGCAAATGTAATTGATGTCAGTGTATAATTATGTTGCATCAGGTACTCATTTACTAGAAAATTAAGAACTCGTTGTTCATGAGGTTTGATTTTATCATCATATTGGGTAGTTTTTATATCTTCTCCAGAAAATTCTTCAGATTCTATGGAAAAAAATTCAAAAAATTGTATAATATCAAATAAGCATATTTACTTGTAAAACATTTGAATTTAAAAATTACAAAATAGGTAAACCAATGTAATAAAATCAGAAATAATATAAATGAATAATGAATTAAAATATTTCAAAATGTGTTTAAAGAGAAAAACATTTACCTACTGCTGCAACTGTCAAATTCGTTCTAAGGGCATTTATTGTATCTTTCGCTTTTCGGAGTTCAAATTCTAGAACAGCAACCCTTTCATTTATTGTCTTATCACCATCTTCAGAGTACCTCGCCATCTCCAGTGAATCTAATGTCGCCTGACTTGATGATCGGGCTGAAAAGACCGTATCGACATTAAAAATGATGACAAGGTGGATAAAATTGTTGGTTATTTAAAGATTATGAAGTACATACCCATACTCAAAGTTATACTGATGTTATCATTCTGGGGAGACGAGTGTTCGAAATTACTCGGGTTGGAAAAGAACACACGAAGTCCTGGTAGTTCTTTTCCGGCCTCGATTAATTCATAGTGAAGTTCAAGGGCGGTGAGCAGAAGACGGTCGTTGAGCAGTTTTTTGGCTATGTCACCGTAGCTCAGTATCGGGGAACCGACGTCTTCAGCCATTTCGTCGCGAAATCTTTGATACCAGATTCCGGCGAAGTACCTTTAGACCGCTCGTACCATGTCAAAACGACGCAATCTTAAAGTGAAAACCGGAAACTAGAGTTCGGCTGACCCCTGACAGGCAATACAATTAGGAATTAGTATTTAGTCTTAGGAGATAGAATTCGACGATATTTTCAAAACAATTTGTTATCTAATCTACGTGGTTTTTTTCATTGATAACGGTGTCCACGGCGGTTGGTTAAACTGGAACGTAGTTCACGACAGGCAAAGACGGGCGCGACCGATCATTTCATATTTATCGTTCCGTATGCCGGCCGCACCGCATTACCGCGAGTCCGTAGAAAAAAATTTCTATTGTACGCTCCGGAATGTGTTGTGGAATGCGGATCGTGAGAATACGTTGATGACGGGTGGGAACGGCGTCGGAACTGTGAACTGCGACCGGCGGCAGTACCGTTGGCAGCTGTTGTGCTCTCGTTATTGTTGTCGTCGTCGTCATTGGTTTTGCGTGGTAGTGGGAGTGGTGTCGGCAGAAAATCGTGATGTACTGCCGTACTGGTGTTGTGTACCGTAGTACCGTGACATCGACTACGGTGCAGTCGTAGTATGCATTAAATCCGATTGTCCGCGCGCATTCAGTGCCAATACTTCGTCATCACGACGTCCGCGCTTAATATTATTCGTTATCGTACCGATTGAGTGTGCAATAGGCGTCATCGTCGCCCCCGCAAATGTTTCTTCTGTGCGTACACCGTTACTACCGGACGACTGAGCTCGTTGCCGTGACTGTGTAATCAAACCGCTGCCGCCGCCGTTGGTACACGTTGTTATTGTTTCATATTATTTGGTCTGTCCGCTTTACTGTTTTCATATTTCTGTTATTTTACTGAATAATATTAATTTTATTTTACTCTGGTGTTTCTGAATTCGATGGATTCATAGGCCCGTGAAGTCGTAACTTGTTTGTTTTGATAATATCTCGTTTATCCCCAATTATTCCGGGCTGATGGACTTCCGTTAATCTAAATCGCGTCTTTACCATTTATTCCGATACGTTGTCGATCCGTGCTGGCAAATCGTTGCTCGAATAATATTGACACTAGTATTATGACATCACCTACTGACTGACCGGTGTCATGTTTCGTTGCATACCGATATTCAAGGGCTGCAACAGGCAGGTGGAGTGTGTGGACAAGCGGCACAGCTCGTTGAATTCGGTACCTGAAGAAATACTTAGGTATGCCAGAAGCCTCGAAGAACTACTGTTGGATGCCAATCACCTACGTGAATTGCCCAAGGTATTGTGTGACTCATAATATGTACCTATCTATTATTTCCATAATCGGTATTCACCGTGAATATCAATTAACAATACATATTGTATAATATCATTCAAATTATTTGAAAGTTTTTACCATTTAGCCTGTATTATCTTTATTTTCATATTTTAATTTTTTTACTTGCATAGTATCTCATGTATTATTTATAACTCCAATTTAAATATTGTCTTATCCTCTTCTATAACTTGTAAATTCCTAAGTTAAATTGTCTTTATTAATTTACCCATTCGAGTAAATTAAGTGTGCCTCGTCTAAACCATAATAAAATGTCGATTAATGTGTCTGGTAAATTACAGCAGCCCCTTGGTAGGTGTGTTACAAATAACTCGACACTATAATATATACAATATGATATTAAAAAAATTTCAACTCTCACCAACCAAAAATTCACCGCTCACTCAAACCCTCTTGTCAATAGCCTCATTTTTAATCAAATTCCAAGAATCCCACCCTGATGTCTGAAAGTAAAACATGTGTAGGAATCTGATTTCTTCTTAAAAATGTAGGGGTGTTGCTTTGATTTTGTCTCTCTTCTCAGAACTTTTTATTATCATATAAAATATTTATATTATAATTGATATAGGTACCTACTTAACTAGTCATTACTAATAGCTATATTCTTTAAATATTTTAGAATAAAAAAAACAAACAACATTAATCAACATTTATGCCATGGTCCATATAATCTGTTATATTTGTTTCCATTGTAAAATGTTTCTTTTACCTAGGCAAATGTATTTACCTATCAAATTGTTTTTAAAATCATTTTCTTTTGTATATAATGAATAAATAATAGGCAATATATATATATATATATATCTGTATTACCTACTTAAGTATTTCTACAAATAAAATATTTTGTATTAAAATTGTCAAACGATGATATTTCTAAATTTATGCAAATACTGTTCTACTTGCTTTCCACTTATAAACTTCTTACAAGCAAAATAGATTAGTTGGTATTCTGATGTACCTACATATATAAGAATAGCTGCCAGAATACTACTTACTTGCCATCCTGATAGTACCTGCCTACTTAAATATATACATACATATATAGGCCTACACAGAGTGATCAATTTATCGTAAGACACTCATTATCTCAAAATGTATTAATTTTTTTAGGAATTCGAGTTTTAGAAACAAGCAACTTTAAAATTTTACATTTATGTTATTTTTGGGAGTAAAACAGCTACCTACTTTTGATTTTCAAATGGCAACCAATATTAAAAATTGCATAAATAGATAAATAGATTAGTTAAAATAAATTTTGGTGTTGGAAATACTTTTGAGTTTGAATTGGGGGAGAGTAGTGATGTATTTTGATATCTACGCACGCCTTGCCACCACTCAAATGACGCTCCCCCGATCCATACTTAAAAGTGGAACATCTCATCAACAAAAATCAAAAATTTCAAATGAAATTTTTAATATAGGCTGCCATTTAAAAATTAAAAGTAGGTAGTCCCTTTACCCCCAAAAATAAGGGTGACAAAAATAAATGTAAAATTGTAGAGCTTTCTGATTTAATGAGTGTCTTACGATAAATTGATCATCCTGTATAACAAATGAATACAACCCATGGTTTTATAGTCATTATATTGTAAAAATAATGAATAGTAAGATAAAAATATTTATAAAATCTACCTTAAATAGGTAATTTTGTTTAATATCCCAAAAAATATTCTATTAAAGCTTTAGACTAGGTAGTTAAATATTATCTATTATGTAACTATGTACCTAAGTACCTATAAGCATTTTATTCTATAGGCAGGTAATAACAGTGTTATTTTAAAGATAGGCTACAAAGAAAAATGTGTAAAAATCATTTTTTTGTCAATCTGAGAAAAACATGTTTTTAATTTCAAAACTTGCAAAAAATTGTACACATTAAAAAGTTTGGATTAAGTTAAATGTTGAACTTGGAAATGTAGTAAACACAATTAAATTATGTTTAAAACACATAATAATAGTGTCACTTAGATATAACAGTAAAATCTTTTACTTACATAATATCTAAAGTAACTTCTGATTTATTTCCTGTACACTTTACTTATGTTATGGCATTATACAATTTAATGATAATTCTATCAACTCTTGGTTTAGTTATTAAATCATTTATCACTTTTATATCTATATCTGTTTGTATTTATTAATATTTACCTATCTGTTTTTTTTTGTTTATTATTTTCTGCTTCTCCTTTGCCTTCATTCCAACTATTTGAACACCCCGGTCCTAAACTTCCACTTAATCTGATCTCCCACCTTGTACATACTCTGGTAGATATATAAAATAACTTAACCAATTTTATATACCTGTGAGCTGTGCTCATAGCATTCTTAATCACGTTCCACCATCTCTTTTTCAGTCTTCCTCACCACTTTTTTCCTCCCATGTTTATTTTCATTCCAATTCTAACTGCTTCAAATTCCTCTCTTTGTATGACATACCCAAACTATCTTAATCTATTTTCTCTCATTTTGTCTATTATTGATACCATACCTAATTTACCTCTTAAGTACACTTTCCTTATCCTATCTCCTTTTTTTCTCTCGACTCATCTACCTAATTATACTCATTCTCTGTTCTATTTTCTGTCTACTACCCAATACTTTGAACCATACAACATAGTCGGTCTTGCCACAATTTTATAAAACTTACCTTTAAGTCTCATTCAAGTCTCAATGGAAATCTTTTGTCACATATGACACTTTTCTCCACTTTATCAAACTTTATGTTTCACATCTTCATGATAACCTTCTTTCTTTTGTATAAAAAGAACTAGGTACTTAAAACTCCCAATCTTGTCTATTACATCACTACATATTATCGTTAGCTGTCTTGTCCTGTTCCTCTAAACTCATACGCTATATACTCTGTTTTACTACTATGTATCTATAATCCTTTTCTTCCAAATAATATTTTCCATTTCTTGAGTCTATTGTTAACTTCTTCCAGATTTTCTCCTATTAAAGCTATGATGTACCATGGTAACTCTCTACTCACCTGTTGTCTCTGTGCACATTTGAGATTTGACAATCCACTAAAGTCTCGTTTATAATTTGTAATATTTGACTGGATTTTACACTTTCTGTCGACCTAATGCAATTACAAATACCTAATTACTCAAATATTCTATGTATTTTGAATGGTTTAATTTATTAAAAACTGAATCAAAAAAGTTTTTATCAGTTTCATATTTGTCGAAATGATTAAAATACTAATTACTGTAGTTAAGGGTAACTTTGATTATTTTTAGATCATGGTCTACACGTTATTACTGATAATTATTGTATACTTTTTAAAAAAAAAAAATGGCGTCGTTACTTCAAATTATACTTCGCCTTAAATTAGGTAAATTTGTGTAATATTTTAAAAAAAAATTTTAATGTTGCTCTAAGTTATTGCATAAAATGCATACAATTTTTTAACAAATACCTAAGTTTGTTTGTAATAATTAATATTCAATTACATTTTTTTTTAAAAAACAAAAAATGTATTATACAATTTTTAAACCAAAACTGTATAGCCTGTATGAGTTTAGGAAATGTTTGTTGCTATTCTTTGTTTTATCACCAAATGTCTTTTCAACAAATTAATTTAAATATTTGGTGGGTAACCACTACCTACTATAACTAATAACTATGCATGTACCTATTATGTTTTAACACTTTTTAAAGTTACTAATGTAGTATAGAAATATTTAACTTCAAGAATATTATAATCATCATTATTAACAGTTTAAAAATCCATTGAAAACTTGTGCTGCCACTAGTAAGCTTTACTTTTTTCTATCCATAGACCAATCTATCTTTGCAACTTCATCTATAGCACCTAACACATTTTTGCAATCTTTATGTATACCCTGTATCATTATGTGATCAATCTGGTTTTTTTGTTATTCCATTGGGTGCTGTCTATGTTTGTCTATAAATATTTTTCTGTAGGAAGTATGTACTATTTAGGGTAAGGCCTTTTGCTAAGCATAAGTTGATTAGTTGGATTTCATTATTGTTACTTATTTCATATTAAGCTATCTGGTTCAATTGTTTACCTAAATTTCCTCTTTCCCTGTTTTTGCATTGAAATCCCCCACTAGTATTTTGATACAGCTGTTCAGAATTCCTTTATTTTAGTAATAAAATAGAATGAATAAAATAAGTTGTATTAAATTTATTGATTATAATTTGTATATTGATAATCAATTTTTGCATTATTAGTGCAAAATTAGAACCCAGTAACTGTAAAATCATTATTATTATAATATAATTTGAAATCCAAACTTAAACCTTAACAAATATTTAACTACCTATTGAAATATTATTTTATTTGCATAAGTTAAACTTAAAATTTCTCAGTCGATAAAGAAATATCTGGTGGACAACTACAGAATACCACTCACCTCCTTTTATATGCCACATTAATGGTATACTTGTAAATACTTGGTAAATATAATATGCAGTATGCACTATTCATATATTTTCTGAAACTAATATAAATTGTTTCATGTCCCACATAAACTATTTACTTTTTCAAATTCAAATAATCTATTTTTTTGGTGAACATTAAATGGTTTTAAAATATGATACTTTATTCAATAGATAACAATTTAGAGTTAACACAAAACAGATAAACATAATGCTAAACAGTTCAGTCTTAAACCAAGGTCTTCTATGAATTACATCACTCTCACTGATGACTTATGTGTCACTTAGTGACCTTGCATGACAAACAATTTATTTTTATGTATCTTATTTCATATTTTTAATAATTAGATATCATTACTTACCTTTACTATTCTATTATATGTACCTATGATACTTACATAATATCTAATAATTATAATACTATAATATCTATACATATGTATTAATTAATTACCTATTGATTCTGTAGTGAATCAATAGGTCTTATTTACATTATTTTGTTATTAGTGTACAATAAGAAAATATTACCTTAACTACGCTTAACTATTTGTCTTTTTTAATTAGAAATAAACAATCTATACAAAAGTGTACAGTAAGTTTATACCTATGTTAAGAAAAAGACCTACAAAGGAGTTAAATAAGTAGCCATGCTTGATTATAGTTTTGGTGGTTCAGTGAACCTCCAAAACTTTGGAGTTTGTGGGTGTTGAGTCAGTCTCAGATAGAAGATGGTAAACTGTGTTAAAAAAAATATATTTATATTTATACTGTGATAAAACTTAAAAGGTTAACCTATGTGTTATATGAACTGTGATAATTTTTTGTGACACTATATTATATGATTAATTATATTTAGTTAGGTTATTTATAACTAAATTCAAAATTATATTACTAACTATAGGTAGTCCATCTATAATATTACTGTTATCTACTGTTCTCTATCAAGACTAATCAAGAAAACAATATTTGTAACTTTTATGTATTCTCAACAAAATCAAGTGGTACATATATATATATATTTACATATATTTTTAACTATATGAGCATAAGCACTTTTAATAATTTTGATGTAAGATGTCAGTAGAAGTACTTTTCTACTGTATCTTCTGTAAAAGTATTATTTGAAAATCTTAACTATTAGTCTTTTTTTTTTTGTAAACAACTTTTCTACCTGTAATTTTGCTCCAATTTTCAAGTGTAACACTTTTACTGAAAGGAAATGTTCCCAGGATGATACTTTAAGTAAAATGTTCATTGAGACAAAATCTTTTATATAACAATAATCTTATATATACCTTTTATTCAAGTGGTATAATTTTCAAACCATTGTAGTTATTTTTAAGCTATTTATAGACATTTTAAGTTTACGGGGTTTTTACATAATTTTTATTATCAGCCGTTGAAAATTACATTGTTTTTTAGATATCTATTGTTCATGTGCTATATATAGATATGTATATAACCAATGATATTTTTTAATATTATTATTTTTATTTTTATAGAATTTCTTCAGACTTCAAAGGTTACGAAAACTTGGTCTTAGTGACAATGAAATACATCGTTTACCACCAGAAATACAGTATTTTGAAAATTTAGTTGAATTAGATGTTTCAAGAAATGGTAAGTATATTAAATATATTTTATTATAGGCAAAGTTAATTGTTTGGTACATATTTAATAATAGTTGTAATAAAATATTAATATAAATATAATATAACATTATAATAATATTTAGTCTATTTCAAATATGCATAATAATTTTTTTTTATATAAAAATTAAAACAGTGACTTATGTAATAAAATTAATAGAATTTTAATTTATAATTACCTATAAAATTAGTCTAATTTACAAAACAAATTTTAGCCAAATAAATACTTATTATACATAGTTATTCCAACAAATGACTAATTACAGTTTAACTATCATTCGAATGATTATTTTCCTTACCACTTACTAACTTCTAATAGTTATTCCAACAAATGACTAATTACAGTTTAACTATCATTCGAATGATTATTTTCCTTACCACATTATTTACTTAATTAACTTGACCTATCATAGTATATACTTGTCTATACAAAATTTATTAAACATAATTTTTTGTTTTACCTATATGACTATATTGGTTATTCTCAGTATAGTTTATGTGTATAATACAATTTGCTTTAACTAACTTTATTATTTATTTATTTTTTCATCTATCTTGGAAAAAATAGTTAGATTATCAAAAAATCATCTACTTGAAACATAAAATATATTTCACTTTAAAAAGTTGACTCTGTTTTCTTAATTCAGTTTATGCAAGTAAATTAAGTGAACAACATCTAAAGAAATAAAATTTACTTCACAGCTCCAGTTCTACTGGATTTATTTTTGTACTGTATATAATTCACACATATTTCTTGAATATTATTCTGTAATAGTGTTCAAAAATTAAAAGTAGGTTAAAGTATTTCAGATTTTTACTATTGATAAATAAAGTTCCAGTTATACAAAATGCAAAATGTACGTTGAATATTTTTATTTTATTTCATTCATGTGTTGACGTGTATGTAAACGATTAGAATGTTTCCTCCCACCATTCTCATGTGAAGTCATGCATACATCCTAGTCATAAACATGTAGTGCTTCAGGTCATTTGCCCTTGTAATTTTGTAAACTAAACCCAGGACACTCAACTTAATTATGTTTATAAATTTACATAAAATATTTAATTATAAAAAGAGAAACAAACGTGATCTCAAACATAACAATTTTATGATATAATATAATTATCATAAGTAACACGTATCTAAATATTTAAAATTAAATAAAAGTTCTGTAAACTTGTTCAAAAAACATAAGGTACATAAAATACTGGGTGATAGGGTATATAGTGTTATGTGTAAATATTGCAGCTCAATGAATGAAAATCTGTTCTAGTATAATAGGGACAGGTGAAAATACTGTTGTAGGTTGGAAGTTGGAAAGATAGGATACAGATGAGAATTTAATGTATTAAGCAACAATTAACCATTGCTAACCAAAAATGATTCTGAGTGAAGTTCAGTTGATAGTATTGCTTTGTCAACAATGTATGTGTCATATAATGATAAAGTAATTACATATGCATTAAACATTTTCTTTAATATTGTACCTATTTTCCGGTTTTATCATATTTTTCCCATTTATTTGGAAAATTCCTTCAAAAATTAAAAAAACGACTTCCTTAAAGTACCCACAAAGTCAAATTTTCTTTTAACAAAAAGTGATAAATCGGAGCTAAATTCCTCATAGAAAAGTTGTCCACAGGAAAAGAAAAAGCCGTAATATTTTACTATACATTCGTACATTTTCCCGGTTTTTCTAATATATTGAGAAAACTCCTAAGAAAATTAAAAAACTACTTTCCTTAAGTACCACTCCAATCAGATTTGCTTTCAGAAAAAGTACTACACTTGTAAATCTGAGCAATATTTCTGGTAGAAAAGTTGTTCACTGAAAAAAAAAAATAATAATAAAATAAACATCATTGTGAAACCATAAGCTTCTTCGTTCTACTCAGAATTTAAAAAATTAGAAAAAAAGTTAAATTTACAAAATAAAAATATACACATAGTATTGGTATTAATTATAATATATACATACATAAGGAGTCTAGTTTTAAAGTGTACGATTTTAATTTTGGGAGTTTTTTTCATCATTTGTATACTTTGTGAATACAATTGTTTGACGAAACAGAAATTCACTAAAATTAAACAGAAGGTTCTTTATAAGTTGTACTCAGTGGTCAAAAAGAAAAAGTTAAGTTTTATGTAATATTTTTATAAGAACTTTAATATCAAATTTTGACGAAAATCGTAAATATTACGGCCTTTTAAAACAAATTTAACTGAACTCCGTTTAGAATAGTTTTTCAGATATACATTAAATTGTCTTCTATACTTATCCCAACTACCTCACCTACAACAGTGGTTCATCCATTGTGCGAAGAAGTATGTCTATACATTTTCGTTATCATTTTAGTTAAAAATAGTTGTAGACCTGAAATTTTCCAATGATTCTAGTAAATTTTGGGTCATTTTTAGGCATTCAAAATGTATTATGTAAATACAATTTTTTTGGCTTGGTATAATTCCTTGAAAATATAATGCGAGGTTCATCGTTAGTTGTACTTGATGTTAAAAAGAAAAAAAAGTTTTGCCTTATGTAGTAGTATTTTTATAAGCTCGTTTTAATTTAAAATTTTGACGAGAATTACCAAAATCACGGCATTTCAGAACTTAACTAATATTTAGAATTGTTCTTCAATAACAATGATTTAACATTACGTACAAATTTAAATTAAATAATTATATATAATCTAACCTGCCACCTGAAATAGTAGCACACCCGTTAGCAGTATCAGCCCATTTTTAAAAATGTTTTACTTATTTTCTAGGCTCTTATGTAGGTAATAATATTATTGTTATTATTTTTTTTTTAAATTTGTACGTTAGAAATTTAAGAAAAGATATCATATAAATAATAACAATCAATTTCTTTGGGCGTGTTATATTCATTTGATTGATAACTTTAATTGACTGTATTTGTCCAGCAGCATACTTCACTCATCCTTGTCAGTAACTGAAAACTGGTTTTAGTTATTATGTACCATGTAGTAGATTCCAGCCATGGGGTCAATCACCTTGTTTTACCTGTATAATAATAGGTTGTTGGCAAATAAAAATGTAAAATAAAATAATATTATTGTTTTGCATCGTCTAATAGTTTAGTACCATCGTGTCGAAATATTATACCATTTATTTATATTGACCAGCTTCTAGTCGATGTTTTAATCTATAAATAGACGAAAATAGTATCCATATAATATAGTATAGCATACACTTGTTTAAATAGCTTTGATTTAAAATTTTACTTTCATCAATTGGTTATGAAAATAATATTAGCTCACTAAAAAATATTACTTGTTACATATTTTTTGGTTTAAATATCAAATCTGAAGAATTTAAATCCTAAAAACAATTATAATACTAAAAGAACATGATTTAAACAAATCAACTTGTTTAATATCAAATTTAAATATTTTATAAATTAGTTTTTATCATTTAATGTAAATAACTACACCATTTATATATATAACAAGATTAAATTATACCATTGTAGTTTTGTTAAAATTTATTATTTCGTTTTAAAAATCAAATCTAAGGTGTCTTTAGTCTTTGAACTTAAAAATAAAAAATGAAAAATGATTCAAAATCACGAATTTAATAAAAATAAAAACTTGATACATCAAAATTTACAGATGAATGAACTCTATAAAATGGCTGTCTTCAAATTTTTCTAAAATAATAAATTAATGGAAATATAAATATTTGTCCTTGTTTCAGTGAGTAATATAAAAAAAAAAAAAAAGGAACTTGATTATCTTTATTATCCTCGGAGATATTATAATTGGTATATCTTCATGGGGCACATGTATACCTACCATAGCAAATAAACTACAAATACATTACCCATGTATTTGATTATATCTAGTACTAGTACAATCAAGTTACATTTTGTAATTTATGTTATTGTGATAAAAATATTTTATTTATCTTATTATTCTTATTACTATTTAATAATATTGTAGACTAGTTGAGTTTGGATATTTACATACAATCGTCATATTTTGTAGATTACTGTGCAGTTACATTTTTATTGAAATATGAATAAGCAAATAACAAATTCAAATGCTCAAGCATTTTATATCACTAATTCTGTAACATGTAGTAGTTTTGCACAAAATAATTTATAATGAATTTATAATTTATAATATGATAATGGTTATCGGATAAACTAAACTAATAGATAAGATAATAATTATTATTACCTAGGCTTTCTAATAGCGTTTTCCATGTGTGCACTGTTGTACCTAGAGCGAGCAATTGATATTGTCTGAAAAATTGCTTAGTGCAATCGAATCATGGATCACGTGGAACATTATTTTCACAACTATCAATTATTTTCTCATTGATTATGATATACACTACCTTTAAAGTTTTTATAGTTAATTATAATACTATTAAAATAAGTAATAATTATAGTAATATTGTATTTTATATATTATTAACTCAAATTATAAAAATTAAAAATAAGACAACAAGTAATAGCTGAAGCAGAAAGAAATAAAATTCCGATAAAAAGTGTCCCTTACACGGATTAACCTTAACGTGACCTACCGCTAAATAATAAATTAAAGTCCAGGCACAGTTTCTTTCATAGCACCGTTGGGATCTTACAATCGAAACCGACCAACGTTTACTAAGGTAGAAAGATAGGTGAAGATCAGACGAACCAATGTGGACAAGAGCAACAGAGAACCTTCTCCCGGGAGGGAACCTGAAGTACGGGCATTGGAAAACCTTAAACCGCCTAAGAGTAGAAGTAGGAAGAACAAAAAAGAACTTCGTACTATGGTAACATGAAGAGATCGTAGATTGTGGATGCGGAGACATACAAGACGACCAACACGGGAACGTTACAGAATCGATCAAAGTAATTTGATAACCCTGAATCACTGTTATCTACTCAAGTAGAACAATGATAACTGATAAAACTGAAATCCAGGCGACGAGTTATAATATTAATAAAAAAAACACCCTACGGAGATAGCCGTTGAAAGTGAGATGTGAGTCTAGATGGGGCCCTAGGTAACGCAAATACTTTTAATGGGAACCACCTGACTTTCAACCGTAAGCAATGAGTCACAAAGGCCCATTTTTCAGTCAGCATGATAGCTTCGGTCTTATTATGGGCTAATTGATATCCATGTTTCTCCAGGTGTCGATGGACCTCAGCGTGGTGTTCACAACATCAAACAATAAAGCGTCAGAAATTTGGGTAAAGTCGAGGATTCTACGAAGCTGATAAGCTGAATTCCCACCTAAACATCGAGATTAAAAATGTTATCGTATAAGATTTTCCATAGTGTCGGCCTAAGGACCGAGCCCTGGGGTACGCCTACGGTTACTGATCTAACAAAGCTGGAACCATCAGACAAGCGTACCGAGAAGGTGCGATTCTCCATGTAGGAGCGAAATATCTTGACAAGGTATTCAAGGACACCTCTGCTTCGGAAAGAAGAGTACATGATCCCAGGGAGCTGTGTTGAATATATTTACACATCCAAGAGCCATGAGTACGAACAGCCAACGCTAGGGCCCGTTATTTGCTAATTTGGTCAGGTCAAAAACCTTATTAATAGTGTCCTCCATAGATCTTTCCTTGCGAAACTCAAACAGAATTGGGACTGAGTCTTCCGGTGCAGTCAAGGTGATTGGTGAGCCTTTGCATGAGAATCCTCTCCAGAAGCTTTCATGTAATGTCGAGCATGCCCAGAGGGTAAAACCGGGTGGACGGGTTGTTCAAATGTTTTTCGTGGCCCTTGTGGAAAGGCACCAACCTGGTTCGTTCCCATTTGGTAGGGAAGACAGACTCACCAAGTCAATGGTGGTAGGTCCCGTGGAAGGTCTTCGGCGATAACCTAGGTATATTTTTTACGATCGAGGCCTGTTCCCTGGGTAGCCTGGTCACTGCCGCTCTGAACTCGTTGGTGGTGAGAACGGGATACCCTCGGTCGACTGGGTCAGCTTCTTAAGAGATGAAGGAAACATTTGTTATCTCGCAAATATCAAGTGGTATGTCAAGCCAGTTCACGATGGTCGGGAAGAGGGAATCCGCTGTATCGTCTTTACGTCTCCTAGCAGTGATGCCGAGAGGCTGCCTGCCGAGTCGCTTAGAAAATATCCTGTAAGAGACACTCTAGGGGTTATTGTTCATGGTTCTACGTCATTTAGTCCGGTAAATAATATCCGGCTACAATTGATCCACAACATTTGATCCGATTAAAAAATAACCTGTACCAAAAACCACCGGATTAAAAAACATCCTGTAAACCAAAAAAAATTACGAAATATACATTGATATTTTTAGTTTAATAATTTTCAAAAATGTGAAAGGTTTCATTGAAACAACCTTATTTTTTGATTTTCCAAGTGGTTTTCATAATAATGTGGAAAAAACTTAAGAAAATATACGAATATTATGCTTTTATAATTTTAAATTTTGTTTTTTGTTGTAATTCATTTATAAATATTCGTAGAAGCTTGAAATTTGGACAGAAAACTTTTATTTGCATTTCTAGACGTGGTAAAAGTTGTAAACAATAGTGCAATATTTCAGCTATTTATAGACATTTTATTTTTGCTAGTTTTTACATAATTTTTATTCGGTAGGTACTCTATGAAATAAATCGTTTAACTTAAAATGCATTCAAATTAAACAAGAGGTTCATTATGAGACATTCTCAGATGTGTGACCATTTTACAGTGGTGCACCTGTCGTACAAATTATACTTGTCTTTTTAATTTTTTTTATCGGTGGTCAAATTTTCAACCAAAAGACCTACTCAAATCAAAAACTTATTAAGAGTTATTGTAGCTGTAGCAATATTTTTGGTTCTAGTAAATTCATTAAGAATTCATTTTTTAAAATTCTTTGTATTTTTACTAACTAAAAATAAAACCCAGACTGCAACATTTATTCAATTCCAGTTTTTGTTAAAATTAATTTTATTTTTATAATTAGACCTGACATTTTTTTAACGTATACTCAAGAGTAATGATTTATGAGTATGTTAACATTTTGTATAAACATAATATACTGTGAGTATGACTTGTTTTAAATTTGTTTTGAGTTTGGTATCAAAATTGTCTTTTTTTAAAAAAATGTTGTGCAAATTATTGAAATACATCATTATCAACCTTGAAATGTTTGTACCAAAAAAATATGACCAATTTTGAGGTGTTTTAAATAACAGCTATAATAATAACATATTATAGTTAACTTTAAAAACTAAAATTTATATTCTGTTAGGCTTTAAGTAAAAACAAATATTAATTGTGAAGACATTTAATTTTGTTTTTTCAAAATTCCATATCTACTTAATAAATATGCTTATAAAATAATTGTCTATCTATATGTTATCAAATAATTAAAAACTTTTCAATTAAATTATTAACAGGAAAAAAAAGTTAATTAAAAAGGGTTTTTAATAATATTTCATTAAGTACCCACCCAAACAATTGATACATGATTTGATTTTGGATTTTTTCATTTTTCACTCTTTTTCGATAATATCCCATGGAAACCTATTGGAAAAATGTCAAACTTGAAAAATTATACAGAGCCACAAGAAGTTTTCATTTGTGAAGCCACTTATACAATTTAATCAGTAAAAGAAAATAACTTCTATTTCTTATTTTTACTTCTTTGAAAATTATTCTTAGATACATTACTAGTTACTTATGCTGCTGTAAGGTCTAAAAATATTGTAAGTTTGTAAAAAAATGGAAAATTGATCAAATATTAATTTTCTGGGTGTAAACCAATTAATTTTATTAAATTTTCATGTTCAGATTATGTACTATATATGTATATATTTATATTATATATAATCAAATTAAAACTTTAACAAAATAAAAAATACATTATAAAATATGTGAAATGACTTACCTGTGTATCAATAATACATTTATTTATTTTTTACAGATATACCTGATATACCAGATGAAATTAGAAGTCTTAGATTACTACAAGTTGCAGATTTTAGTAGTAATCCTATACCTAAGTAATTGTTATAGTTCAATAAAACTTTTAATTATGGTCTTCTTAAGTTCTCTTGTTTTTCTATCAATTGTTATTTTGTTTTGTTTTTTTTTTATTGGTTTAGATTACCATCTGGATTCTCACAACTGCATAATCTCACTACTTTAGGACTTAATGATATGTCATTAAGTAATTTACCTGCAGATTTTGGCCTGTAAGTTATTTCTACTTAAAATACTATTTAAAAAAATTATTAGGTTAATTAAATTGTCTAGACTAGATAAACTATTATTAAAAAAAAATTTTGATAATATAATATTTACTTTATTTTAAAAATTTCATTGAATCATTTAGATAATACAATTGTAAATACTATAATTTGTAATATTTATTTAATTTTTACTTTTAAGGCTAACTAATTTGAAATCACTAGAGCTACGAGAGAATCTTTTAACATCTTTACCATTATCATTATCACAATTAACACGTTTAGAACGATTAGATTTGGGTGATAATGAAATAGATCATCTGGTAATTATTTACATTAATTTATTAATTATTCTATTTTGCATAATAATATTTTTATTTTTGTTAAAATTTTTGTAGCCCCATCATATTGGTAATCTTCCAGTTCTCCAAGAACTTTGGCTAGACCATAATCATTTACAGCATTTACCTGCAGTAATTATATTTTATGCTTATACATTTTTAAATTTTTTTAAATCATAAATAATAATATTTATATTTTAATATCTAGGAACTAGGAAATCTTAAGCAGTTAGCCTGTTTAGATGTTTCTGAAAATCGTTTAGAAGATATTCCAGAAGAAATTAGTGGTCTAGAAAACTTAACTGATCTACATTTATCTCAAAATGTAATAGAAGTTCTTCCGAATGGTATAGGTGAACTTACTCGCCTAATGATTTTAAAAGTAGATCAAAATAGATTAACTATGCTAAATGATCGTATTGGATGGTAATTACTATTATTATTTATTTATCTAAATCTAAAATTATTTTGAACATAAAACTAAAAACAACTATTATTTTAAGCTTTTAGCAATATATCATTACTAATGATTCATTAGGTATCATGGATAAACAATTAATACAATTCTGTATTGTTTAAACTATTTGAATGTTTTAACTTCTATTTTACCTAAGTTTTTTCTTTGTAATATTTATATACAATTTGAATTACAGTTGTGAAAATCTTCAAGAACTTATATTGACAGAGAATTTTCTGGTTGAACTACCAGTGACAATTGGTAAACTTGTAAACCTGACTAATCTTAATGTTGATCGAAACAGTCTTCATTGTCTACCAATGGATATTGGTAAATTTCTTTATGATTAATATAATTTTTATATCAACATAGTAAGCCCTTCTATCTTGGAAAATCAATAAAACAAAATTATTCATTTAAAAAACCATTTTATAATATTATATAACATATGAAATGTATTAATTTATCATAATTAGAGTCCATATTTATATATATATATTCTAAAACTTGCATGTAAAACTAATTTTATAAGTATATTCCTGTTAACTTAAAACATATAATGTACATTCAATTTCAATAAATACTAATCATTTTAAAAATTTTCAATTGCTTTTTTTTTATGTATACAGGTTGAATTTTTTTATTATGAACGAGCAATTATCTTAGATGATTTTAAGTGAATTTAATTTGTTTTTTCTAATCATTATGGAATTGTGTTTAAGTCTTATTTTTAAACCATTATTAATTTTTACCTCTACTCCATGTACCTTAAATAAGTGCATACTTATGATTTTTAAATAGAAACCCCTCATTTGAACACAGATTTGAATAGAGAATATTTTTTTAGAAATGTTGATATGTATAACACTAATATTAGATTTACTGCTTATGAGATATAACTGAAGACCGGATTTATATTCTTTTAAAACACCTAAAAAATGATGCTTATATTCTCTTGAAAGTTTGAAAAATAATCAATGAACATCAATATATGCTATATTATGCAATTTTTTTTTTTCACATTCCATATATAATTAGTGATACTTATTATTAAAATAGGTTATAATTGCAGTTAAATAAGAGTAACAATCTAATATAAATAATATAACAATATAGGTAATTTGTTTTTAAAAACTTAAAAATCATGTAACACGTGATTGGAAAAGAGCAAACAGAATATTTGGACATTTGAATATCTAATAATGTTTAATGATAAACAAATATGTTGATATTATTATCAGTATAAAAACAATTGCCAGCATTGCAGATTAGCCACCATCATGTTTAGTGAACAGTAATTTATAATAGGTAGGTACTAAACACTAAACCTTTTTATCAAAAAGAAAGAAAAATGGAAATCTTCAAAATGTATTTTTCCAAATACCATATTATTAAAATTTATATTTTTTCTCACAATTTACAAAATATTCTAAAATATGCAAAAAAAATCTTTTTCCTACGAACTCAGAATTGAACGAATCTTCAACATTTCTTACTTTCATAAGACTGCATAAACTCAATAACGATATGTGAAAACAAATAAATCTAGTTTTTAGTAATAACAGTAAATCGATATTAGTGTTAGTGTTATGCATATCAAAATTACTAGAAAAATATTCTCTATTTATATCTATGTTCAAAAGGGAAGTTCTATTTGAAAATCAAAAGTATTTAATTATTTAAGGTATTTGGAGTAGGCTTAAAAAATTAAAAATGGTTTTAAAATAAATCTTTAACGATTCCATAATGATAAGAAAAAACAAATCAAATTCACTTAAATATCTCTTAGATAATTACTGGTTCGTGATACAAAAAATCATATATATGATATATTTTTCAACATTTTTTAAAAGAATACTAATGTCCATTGAAACAAATAAAACAGTACTATTTTTAGATTTATATTACAAATTCCAAAGAAGTTATAGACAAATATTAGTGTATTGTTTTACAATTATTTGGTTAAATTTGAATAATATTGTTAAACTTATAATTTTTTGATTCATTGACCAAAAACAATACAATTTTTAATTACTAAGTAAATAATTTGTATATTTAATTATTTTTTTTAGAAACAGATTTGGGGGGATATGGAATCAAAAAAAAAAAAAACAGCCTGTAGGTTTACCATTAAAAAATTGTCTGGTCACTGAAGGAATTAAAAACAAGTAACTCTATAATATTACATTTTTTAGGGTACAATGTCTACCCACTTATGTTTTTATTAATATATGGAGTAAAGTTTATATTTCTGTCAATCCGTTGATGTGATAATCCACTTTAAGTTTGGATAGAAGGTAAGTAGTGAAGAGAGAGCACTTTTCAAACGCATCTGTAATTGAACATAATCGTGCAAAACAAGCAAAATACATAGTTTTGAATTCTAATGTTCAAAATGACTATAATTACTCTTCTCTTACCCAAATTTAAAATGGAATATTTCGTCAACACATTGACGAAAATCAAAAATGTTAACAAAATACATTTAAATTAATATTTGTGGAACTTTTACTACTGGAGCCTACTTAAGAATCAAAAATAGGTAGTTGTTGTAACTCCGAAAAGTAAAGGTCACAAAAAATAATGGAAATGTAATATTTTAGAGCTACTTATTTCTTAGTGTTCAAAAAGAAAAAAATGAAAAATCAACCACTATTAACATATTAAGTGTTAAACAATTAAATAATCACCATGTATATAATTTATTATTACTGGCCTATTTGTATTACTATAAAGTAAAACTTATTTACTAGAATCCTGTTTTTATTTTAAATTCTTCTTAAAAATAATCATTAGTTCAAGCATATTTATCTTATTTTAGGTAATTTATGTCGTTTGGGAATTCTATCCCTTAGAGATAATAAATTGCAATATCTCCCGAATGAAGTTGGAAATTGTGTTGAATTGCATGTATTAGATGTTTCTGGAAACAAGTAATAATATATTTTTAATTAAATTACTTGAAGTTGATTTTTGGTGTTCTCCATTTTAGTTTACAATATTTACCATTTTCATTGGCCAGCCTAAATTTAAAGGCAGTTTGGCTATCAAAAAATCAGGCTCAACCAATGCTCAATTTTCAAACTGATGAAGATGAAAAAACTGGTGAACAAGTGCTTACATGTTTTTTGTTGCCACAACTTGAAATTAGGGGAGAAACAAATGGTATGGTTAATTAATATTTAAAACAAATTAAAACTCAATAGAAAGTAGAATGACATTTTGCACGAATTTTTTAAATTAATACTATAGAAACAAAATATTGCAAATGTTATCACTATTTTTTTTATTAATACCTTGTTATTATAAAATTATAAAATTGTAATATGTGTACAGATCAGTAAATTCGAAATTTAAAGCTCTTAAAATGAATACAATGTATACCTATATTTCATTAAAGAGTTTGAGCATTTGTATTTACTTATTTAATCCATCTCTCACGTAGTTCTATTTGATACATTTTCTTTAGATGCAAAATTTATCAATACAATTTTTGTTAATAATTTCAAAATACCTATTTTACTACTATCTACACGTACTTGTATCTATATGATAATCTAAGCACATTCTATGCTTACTACAACTGCGCGCATGGCATGCACATTCTTTGTAGGCTTGATCACTGGTGACTATGACCAAACGTTGTGCTCGCCACCAGATGAGGAGCCAGCCAGTGAAACAGAAGAAAATGAATGGGAAAACAAGGCAAATTCAAGAACAACATCTGTTCAGTTTACTGGTGACATAAAGACTGAACCCAATACAAATGTAAGTTAACAATCAAAACAATTATATGTATAGACATTTGAGTGTTAACTAAAACAAATTATAGTATTGCTTAAGGATATGTATTGGATTACAATAATTTTTTTATTCCTTAATTTAAGTTGTTTGACACTTCATCATCTTGTAAATATATATCACACAAATTTCTACGGTATTTATTTAGAAATAAATTTAAATTAATATTGTAATTCAAAACAGTAATCCGAGCACAATGCACCTATAATATAATACTTGGTGTTCTAAAGAAATAGTTTTGTTTTTATTAGTCTTTTTACTAAATCAGTTTCCTATGATGGTACAAAACATTAAATTTCTAAGTATGTATTATACAAAAAAAAATTATGATAATTTTATGTTTAGTTACAATTTTAAGATAGCCATATCTCAAAAGTACCTATCTGTTTCATGGATTATTAAATGTTTTCAAAAAAATTTTAGTATTTAGTTACTTATTTATTTATGCTTTGCATAGTTAATAATAATTCTAAATTGTTCCCGTCAGAAAATAAATTATAACACTAATAAAGATGATCTATAAGATTTATAGACATGGAATAAACAACTAATTTTAAGAATTTTTAATTTAATGTCTAAATAATATATAACTACTGTATACTTAACATTAAACTGTAAATAAATTTTAAGGATCTGCTTAACAACTAAATATACACGTATGGTTAAAACTTAAATTTAAATGTAATTTGTATGTAAAAATGTAAAATATATAATATTAAGATATATAGGAGTGTTCTATTTAGTACCTAAGTTATGCATAGTATAATATATATTGGTCAATTAACTTCTATTCATTGGTAGCTGACCTTGTCCTACTATTATTTTTTTTTTTTTTTATAAAAAAAAGTGTTCATCTCTAGTAATTAATTATCCTATTTATTCTATGGTTGTTATTTTTATTTTCAGACATCATTTGTACGACACAACACACCACATCCCAGAGAGCTAAAAGCCAAAGCAACAAAGCTATTTGGTAAGAGTAGGAGTAATGAAAGTAGTTTAACTGATAGTCAGAAAGGAGATGACTCTGCTGTAAGAAAAAATATGTTTGATTTTAGTTATATAAAAATCAATACCCAATATCACATGTTTTTTATTTAATAGGAAAAAAGCATTGGAAATGAAGTTATAAATGACAAGTATTCAGAAGAAGTAGAATCAATTATAGAAACAAATAGTGTTCTTGAAGAAGAAATTAACTATGAAGTATATAATATTATACTTTTTAAAATTATCAATTAAATTGAATTTGTCTTACTATATAAATTTGTTTAATACTTTTTCAAGGAAAAGAATGTTATTTTTCATCCATCTTCAAATTTTGATGCTGATATTCAAAATAGGCCAATGAAATTACATAGAAGAGACACACCACATCATTTAAAAAACAAACGAATAACTATAGATGCTAATTTAATTGAACAACAGGTATGGTTTTAAAAAAATATATATGTATGTACATTAAATACATATTTCTAAAACAAATATTATTGTTATCATTGTTATCATTTCATACTAGCAGTCAATTATTCTTGAGTGTATTTGTTTTATTATTCTGTATATTGTTATAGGAAGCACAGTTGGCTAGTAATGAAAACGAAAATATGTCAAACTCCTTATCTGAAGATAAAAGCGCCATATTATTTCCCACTCCACCTGAGTCATTAATAGAGCAAACTGCACTAGGTAAATATTACATAGTTGTTGTGGCGTAGTTCATTTTAAACATCCATAATGAAATCAATTTTTTTGTCATCTGCTAAACAATTACCAAATTGCAAAAAAAAAGCTTATCCTAAACGAGTTAGAATATTAATATATAAGAAATATGGTTGGTTAACAAAGTCAAATATAAATTCTATACAAATTTTAGTATATTAAATAATATGTATTTTATACTAACTGTTATTTATTTATTTTTTTGTAGATGGTGAAATGATAGGAAAAGAAGAATTGTTAGAAGTTAGGATTGAAAGAACATCTGCTGGTTTAGGACTATCAATTGCTGGTGGTCAAAATTCCACTCCTTTTAAGGGAAATGATGAAGGCATTTTTGTTTCGCGTCTCACGCCTGATGGACCCGCTGAATTAGCCGGACTTCGAGTAATAACCTGTTCTTTTTGAAACTAAATTTAAAAAAAATTATGTTTTATTAATCAAATATTTATTAATAATTAAAGGTTGGAGATAAAGTTCTTACAGCTAATGGTCACTCATTAGTTGATGTTGATCATTATACATCTGTAGAGGTTTTGCGCTCTTGTGGATCAGTGCTGGTACTTCAAGTATTAAGAGAAATTAACCCACAACCTAAAGACTGGGCTATACACATTCCAGGAGAATCAGCATCATCTAGTTTAAGTAATAGTCGAGCACCTAGTGTTATTTCACAACACAATAATTATGAGCATACTAATGGCCATACTCTAGAAAGGGTAATTTTCTAATATTTATGGTTTATAGATTTTGAATATAAAACAGTTTATGTAGTAAATATTTTTTTTTTTTAAATCAAGAATCGAAAAACCCCAGAGCCTTTAAAAGAATTAGAATCGCCAAAAAAACAAATTGTGTATACTACATTAATTAGAGATCAAAATGGTCTAGGGTTTAGTATAGCTGGTGGAAAAGGATGTACTCCTTTTAAGGACAATACTGAGGTAAAATTAATTTCAAAGTTTTAAAAATTATAGTTATTATATAATTATATAACTTTATATGTTACCACACATATAAATAAATAATAACTATATGTATGAATATAAATTATGTTAATTAATAGTTATAAATAATATGTATTATTGTTTTTTCAGGCAATTTTCATTTCAAGGATTACAGAAGGTGGTGCTGCAGAAAAGGATGGAAAACTACAAGTTGGAGATCAAGTTGTATCAGTATGGAAATAATAAATATTTGTTTAAATTAAATAATATTATTATTTATGTGTTTAATTTTGATTAACCGTTTAATATTTGTTTTGATTTTTAAAGATAAACGGTATTGATGTGGCTGGTGCCCGTCATGATCAAGCTGTATCAATGTTAACTGGATTGGAACGCTTTGTACGTCTTGTATGTGAACGAATTGCAGATACGCGATATTCAGATTCAGACTCTTACAATTCTGTTTCACCCAGTATTGCATCCACTAAATCTCGTTCATACATGTCACCAAAAACTCCTCCTCCAGCACCACCGCAAACTCCCCCAAAGCCTGCACCAAGAAAATTAGTTTCTCAGTCATCATCTATAAGTTCAGATTCTGAAAGCGTACAAGTAAATTAATTTATCACAGATTAAGTTGAAGCTTAATTAAAAATTGACACACAAACTTCTTTGTTATGGGTTTTTTCGCACATGTTTTTAAATATAAATTAATAACTATTAACTAATAAAACATTTATTGGGGTACCTTGTTTCGCTATCATAATAGCCTAAGCCGTTGACAAATGAAGATTTTGAAGCTATGATTCCACAACGTTTTCAAAAGAATAATAGAAATCAAGTTGAAGAACAGCCAGTAGCTGTAGTAACTACACTGACTATCAAAAAGCCTAGCAATTTGAATGGAATCGAATTCAATGAAAACCCAACCTCTTTAGGTCGTGTCACTGAAACTATAACCAAAAGTACATTTACTGAAACTGTGGTGACTAGGGTGACAGATAACAATTTGGCTGAATCTGTTATTATAGAGGTAAGTAAATTAATAATTAATCATTTACCATTATTTTAAATATTATTTTTGGTGGTAGTGTTTTTAATTTACTTTCTATTACTCTTTAGTTTAATAAGGCATGAATAAATATGCATGCAATGTGGGTGAATTTGTATGTGTGGCTTAAATATATATTGTGTTCATATCATTAATAATTTCTTTAAATGATATCACAAAATTATAACTTTGCATGCAATTCTTTACTAAAATAGTAAAATATTGTTTTACAACAAATTCAAAACAAATATAATACTTTTTTTATATAATTCATACTATGCTTTTAATACTTGTATATATCGTTCCAGTATATTATAATATACCTATATTTTGTTTTGACACACAAACATGAGTTTATACAATATTGTATATTATTTTATCACTAAAACAGCATGACATACATTTATTATTTAACAATTTATAATCCAATTGAGGTGTGTAGGCCTAATAGCTTATTATTGCATTCTGTATATAATTTTCTACTTTTTGTTGTGTTAGTATATAGATTGTAAAGAACATCTGTACTATAATTTTAAACATCAATTCATCGAAACAAAATTCTATATTTTAAGAATGTATTTATTTGTCTTATATTCAATTTAAATTAACTTTTTGAAAATAACATATATTTCTTAGGTTTAAATTATGAGTAAGAACTGTCAAATTTATAACACTTATATTATTTAAATTTAAAATAAAATTGAGTTAAACTGAATATATTCATTATAATTGTTATGTGTTGGGCCCAGAAATTGATACATTGCCATGTTTTTTTTGTAATACTTATATATGAGGCTTGTCTTGATAGAAATTTGACTAATGTCAAGTAGAATTCAATTGTACAAATTTTATTTTGAATAATTATTTCGCCAATTCTAGGTTTATAGGTCATTTTTTTTTTAGCTATTTTAATGCAATTTTCTACTATTTATAAGTATATGTGCATTATTTTTGTTTATACATTTAAAGTTTGAACTATAGTTTTACACAAGCATGCTAAATTAATTTATTAAATTCAAATGTAAAAAAAGAAAAATGTAATATTAAAATCGGCGAAAATATTGAACAAATAGATACGATATGTTTAATCCATAGATAATAAAGAAAATAATATATACCAAATACCTGTTTATGTTTAGCACGGAGATGTGACCACCACGTTGGCCATCACTATTGATTCATATATCTTATTGCAAATTAGTAAAAATATGTATTTGGCTGTAAATTGTTTGTAATTTAATTTTCTCCAATTTTTACAATGTGCATTATGCATTTTTCATATTTTTTTAGGTTATCAAGTTCTGGGCCCTAGTTATGTGTTACCAAAAAAGTAATTTAATTTTTATTTAATTTAGTATTTAATAAATAGTATTCTAATACCTGTAAAAAAATTAAATAAACATCTATTGAACTTGTCTTTGTTTTTTTAATTTTTTTTTAGTAATTTAATTTGTGTAAGTTATGTAAAAGTATGTGTCAATATAAAGTTTACTCAAATTACTCAATTACTCAAATTTCTTGTATCAAAAAACAGATTCTCAATATTCTTTAAATAAAAACAATTATTAGATTAAAATTAATGACAAAATATTTATTGTTTATAATTATGTTTTTAATTGAGCCTTTAATTATAATACTGTTCAATTTTATTTTGTTTTGGATTTTGGATTTCTGACATTTTTTACTCTTTCATTGAACTTTGTTAAAATTGTAGCTTGAATTTAAATAATTCTAGACTGAATGTAGCTTGGAATATATTAAATTTACTTATATTTTATCTATACAATTTGTTTACCACAAATCTTACTCCAATTAAAAATTTGACCAGAAAGTTTTTAAGCATTTTAGATTTAATTAATGCATTTGGAAGGTAATTTTTTCATTATAATTGAGGGAAAACAGACAAATTTGCAGCAAAATGAGTTTCATAATTTTTTATTTTTATTTTTCTACTATTAATTTCAATTATAATATCTTTTCCGAAATAAAATTTTGTTTTGTTGGCACTTAGAGGATTCGTTTGTAATTTTCAATGTAGTAAATTTATAACGTACTGATTGGTCTAATGAAACAATAAGAATTCTGAAAACAGATTTAAATTTGTATTTTGTAATCAAATTTTCCACTTTTGATTTTAAATGCCTTTAATAATTTTTAAATACTATTTTTTTTTTTAGCATTTGAGGGTTATAATAACAAAAAAGTGGGAAAGTCAATTTTTAGTAGACTTGATGCTAAATTCAAATCTGTTTTCAGAATTCTTATCGAGTCACTAAATCAATCGATAGGTATGTTGAAAATAAAACCCGTCTAAATTCCTATGTTAGACATGCATACGACAAAGATAGATAATCATCGCTTTCAACCCTCTTAACTAAGAAGATATTCTCTACATGTGGTTTATAGTTTATTTTTACTTATACTTTGTTTAACAAAGTGTTAAAAATTGACAATGATATCGATTTCATTAACTATTTATAAATAAATTAGTAATCAATTTTTTAAAAAATTGTTTTAACTTCTACATAGAGAAAATCAAGATTCAATTCATTTATATATGTATTACATTCTAACAGATGAAATTTAAGTAATTTTTTATAATTTTATATGTTTATATCTGAATTATTTTTCATTCAATAGCTCTGAATTTTTTATAATTGTATAATATTGATATTAGTGATGTATTCCCCAACCATTTATTTTAATAGCAAATAAATTATTTTATTTATTAACATTAATTATGAATCAATTGATATTTGATGATATGTTTGTTTTCTTACCTGGTATTTAAAATACAATACTATTTTCTCCTTTACCTCATCCCAATTATTTATATTTGGCGACTCTCATGTTAAACTTCTACTTGACCCGATCTCTCACCTCTTTCCTCTAACGTTTATTTACATTACAATTCTTACTGCTTCAGATTTCTATATCCCCATGATATGCTGAAACCATTTCAGTTTATTTTTTCTTATTTTGTTGTTTAAAATACAATACAGTCTGAGATAAGATATTTTTTTTTTAACTATACGTTTTAAATGTATTTAATATATTTACCATTTTTAATGCATGGTTTTGTATAAAATTGTTCACTTTTGTGCTGCCAAAGTTTTGAAAAACACTGCTTAGCTAGCCTTTTACATTTATAAGACCTGTATATTTTTTACCATTTATTTTGATTTTAAACATGCTAGCACGGTAAAGGATGAACACAGGTAGGTATAATCACGTAGTGTATCTCAAAATGATGTATTTTTAAATTAAGATTATAAACAAATGTTTGTGTGTCAATTTAGAATAACCTTGCAATTGTTTAACTTAAACTTAATATTTAAAAATATATATATATTATATCATGTCTTCTGTATAATTAATTGATAAATTGAACATTTTTTTATTTATTTATTAGAATGTCACTTTAGTGAAAGAAGGCGGTTCATGGGGCTTCAGTATAATTGGAGGAACAGATCATCCATGCATACCTTTTGGACAACAACAACATGGCATTTTCATATCTCATGTAAATATATATAAGAGTATTTAAATATTAATAACTAGTGTTTAGAAATATGAACATTTTCCTATTATTTTCAGTGACATAGAATATTCTGAGTGAGAGATTAATTTATTTCATACTTCACTGATGTAATTTACAAACATTTTTGTTGTTATTTTTGCATATTTAGGCATCCAGTCACCGATCTTATCGGACAATTTTGCTCGTTTCAATGATTTGGTTATTTTAGATTCTGAGTGGAGCGAAAAAGTTTATTGTTTTACAAAGATGTTTATTTTTTTTTTCGGTGTAGGAAGGTACTTTAGGGAGATCATTTTTCGATTTTTTCATTAAATGTGAAAAACCGAAAAATGTAAAAAAGGTAGTAGTTAAAAATATTATGGTTTTCTTTTTTTCTGTGGACTACTTTTCTACCAGCAAATCCTATTTATTATGACAGGAATTTTACTAAAAGGAAATTTCACTGGGGAGATACTTAAAGAAGGTAATTTTTTTTCAATTTTCTCAAAAGTTCCCAGTAAATGTGAAAAAACGGGGAAAATCGGCACATTAAACAAATATTATTGAAGATAACATATAATTCTTATTTAATTATTTTACTATATTATAAATCAACACTATCGACTGAACTCACTCCGTTCAGAATAGTTTTTTACGTTAGCAATGGTTTATCTGATGTTTAAAAATATACATTAAATTACTTATAACAGTTGTTGCACCCAACCCTATTATCCTTGGATATCTTTTTAAATTTGGGTCAGTTTCATTGTACTGCAATAGTATCAAATTTAAATAAAAGAAAATATATTTTGATCTTAATAAGGCTTATTTAATTTTTAAAAAATTATTTTTATTTTTATTTTAATAATATTTAAAATAGATTGTTCATAATGGCATTGCTGAAAGTTCAGGGAAACTTCGTATGGGTGACCGTATACTAAAAGTTAATGAAGAAGATGTTACAAAAATGACACATCAAGATGCAGTGTTAACTCTTTTGAAGCCAACTGAGGAAATAACTCTAACAGTACAACATGATCCTCTACCAGAAAACTTTCAGGTAATTTTTAGATTCGGAGCGTAGTGAGTGATTTATTGGTTTTACTATGATGTGTTTTTTTTAATATCTGTGAACAAATTTTCTTCCAGAAAACTTGCTCCGAAGTATAGACTATAGAACCTTTTATGAAAGTTAATTTTCTCTTGTTAGTGCATTGGGGAGGTAATATTTTGATTTTCCAAAGAGTTTTTGAAATAATAAAAACCGAATGAAAATCGTAGGTAAATTGGCAAATATTTACAGTATGCCATGGCATCACCGGTTTTATGGTGTTATACTAATTTTTTCTACCAGAAAAAATACTCTAATCAAAAAATAACAAGAGTTTGATTGTGTTATTTCACACAGCCACTGATAGAAGAAGTAATTTTTGATATCTAAAGTATTTTTCATATTAATTGGGAAAACCAAAAAATACTGTTTTTTTTTGTTGAATTTTAATCTAGTTGGTGACCAAGAAAGTCGTTTTTTTGGTAGTCTGCAGTTTTTAAATGTTTGAGTAAACCGAAGAATAATTAAAAAGAACAAAAAATTTTACAAAATGCTTATATTATTTTTAATCTTGTTTTTCCATTGTTATTTAGATTAAAATATTTTGACAGAAAATTTTTACTTACTTTTCCTAGACGTGATCAAATTTTAATAACATTGAATTTTTTTATTATTATTTTTTAGCTTTTTATAGACATTTTAATTTTATGTGATTTTTATATAATTTTTATTTGGTAGGTGCTCTGTAGATAAATTGTTAGACTTGACAGAAATTATTGAAAATTTGATAGGTCATTCTTAGTGGTAAAAAAAAAATTAGTTAAACTTTTCAGACCTGATGTCCTGTAAGGACATTCTTTTTAAGTATTATTTATCATTTAAAATTGGTTTATATTATTAAATGTGCATATTGTGCATCCATAGATTATGTAGTTTACAAAAATCGTAAAATTAACACCGTAACTCTTATCACGTTTAAGTTTTACCATAAAACACTTTTGAAAATGTTAATATGATATTTTTGATTGTTTTTGACAATAAATATGTACTGAAAATATGGTTTTAATTATTTGATATTTTTTTTTCTCCATGATAACAAAATAATCAACAAGTACGAATCAAATTCTTCCCCAAAATGAATACTAATAATATTATTTTTACTTGGTAAACGTCTAATGCCCTTTCCTGGGGGATACTCATAACTTGGTAAAAAAACGTAGTAAAAAAAAATTAATTTCAAGCCTGAAAAGGTTAATGTAGTATTTTTTTTTTATATATATAAGAGTTTTAAAATCAAACTTTGATGAAAATCTTTTTATATGCATTCAAATTTTAAAGGAAATTATAGAAATTGCGGCATTTCAAATGTTTAACTAAATTTCAATGTATATAGGAATAGGAAAAATACTAAAAAGTATTAATAAGCCAGGTTTTCAACTAATATATGTATGTAATTTTAATATAAACTCATGATTTTTAATTTCGAATATGTGGTAGCGATAAAAAATGGTATCGACCCATACTATAAAAAAAACACTTTTAATAGTTTATTTAGGATTCAATGTGAGACTAAACATAAAATTCAAATCAGTGACAGACTTATGAAGCAAAGAGATATTTGATCTATAAATGTTATAATCATACTAGATAGGATTCCTACAATGAGTAAAACTCATATGATGACATTTCAAAATATTAAATGACAGTCCTAGTTTATTGGCCCATAATTAAAGACCGATTATTTTGTAATTTGTGACTATCATTGAAGCAAAATAAATAAATAATTTTATGGCATTAGCGAAAGCCTGTAAGTTGGTTTGACTAATGCATAATTTGCACTATTAATAAAAATAAAGAGCAACAATGAGAAAATATTGAGAAACACAGAAATAAAGCCATGTATTTTGTAAAACATTAACTATAACAAATACTTTTGGAATGTCAGTATATATCACTTGAGAGTAGGAAACAAAGACATTAAAATTGTAATTACAAAATACCAGTGTTGCATTAGACTGTAGAATGACTAGAGCGGAAACCCTGGTGCTCCTCCATTAGGATAGGATTTACAATTACTTGAACTTTTTCAAAAACAATAAATTCAAATATTTTATAAATATGTGAGAATGTAGAGTTTTTAGTTATTTCATTTATTTAATTTTAAAAAAATCTGCTAAATTAAAATTTAAAAAATATCCTGATATTTTCATTGATAATTAAAGACACAATATTAATATCAACATTTTTCATATTGTTTATATCATTGCAGAGCTCTATTAAATACATTTATTTATTTTAAAGCTCAATAAAAAGTTGTGCATTAAAAGATTTATAATTTTTTAACTAATAGGAGTTAACTATTGTTCGTGAACCAACTGAAAAACTCGGTATGCATATCAAGGGTGGTCTTCGTGGACATCGAGGAAATCCACTTGATAAAACTGATGAAGGTGTATTCATATCTAAAATTAACTCTGGTGGAGCAGCTAAAAGGGATGGACGATTAAAGGTTATTTTTCTATGAATAATTATAACTTCAGCTTGCTATTTTTTTTGCACACTTCTTCTTTTAACTCATCCAATTTTTTAAATGCCTTATTATTTCCATCTTCAGGTTGGTATGCGTCTATTAGAAGTAAATGATGTATCTTTATTGGGAGTCACCCATCAAGAAGCTGTAAATTGTTTACGGACTGCTGGTCAACAAATACACATGATAGTTTGTAAAGGATATGACAAGGCACAAGTAGAACGACTGATGGATGAAGGAAAACTGAGGCGAGATAGTAGATCTATTTCTCAAAGTGTCTCTAGTTTAGATAGAGATGATGAGGATTCAGAAGTATTTAAACAAGAAATGGAAATAAAAAAAGAGTTAGCTGAATGGGAAAATCAAGAAAAGTTGCTGAAAGAAGACTTGGAAAATTTAGAATTAGATGAAGTTAAAGAAAAGTCTACACAAGAAAAAGTACTATTATTAAATCATTGTTATAATTTATATTTGACCGTATTTATTATTTTAGGTTTTGGATGTAGTACGAGCAGCTGAAATGTTAACGCTCAATTCATCAGATTTAAATTCTGTAAAACCTAAATCACCCGGTGGCCCAAAATCAGGTGATATTCAAAAAACTACTACTATTGTAATGAGTAAACATACCTTAGCTCCTCAAGTGGATCAAGTAAGTGTTTTAATTTTTAAACTAAAAAAAATAGAAAGACACTTGATGCTGTCATGTGCTTTAGTAGTTTTCTTTGATATATTTTGTGGTGTGAAGATACCGCTTTTAAATTTGACTTTAATTGCGTAGCATGTGCTTATTTTGGCTGCTAAATATTTTTATATCAATATAGAATGTGACTATAACTGATTATGCATATAAGATTATAAATAATATATATTTTTATTTATTTACAAATTAATATATTATATGACTATCTGTTTTACTTTATTCTAATATTTCAAAAACATTAAATTAATATTGTTAATAATTTTTATATAAGCATATACTATGTTTATTGTATCTTTTTATTATTTATTTTTAAAAGCACTGCTGCTGTATACCAATTAATAATTATATTTTTAATTTTAATATATTTCATTTTTTATTAATTATTTGCTCTATGGTTGTTTGTGGTTTGTTGTTTTTCTTCATCAAAAACAATATGCCTTTTAATCTACAAAATGTAAAATACAATTAAAATTTTGAAATTTAAGGATGATACCATTATCAACTGGATAACTTCCTTACCCTAAGTGCATTCACTTAAGACAATGACTATACTTAAAATATTTTACAATTTAGGAATATTATTATAAATTATAAAGTGAAATAAATAACAAATATACTAATTTATTAATTTAAACTTGCTTGATATGAATTCATAATTAATGACAATATTAGAAATTACCAAAATCTCATTAACTTCTAGGTTTAATGATTAATTAAATTCTTAATTAATTGGTATATACTACCATTACAATGTATTTTCCATGTCTATGTAACTTATTTATTTATAAATTCATAAGATAATTACCAATATGACACTAACATTGATTATAATATATAAATCAATGATATCAAATATGTTTTAATGATTATATAGTTTATATAATTTTATAAAATTCAATTTAAGAGTAATAGTTTTAGTATATTATATTCAATTTTTTTTTTTATTTATTATAAATACATATTTGTATTACACAATTTATAAACATATGTTTAATACATTTTTAAATTATAAGCAACCAATTAAGTTTCTTAATAAGATAAATTTGTGAAAATGCTTATTTATTTTATTGTTTTGCATGATTTTTTGCATATGTTAATTTTTGAACGGTTTTTATCACAGTATTTCTACGTTTGACTCGATCTTAAAATAGGATTCTGAAAAAAAATTGTTTCTATAAAAGAATATTCAAATTTTTATTATCTGTATATTTAGAACTAAAAAGGTTTAAATTGTTTTTACCATTTGAAATATTGAAAATCACAAAACATATGTAATGTTTACAAATGCAATAGCAAAACAAATCTTGTGTGATAAATTTGATATTAATTATGCACCATAACTTCTTTGTACATATACATATGAATTTGTAAATAATTTTTTTACTCAAATTTACTGCAACAGTTTTTTGTTTAGTAAAAAATATTTTATAAAATACTACCCTGATTTTGAAGGTCGAACCAAACCTAACCCAACTTTTAAAATATTTTATTGAACTCTAACATTAAAAAAGTACAAAGGATAGATTAGGTTAGGTCAAAAATCTATGTTCTCAAACCACTCGACTCCGTAATTTATGATTATGAGATCCACTAAATAGAATTTTTCTTTTTTCGTAACTATGCCGCTCTGTCCCACAAAACATCATATAAGTGATCGCGCACAATCAGTATTGAATGATTTTCAAACTGAACTATTGGATATTTGGTTTGATTCGATTATTTGAAATTTTCAGTTTGATTTTCAAACAGTTTGTCACATTTCTATAAAATACTTATGCTCTTATAAAATGCAATGACAATAAAAAAAAAAATGTAAAGCATGCAAAAAGAACTCAGATTTGAGAATTTTTAATCTTTATATGCAATAAATTTATTTTGTCTGAAAAATCAATAATACATAATGGGTTTCTATTGAAATCTCTTGTTTAGCAATATGTTAATGATTTGTGCCCTATTCTTGATAGTGTGTCCAGCTTATATACTTTTACAGTATTCTATTTATAAATTCCTGAACTGTAATAATGTAATTTGGAACTTTTTATTAAAAAATGTAAAAATATCAAGTGTTTACTCAAATTATCTCTTTACTTTTATTTCCATAAAAATATTCAACATATTAAATCATCATTGCATTATTAAATCTGGTAGTAAGATCCATTATTATGGACTTAATTAAAAATTAAATGTATATTGTATTTAAAAATGCAATACTTTTTTCATATAATGAGAAAGTATTTGTTATACTCGATTAATTTAATTTATTATGTAAACAATTGACAAACAAATTATTTAGTAGATATGTAGATTTAAATGTAAATACATTTGTAAAAATGAACATACCTTTTTTTTTAAAGTACAACATAAAATTTATTGTATTTATGTATATCATGACATTTAAATAAGTAATTTGTTTTTATTTATTGTATTTAAGATCGAGAAAACTATCATTTGTTTAATAAAAAGCATTCAAAGATTTCTAAATATAAAATTTGCATTTGTTATTTTCAGTGCGTCATTAAATCTGCGACTGGATTATAACATCGCAAACAATTTACAGGGGCATTTTTTTTTTATTAATTATTAACATTATATGTCTAAGTTAGTTTAACTTTGTACAAATTACCAAATATTTTACTCTGTATTTTTTTTTTCTCATTCTTAATTTTTAAACATTTTGTGATCACATTTCATCAAGCATTACTGGCTTAAGAATTTGTCCTATAATATTATTAAGGTTTTAGTTATAAGATGTAAGTATGTATGGTATACTTAATAAACCAATACAAAGTGAGTAATTCCATTCACATAATTTATAATAATATTAATTTTATGATATTGAGCGGACCATTAAATTATATTACAATAATTTAGTTAATTTTAAATGTAATTATTTTCTTAACAGATTACATTTATATATTATTATACTTGTTAATCCTTTAATTGTTTTTATATTTATTATTATTGCTTAAATTATATCTTTCCTCCCTCAAAATATTTATCTATAAATATATCTGCCCATACATACCTATTTTAACATTGTATTTTAAATAAAATTCTCTTTTTTTCTTGTGTAATTTATAGCATATATTATCATACCTTTTAAAATAGTAATATATCAGCTATAAAATAAGCACATACTACTGGATCTTTTATGTTTATGATTACTACCTTGCATGTGTTATTTAAGATATAACTTCAGGTGGTGTAATTGTGATTCAATGAATTATTTATTTACACCACATTGAAAAATTAATGCAGCCAAAATACATTAACATTGCTATTATTTTTTGCATGAACATTAACAGGTAGTTATTCAGAAACAGCCTAACATATCCCCTTCAAAATCATCTATACATAAATCATTTCCATCTAAACCACCTTCATCTAAAAATTCTAAGCCTAAATCATCTCCTGAACGATATCCATCTCAATCGTCTTCACCTAAACGTTATTCACATAAACAGTCTCCACCTGAACCATTTCTTTCTAAACAGTATTCACTTGAACCATCTCCACCTAAAAAAAACTCTACAACTAAATCCTCAAAGCACATACATTTCCGAGATTTTCCTTATAAAAACCCCAACCTGTTTACTCCTCCACCTCTGCGAACAGTTGTTGTGGAACAACCAAAACTTACTCAAGTAGAAATGATGCCTTATGTTACCAAAGTGAATACGTTGCCAGCCGACCAGTTTTGTGTTCCAGACTTCACAGATGTTGAAAGTAGCTCGTCCCTGGAAACTACACAGTCCCTAGAACCACCTCCCGTAAATTATTCCACATACCCATCCATTCCTCACTGGTTGGAAATTTATAACGATACCCCGTCGCTTTTGACGTATTACAATGCAGTTAATGCCTTTGAGGTATGATCTTCTTTATACTGTGTAGACATTTTTTATTAGATTTTATATTTATAATAATAGCAATAACTTTAGCTTTTAGTAGAATATTTTATTAAAGTTGTAATTAGTGTAGTTTAATATAAGCATAATGTTTAGTTAATGTAAAATAGGTAGGATAATTTCTATAAAATCATTTTTAGCAAAATGTTGATCCAAAAGCCTCGGTTAGTGATAAAAAGAAGTTTTTTGAAAAAGCTATGGAAGAACATCATAATCCAAGCCCAAAACCTGGTCAGTAGTTTGCATTTCATTTATTAAATATTGACACTTAACTACATTATGTTATGGGTTATTATGTTATAGAAAGAGTATTTAGCTACCTAAGTCAAGATGAAGTGGAAAAAATGAAACTAGAAGAAGGTATTTAATAATTAATTTGTTTTCTTTCTTGGTTTCCAATCTAATTATACTTGCTATTATTCCACCCCTGACTTTATTTTTTCTATTTTCTTATCATAGTCTAGGCCAGGATGGTTCAACCCGCGGCCCTCGAATCCTTTTTTTTTTTTTGCCCCCGCCCCCTCCCCCAACAATTAAATTAATAATTTTTTTTATTAATTAAAAATTATAATCACAATAATATTATAACAAAATCGTAATATGATCGTATAAATTTTACATTTCATTGTTATACAGTGGGAATTCCAGGGAGTCGATCATATCGTGATAAGACGCGATGAACAGCGTGAATACTATTCACATTCGTGAATATTTTTCTAAACTAAATCTAATCAGTAATCATTAACCAGTCGAGCCCATGTGACTGTGTCCGTGTTATTACCATACAATGTTTTATTTTTACCATTTCTAAAAGAAAAAACGTAAATTTGACGATGAAAAAAGAGTATTTAATTACTAACACAGGGTGTTAAATTGATATTGAAAAATTGGCTTCTGAAAAACAATGCTAATCACATTAATTAATCAATTAATTCTAAATATAAGTAACTTAATCTGTAATGTAATAATATAATTTTTTTTTCTTCTGGTGGCCCTCAGTATTTTTATGAAAGTGTAAATTGGCCCGCCAACTACTAAAGGTTGGACCACACTGGTCTAGGCGTTTCAAATATGTATTTTCTCCTGTTCTCAACAACGATCCCTATTTACACCACACATGTCTTGCCTCGCCATATTCCTCTTGAGTTTCTTCTTGGTAAAATCTTCTCTAATATTTGGGCTCTGATTTAGGCTTCTTTAGTTTCTTATTTTCCTAGACTTATCCTTTCTTTCAACCAAAGTTAAAGTTTTTCATCAGTTTTCTGTAGTGTCTCTGATTCCAGTCTTTATATTACCCCTAATTTTATTAATGTTTGATATATTTGAGGCTTTTTGAATAGTATTTTTAATCGCGATATCTTCAATAAACCGAAATAATAATTACATTTATTAATTAACATTTAAATTTGCCTTGTTTGGCATTCTTTACTATAACCTACATGTATTCTTTTTCTTACTTATTATGATATTACTTTTGTCTTTTAGTCAATTTTCTTGTGACTAGTTTTTGGTACCAACGGCATGGTAAAAAAATCTCAGATCTATATAATGAAAAAAAGAACTAATAAATGTAAAATTACCTTAGGGACAGGTGAACTTGAATCAGGCGCCTGTCACCACATCACTGTAATAAATCCTTACATATCTGGTTCAATATTAAGATTTCTACTCGTTGCTGGTGGTTTTCTGAATCACACCTTTAATACCTACCTGATTATAACTTTTCTAGATACTAGATGTTTTCTTTAACATCATTCAATAAGTTCTTTAAAATTAAACTAACCTTAAATTGTGTTTATAAATTTTGCTGATATGTTCTAGAGCAGAAAATGGGTACATTAATGAGGCAGAGGTTAATTCAACATGATCAATTTATTGAAGAAGATGAAGATGATGATGATGATGATGAATATGATAGTGTTGATAGTGGTGCATTAATTTTCGAAAACACACAGTATGCCAATCTACTAATGTTTATCTTAAGAAAATTAATTAAAAGTAATATGTTATAATATAGTACAAAATAAATATTTCAGGAGCATTGAGACTTCGAAAAATGTCAATTCTAATATGTGTGTACGAACTGCTAAAGCTGAGAAGAGAATGAAAGAAAGACTGAGTCAAGAGGTAAAATTTTAATTTAGAAAAAAAAATTTGTTGTTTTTTTACATAGTACATATTTTATAAAAGGGAATCATATCAAATAAAAACGATAAAGAACTATCCCCTTCTGAACAACGTGCACTTAACGCTGAAAAGAAAGCTGCATGGCGGCAAGCTCGATTAAAATCTTTAGAACAGGTAATATTTGTATAGGCTTAGAGATATTTTTAAATAAAAATTGTTATTATTAGGATGCATTGCAAGCACAAATAGTAATAAAAGAATTAAGCGAGATAACCGAAAATAAATCAACACATGATGGTGATGCTGACGGTGAAGAATTATCAAACACACAATCCAAAGAATGCATTGAAAACAAAACAGTGGAGGTAATTTAATTTAAATTTAAAAAAAAAATTAATGATTTAACTTGTATCATTGCTTTGTAATTTTTTCTAACACTGAGCATCATAAACCATTGGGGGGAAAAGGAGGCTTAATCTATAATTTTATTGTTTTTTTTTTTTTTTTTTTTTTAAATATAACACTTATTTTTATGCAATAATTATTAACAGCTGTTTTATTTATTTTATTTTTTTTTTCAAAAGTTTAAACTTAAAGTACGATTAACTACTATTAGTTTTTTTTTAGTTTGTTAATTGATTGTATTAATTTATATTTTATTTTGTTAGAACACAAATAAACAATATTGTTACCACTCAGCATGTATTTATATAAGTTGATATAATATAATAAACTCATAAACAATAATATACATTATATTAATATAAAAACTAATTGGCCTTTGGTGGCGGCTAATTAGTGCTTGCGGCCGACCAGCGAAGACTTTCCCCGTCTACGCCTGCGCGAGTCCCCTGTCCAAACCAAGGTGTCGGAACGCGAGACAGTCGTCGGCGAGAGCGTGTCCCTACGGACAGAGCAGTATGTTGACCACGTGTCCGGTCAGCTGAAAGTCAGGACAGTCGAAATAATTGAAAAAGTCATTGAGAAAGAGGTACCTACTATCGTACAAACAAGTACCTCCTCTCTGAATTTCGCACCTACTTATTAATTGTTCTCCCAAACACAACGTATGATTTTTAAAAATTTACAATCGCATGCTGCATGAAATTATCATTTTAATACCAGTCAAATTTATATCAAATCTTTTCTCTCTGTTTCTACACAGTAAAGTATAATACAAATATTACCAAGTCAATACACATACATTTTTGCATGTAAGTAGTTATTTGTTCGAAAAGAATAATAATGATGAATATTAAAATATTTACCTGATAATAATAATAGTAGTATTAGTTCACTATATTATACATTTTGGTTAAATTGTAGACATTTTTTTCAACAATGTTGTACCTACCTACTAGTTAGTTAATTCTTGTGTTAGCATTGCTTAATTTTGTATATAATTAAGGTGGAGACAACAAAAGAGAAGATAGTATCACTCGAGTTGAGTACTCCCGAAACTGAAGTGCCAGATATACCAATTGAAGAACCTATAGCCGAAGAAGACGAAGCCTCTGAAAAAAAACCGTCTAATCAATCGGGAAATAAGAAGAGACGTCGGAAGCGTACAAAGTCCACAGATAAACAAACGTAGTGATAATCATTATACTATTGATAACTAAAACAATAGCAGCTCATCATCATCTTAATGATTATAATTATAATTATAAATATACTTGTATTGAAACACCATTTTTCATTCCTACATATTTTATAGTATTACTAGGAGTAACAAATTGTGATCATTATTATTATTATTTTATACATATATTCCATTCTAATATTACATCCTGATATATAAAAAACGTGCATTTCATTATGGACCAATTTATTATTATTATTATTATTATTATTATCTTAGCTCGTTAATTGTCAAGATTTTGAGTTTATTTTTACCATTGTTACTATTGTAACTGTTACTAATATTGTCTTAAAATCAATTTGTTTTTAATAAAAAAAAAAAATATACATATATTTTTGTACTTAATATTTGTGAATCAATAAATTAGACAGTAATCATAACTTTAGGAGAAACTTGATAAATTACTATTATTTATTAATAATATTTTAAATTATATTTTTTAATTGCATTACCCTTATTATTTTGTAATCAATATAAATTAAAAATAATGGAACAGTATCAATGGTTTATAATTTTTCTACTAATATCATTTATATATATACCTATAGATTATGGAAAATAAATCAACGCGAACCTTATTATATGCATATAATTTTTAATTCAAGAGTAATCTTTTATATGACAATGAATTCTGCTAAATGTAGGCAAATATAACTGGTCCTAATTTGCCCACATTAAGTGGAATCCACCGTATTTATATAAATAGAATTTATGAGTTAAATTTTTGGGAATGGAAAGTGTGTTAATAGGAATTTTTTTATATCAATTAAATCAAATACAAAATATAAAATATTCCAGCTTTACTTAAATCTGTAGACCATTTTAAGATCTAATAATAAAATCTAACTTTTAGTAATAATTAAATTTATCTTAAGTTATATGCTATTTGTTTATAAATCACGTTGATTAATTGGAATCCAAGTATGACGGCTTATTCGTCTTCTAATCTGAAACATTAAAATTTGAAAATATCAATTTATGAATTTCTTAGAAAAATATTAGTATTAAAATATAAAAACAAATAAGATATAAAATAATTGCAAAATTTTTAAGTAATAAATAACATAAATAAGATTTAACGGAAAGTTAAATTATTTAGTGTTATTATTTTATATAAGTAAGTAAAACCTATTTAAATTTGAATTTTTTAACGCAGTAATATGAAAAATACTTAAAATTCACTTATGACTCTATTTTGACACCTGTTTTCATTAATTTGTGCTGACCCTGCATCTATACTGAATTAATTGAGAGAATGGAATAAGTTTACTATAATCTATACAGTTTTTATATGACTTAAGTCTTAGGGATAATTATTATTACATTATGACTTACATATGAAGATGACAACAATATTCTCCGTACTTCTTTCAATAATTTCCATCGATAAAACCAAATTCCCAATAACAATATCAATAATATTACCCCTAAATTAAACAAACATAAGACATTTGTTATATGTAATGTAAGAAAAATATGGTTTAGAATATAAATGGTATTACATTCAAGAATTATTACTTTTTTTATTGTTTTTCTAAATATTAAATATTATCACATTTAAATCAGAACATAAGCTAAATAATAAATCCAGAATCCTTTTTACAATATTATAATTTAAGTTTGGTGTAATTTGGGTACAGTAATCGAAATAATTAATTAAATTTTTAAAAACAGGAATTAACAATTGAATTATCTTTATTTAACATACAAAAATTCATAAACCAATCTCGATTATTCTTTGAGACAATTGCGATAAATGATAATGTTGAGGATATTGATGATTTAAACGTGTGTCACATACAATTTCAATATTATTAGTTAGACAGGTAATAGTAAATAAATTTGAGGAGTTTGTGTTGCCGTAATTTTAGATTCTGAACATAGGGAGGGATCATTTTTATTGTTTTTTGTTGTAATTCAGTTATAAATATTTGTGAGACTTAAAATTTGACAAAAATAACTTATATTGGACCTTTGTAGACATAGTAAAATTTTCAAAATATTTTTGAGCTCTTTACACTAAGCTACGTAGTTTTTCTTTGATTGGTGCTATGTAGATAGAATTGTTTAACCAACCAAATATAATTACTTGAAAATTTAATACAAGGTTTTATAAGAGTTGTAATATTAAATTTGACGAAAATCATAAATATTACGATATAAGCAGTTATTTTTTTTTTGAAAGTACCTAATATAATTAGAGTAATTATTAGGTACCTTTAAAACTTAAAAAAGTAAAATATTTTTGTTTTAAAAAATATAAGTAAATATCAACAATAGTAAAATAAATATTACCTAAGAGATAAAATAGAATACCAGATGCTGATTTTTTCATATTCGGTATATTAGTTTGATTGTTAGATGATGGTTGTGCTAAATAATTTATAAAATTAATATAATATAATTTATTGATATTTATAAAACATACTATAGCTTTTTTGAAAAGTTGTTTTGTTATTATTAAATGCTTCAATTTGTTTTCTAATTGATACTACTGGTTCATACATCAAATTAAATTTACTGAATTCATGGTTTTCTGAATTAGAAAATGATTTGTTTTCAATATTTATATTTTTATAAGGTACTATATTTTTTTTCCTATTTGTTTCCTTTGAGCAATCAATATCTATACAACATACATCTTTAGAATATGTGTTAATTTCTTTTACTCCATCCTAAAAAAAAATTGTTTATTAAAATTGAATGGCATTGTAAAAAAAGCAATTATCCAGCAATATTGTAAAAAACATAGTCATGGATAATCTAATATTCTGAAGCTATTCAAGGTATTCTGGTGTTTTTCACAAAAATGTTAATGGTTACTTATTGCATAACATCATTAAATTTATAGTTCACCAAGAATTTTAATTTAAAATTATTAAATAAGTTAAATCAACTAACATCATTAGTTGAAAATTTAGCAATTTGCAAGTTTTCATTAGAATTTGAACACGCTATTTTAATATTCAAATTTATAACACCTGAAAAATACAAAATTCCAAAAACATATTTCAAATGGACAATATTTAATGATATTATAAGTTAATGAATTATAAAATAACATTAATTATCAATAAAATTTAAATTACTCATAGCATAATTAATTTCTTTAAACTGAGCAATTAATTGTTTTCGGTAAACATCAAATTCCAAATTCATACTTCTAAAACAATTTGTGTCATTTAAACAAACAAATGCATTGCAGAAATCTACATGATAAACGATATTGGTTGAACTATCAAAAAACTATACAAAAAATATATATTAACATATTATTATTTATTGTAGCTGATTCTAAAATCACAGAGCATAACACTCAATTAATCAAATTATTATAAATATTCTTCTAGATTCAGAAAAAATATATATGTAAAATTAATTGAAACAAATTACAACTTACTCGATTGGTATTCAAAATATTTTTCATATCTATAATACTATTTAAAACATCTTTAATATATGCCTTACATGTTGACATATTAAATTCAACTAATTTTCTGTGGCAAACAAGATTAGTTCTCCATAAAAATTGCAACTCACATTTGTCTTGAGACTTAGCTAAATATGTTGGATATCCCTATAGTTATAATAAATAAACAATTAATTAAATAAAAAACAAAAAATTATCATATAAATATTTTTTTTACTTTGGATTTAGAAAAGTCACATTCTAAACGAATTACAGATGAATACATTTTTGATACATTTTTTTTTTCTAAACAATAGTCACCACCTCTAAAAATTACCTCAACTGAATCACTCATTTCAGTGTTTGGTAAAGTAACCTGATAACCTATACTCTAAAAAATAATCCAAATAAATCAAAGTAAGCTAATAATGCATCAATAAATTATAAAAATATTTCATACTTCTTTCATAAATAATAATAAATCAATTTTATAACACGTTTTATTGGTTTATTTTGCTGCTGATTTTTATCGGTATGTTTATATTTAATAATACAAAGTTTCATCTTACTTACATAATTTTTCCCATTATGTTCCATCATTATTCCAACTCCATCTTCTCCTGGCTTACACATCGAAATATAATATTTGTCAGATTTATTTTGAAGTATGTAATTTCCTTTTAATGGGGTTAAATCATACCAACTTGCATTGCATTCCAACTACAATACAGTATCTTTGATTTATTTTATATTCTATTGTTTTATGTTCGAAAATTACATTATAATATATCTGTTTTTTTTTATAATTAATATATGTAAAACTTGCCTATACTTTAGGAGTAACTTTTTATTTCATCTCGTTCGCATAAATCCTAACTATTTGAGGTCAGCCACCCTCGTCCTAAACTTCCTCATGATTTAATTCTCCACACAGGCACGCAACAAGAACTACACAATTAGTATAGCCTAATTATAGTCAACAATTTTCTTGGTAGCAAACATTTACTTTCCCTCTCCCCACTATAATATGTATCAAATTTATGTTAAAATAAATACAATTTAAAAAAAATAATCCTAAAGAGTATTTGAACAGTATAATGGGGGAGCCTATAAATATTCTAAGTGGCTAGGTCACCGCTTAGTTATTTACCTGCCTCCATATAGTCCTCACATACTACGATTCTCATATTATTCTGAATAATACTCATTTCAGTATTCCTCTCCCCTTTCCTTTCTATCTATATTTATTTTTAATACAATTTGTACTGCTTCAGATTCTTCTTTCCTCATGGCATGCCCAAACCATCACAATCAATTATCTCTCATTAATCATTAGTCAACTATCGACTACGCCTAAATTATTATCTTTAATGTACTTAATTCTTATTTTATCTTCTCTCGTCACTCTACTCATCAATCTAAACATTATCATCTTTACTACACTCATTCTCTGTTATATTTTTCTGTCTTGGTTTCACTACAATCTTGTAGAACACACCTTTTGTTGTATTCCTCATCACATAAAATACCAAAGCTTCTCTCTACTTTATCCAGCCACACTTAATCCTAGATTTCAAATCCTCAAAAAAGACAGTTTTTTTGAATATAAAATTCTCAACCATGTCTATTATGTCACTGCTTACTAAAGTTTATTTATGACACCGTATCTTGTTCTACACTGACTGCAAACCTGAAAACCTCACTTGTTTTGTCTTACAACAGGTAAAGGAGTCGTAGGAATATTCTGATACCTTCAAGGAGAATGGCGTTATTAATTAAAAGGTAAATTCCTCAACCCTACAGAAAACTACTACATACTTACTGGAATCACCCACCTGGCCTTTTCACCAGTAGAAGCTCAGGGCTCAAAGTTAACTAAACCTATATCATCAAACAACCCCATGAGATAAGACAAATTAAGTTTTATACCTAAAATTTAACCTTAATATGTTTTTTAAAAATATCTAGTCCACGATTTAAGATCATAATTAAAAATAAATTGTGATTTAATCTTAAATTAAACATTTTTAATCAACTTGATAATTAATAAATAAATAAATTCAAAATACAAACTTTTTTACTACATATTTCTGGATCGATATTAAGGACTTTAATTATGCATGATGTCTTCTCAAGTTTAGGCATTTGTAACTCAAAACCACAAACAAAATAAAAAATAATTTTTTCTGTTTCATTTTCTTTTTCATTACAAGTATTGTTACTTTCATGAATAAAGTAATAAAAATAAGAACTTTGTATGAGAGTGTAATTTATTTTATTTTCATTGACAGTCAAAATTATAGTGCGTCCAGAATTAATAAAACCATTTGAATTACTTTCAACTTAAACAATACAATATAATTATTAATAAAATAAAATAACTATATAAATTGTTTAACAAGTTTTACCTAAATTGCAATTGGTATCATTTTTTAGACAAAGATATGTGCTATAATTTAAACCATTAATTAAAATAGGTGTTGACATTTTTCTATAAATGGCTATTTGATTGTTAATGATTTTGTGTACATTAGTAGGGCATGCTAATGGTGTATACCAACTAAATATAAACTTATGATCTTTTAACTCCATGAATAATGGTCCCTATGTAAAAATATAAATAATACAATTTAAATCTAAAGCATAACTTTATCTGAACATTACATTTGTATAGATCTAATTTATACTAATTTGATATGAGCAATATATTTTAAATATATGAATTTGTATTTAAAATGTGGTATAGCAAATTAAAAAAATTAAAATCAAACAAATGTTGAAATGATATAAAGTTAAAAACCTACTTACGCTAGTTTGATTTGAACAAGTAAATTCAATAATTGATTGAACAATATAACCATTATACAAACCATTTTTCATTTCTATTATAATTTTATCTCCTACCTTTTGTGCATCGTTTACATCACCTAGACTTGCATACCTAAATGTATTTATTATTACATATAATTATTGTGTACATATTTAAGAATATCTAGGTTATAATAAATTGATGAAGACATTCATACTTTAACAATTTTTTGGATTATTACTATAAAAAAATAATATTATTCTTACCCATCAGAAATGAATGAATAATTACTATCAACTAAACAAATTCCACTAACAAATTGACAATTAATACCATCAATGTTATTGTTAATAACAGAATGGCAAACATTTAAAACTATTTTTTTCTTTGGACCAATTGCAATTTCATAATTGCTGTCCAGTTTAGTCAATTGACTTAAGTCATATATATTTCCAGATCCATCATCTACAGTACAATTTGTTTTAGTTGGCGGTGTACATGCATATTTTGTATAAATTATGAACTCAAAAATACACTCATGTAAGTCCTGGTAAATAAACCATAACACTGATTAATAAAAAAAAAACCAAATAAAACATTTCATTTTTTTTTTCCGTCTAAGTAGTTAAGTAACTACTCATTTTTGACTAGAATAATAGATGAATAAATACAAAAATATCTTTGCAGCCAAGGAGTTACAGGCAACTGGGGAAATGAGACCAATTAAATTCCTGAAGAATGTGGAAGAAACCATATTAAGATGGTCAAGAAATAGTTGAGATAGGTGTACATAGAAACCAGGGAGGCGGTAGGCCAAAGATAAAGAGAATAGAAATTATATGATCAAACAAAACGAAATATATTACCACTTGTTGGAGATCCTGAAATGGGTCTCATACTCTCATGGCAATTGAAAAATATTTGAAGAAACCCAAAATCGTGTCTCGTGTCAAAATTGGCAAGTTTACAGAAAAACTGAGTGCCAATCAAGTTGTTAAACAATACTATTTATAAATGACTTATATCTAGATAAGTTTGTTTTTTAAACCATCAGAATAGGTAATTACCTTGTTTAAATTAATATGTTTAGAATCTGAATAATCACACACAAATTGGATGGTGGTTAAACTATTAGGCTTGACATTACCACATGGTTCACCTTGCATGTGCATATAAATTTTACCATTATCAAATACTACTTCTTCAGTAAATATTGCTATGTTAATTTCGACTCCATTTATAAACCAACAAACTGCAGAATCCACATTACCATTACAAGGTGTTCGCAATGGCCTACAGATACTTATATAAAACTGTGTATTATTTTCATAATCATTGATTTCATAATCAAAACTCTGATTTTTTAAGCTATTTAAATTGTACAATGTTCCAGTTAACTTCGGATGTGTAACACTACAGTGATTTTTTTTTTCAAACTAACAAAACATTATAAAAATAGTTATTATTTTTTATCTTTTTAATTAATGTTAAATTTATAACTACCAATATTTTACAAGCTGTATGGGTTTTCCATTGAAATACATGTACACAATAATTTGAATTTGTTGAATCGTAAATTAAAAGTGACTCATCAGAACAAGTAAAATTAATTATTGTCGACCACTTTACAGAATCCACACAATTTGCTCCATCTGCAAATATTAAATGTTTAAATTGATAAGTACATATATCACAAATTGTTAACAAATCTATGTACCTGTATAATTTAGTAACAACGAATTTCCTGTGTAATATGGTCCAATTTGAGTAGAACCAATAGAAATTCCTTTACCTGTAGGATCCACATAACATGCTGAAGTTTTACCTACCTCAAGAAAATCCACAATAATAAATTATAAGCATACATTATAAAAATAAAGCCATATCATTTTATAAAGTAACCTGTACAGGAAGTTGGAATTTTTTCATTATATTGATTTAAATAGCTGCAAACATTAAGATAAAAAAGTCCACCGGATTTTTCATTGGGCACTATGATGTTTCCCACACGCTTATGCAAAGGATTTAAATTAAAGCGTTCATTTAAATAAATTAACTATGAAAAAAAAATCATAATAGTATGCAATTATTTATTATTTTAAAATTTAAAATACTCAAAAAATTAAATTAAACAATGTTTCATTATGTTCAATGTAATAAATACAATTCCATAAATAAGGTAATTTATAAACTAATTAGGTAGTAATTTAAGATAAATTTAAAATAAATTAAACAAATATATGGTATATAAATATTTCTTATTTAATACTATAATTTAGCAGAATAAATCAATAATATTAATAATTATAGTAAGTAGGTAATACCAAATTATAATAAAAATAAAAACAATATAATACATTTTAAAATTAAATGCCTCCTTAATAAACTTCTTAATATACACAATAGTTTAGTATGAGCAAATATAATTCAGAAAGCTTACCTCACATAATTCTTTTCTTGGTATACAAACTATTGATGTAGCTACTTCAAAATAAGCAATATTATTAGAATTGTTTTTGAAATTCTCTTCACTGATAAATTCTGGTTTTGTCTTTTCAGGTGATATAGTTTCATTACATTTAAAAATAATCTCAATTTTTCTACCTTTTAAAAAATTATATGTTCCAATTTAAAATATAATTGTAATTATTTCTATTTATACTTACCTTTTTTATGGTGTTTTACAGCTTTTTCATATTGTATTAATTTAAAATGTTTACTTTTATCATCAAAAATTAGTTTATCATTTATACTATACCCAACAGCAAATACTTTAGGATCATTTAAATTAGTTATATCACATATTGTGGTAGTATTACCCTTACATTTACTACTATAAGTTAAACGGCCACAAATATTGACTTCAAAATGACGGTTTTTATTTTCAACGTAATAGTTAGTGGTTAAACGTCGTAATCTATTGAAGTTAACCCTTAAAATATATTAAATTAATTCAGATATGTGATAATACAAACAAATGATTGCTAAATACATTTAAATTATTCAATTTTTCAGAGTATAAAAAACAAAATTATACATGAATTAGATCTCTATGTACCTATTATGAAGCTATATGTACCTATGAAGCTCAGATTTCAATGCAAAATATAATTTTTTGGAAGTGACTAAGTCAATGCTTTCCAAATAACATAATTAATATTTTTAATACATAATTTCAAACAAAAAATACTTCAAAAGTAATATTTATAATGGCTATATTGTCATATGCAGTCCAAAAGCAAATTAGAAACTACAGTTTGTGGTTGACGGTAGCATGTAGGCAAGGATATTGATAATCTTTGATGAGTCAATAAATTATAAATACTATCATAATCGCATAGTAGAACGTACCTATACAATAAGTGTCTCATAATTGTTGGTAAATCGCATTGTGTGGTAAACTGCATATGACAGGATAGCACTTTTATATTTATATTTTGCACTGTATTTTCATTTTTGGTTCATTTTTAATGGTATTATTTCACTGAAAATGTTTTGGTTTTTTTTTACAGTATTTTAAGAATATTTTTTAGGTCATAAATCTATGCATGTATTTTTTTTTTATGCTGCTAATATAATAATATAATTTTATAAAGGAATTCAATTTTATCGAACTTAATTTAAATAGGTATTGTACATTTATTTATTTCTTTATACTTTAAACAAATTACAAAAATATATTTACCTATAAAAGCTATGAGGTATTAACTGTTTAACATTGCAAACTTTTTGTATATCTATGTCATCTACTGGACAACTAGTTATAGATATTAGTTCTAGAATATATTTACAACTATTTAAATCTGATTTAATAGTAATATTATTTTGAGTTACCTGAAAATAAATTATAACATAATACAAGTATGTATACCTAAGCTTCATAGCTTCAACAGCCTTCAAACCGAATAATACCAAACTAATTATTACTTATTATATATCAAATATAAATGAGATATACTTTGTATTCAGGAGACACACAGGGACATATCCACCCTAAGATTCAGGGCATGAACTTAGCGATATAAGTACCATATAAGAAATATTGAGGACTATTTTCTCCAAGCCAGACCTAACTATTAAGTTCGGTTGAATCTAACAAACATAGAAATCCATTACGAGTATTTACACTTTACCTTACCAAACTGTAAAATTACATCAGTATACAAACCTCTAATAAAACCATTTTACCACAAACAAAATACCCAACATTATAGAGGGCGACTAAAAAATTCACAGTACAAACTGAGGATACAATTAACTAGTAAATGAAGATAGAATAAAAGTAGAACAATGTGTTGAATCAAATGACCTAATGCTTATTCATGACCTAAAACCGTAGCGTCACACCTAGAAGTCAATGCATAAACACATATGTAACCCCATCCCAAATAACCAACATTGACCCTTTGTAAATACCAAAAAAATGGATAAAGACAAATTTAATAGCCTTACTCAAACCAAGAAAACCACCGAACAACCATAAAAATTTTAGACCCATTTCCCTACTTTGTAAATGATTTAAACTACATGAAAGAATGACTTTAAATATATCTTCAGAAATATTAAATAGGCTCGAAACACCTTTCAAGCTTCTGACCAGAGAAGTCTTGTACTAGTCAATTTTTTAATTCCAATTTCAAATAAATCAAAAATAATTGAGAAATAAAATTGACTTAAAAAAACTTATTATTGATGTTACGAATAAAATATTAAAAAAACAGAGTTCTATGTGGGCTGTAGAATATTTCCCTCTATTAATAATCAAAAAAAAAATTTAATTTAATTGATTCTACTGAACAGTATCTCTATTTCCGTAAAGTGTATTTTTGTAGGCAAAACAACATCAGTACCAGGCACCTTAAGTATAAAAGTTTTTTATAAATTCCCATAAAGATAACTACCGGAGTTCCTCAAGGTGATCACCGTTCTCCACTTTTTAACTTATTTATTAATGATGTAGTGTTTTCCATCAATTTTTTGAGGGAATATATCAATGGACTAGCAGAATGTAAATATGTAGAGGAAAAGATAATGGAATACATGATTGATATGTGTCATATTTATCATCAAAGTAACGAACTCAGTAAATTAAAATTTCAGTTAGTAATATATTGATTAAATATGGAAACTTACTTTTCTGTCACAAACAAATGTTATATCTGTAGTAAATTTTATATTATTTGTGCATAAAGTATTTCCTTCCAAAGACATAAAGAGTTGATTTTTGACATCTAATTTCACTTCTAAAAAAAACGAAAATTTAATTAAAATTTGGTATACCATAATAAAGAAACAAAAGTTAAAATAAATGCAGTTCATATTACGTTATATACTTAAGTGAAATCATTTAAAACAATTGTATTCATGACACTGACATGTTATAACAGTCGAATAAACTGTTATAAAATAATTACTTTAGTTAACAATCATTGAGTTTGATCGATAACTCTCAAATTATTCATCATAAAACAAAGTTTTTACATAAATATCATTAATAATAAAATAAATTAAAAAAATAGGTAATTTTTTAGTAAACAATTTCAATAAAAAACATTTATTTATAGCATATTTTAGTGCATATTTGGTTGTTCTGGTATTGGTTTTAGTATGACAAATATCACATATTTTTCTATGAACAACTTTTATACCAGAAATCTGGCTTCGATTTTTAAGTGTAGTAGGTAGCTTTTTCTCAAAAGAAACTTTATTGAAGTGATATCTTATATTTATCATTTTTTAATTTTCCCAAAATTTTTCATAATAATTAAGGAAAACTATCAAAAAATATAGGAAAAATAGGTATGTAGTATAACATATATTGACGTCATACTTTGTGGTCAAAAACAAAACACTGAAGTATAATGTAGAATTTTTTTCAAATTATAATATTAAATTTTAATCATAATCATAAATATTATTATGGCCTTTCAAAATATAATTTGAGTTAGAAGTGTCTAAGTCTATATATAACAAATTTCAAAGTTGTTAACACTTACCATTAATTTTGGATCCAATATCTATTTCATGTTTGTTGTTTTTAATTAAACAAATTTTGGACCTAAATCCATTACAAGATATACCTTTAAATTTAATTGTAATGTTATTTACATTATCAGAAGAATAAACTGATTGCAGTTCATCATAACTGAAAAAACAATTTTAATATTTAGATGTAAGCATAATCGTTGATTTATAGTCAATGGTATAATATAGTATAAATTACCTAGTAATATCAAACTGGATAACTTTTCCTTTTTGTTTCAGATTGAAAATAAAATCTTCACAGTTGATTGTGACTATAGCAGAGACCATCAAAATGAATAATTTTAAAAGCTTCATTCTAAAAAAAAAATAATAATAATAATATTCTATGATTGTGACAATTGTTGGTTAACAATGTGCACTTAGAAACTCATTCTTACATTGAAAACAAAAAAATTTAAATACATTTTCTGTAAATACTAAATAAATATGAGTGTGTAAATAATTTACCGTTGTGAATATGTACGTCTCAATTATAAAATTAATATTAAACTAATACGTTTTTCTTTATCGACATTTGTGTAAAACTACTGTTAAAATGAAGTGTAACACAAGTAATATTGTACAATTTTTTAATTTGTACAAACAGTACCATCAATTCCTTTTTGATAGCATAAGCTAAAATAATGATACCCACACATATCATTTCCGTCGACATTTTGTAAACAATGAAACCATAAGCTAGTTCACATGACAGGCGTTATCGCACGTTAGTCAAACGCGTGTTTACAATTACTATACAATTGCTGTACACATTATATTCGTTCTTTTTGTCTATTATGCTGTCTTCTTCGATATAGCATCCATAAACAAATTGCATCTGTAACGTCCATCTTCGACAGAAAGCAACACTCGAATGATTAGGGTATAAACGTGCACTTAACGCGTAAAATCGGCAACCATGTGGTACAGTGGTATCCATGTCAACGCGCGTCTAACGCCTGCCATGTGAACTAGCTCTAAACGCCAGCGAGTAGCAAGTAAAGTAGCTCAGCTTTCAACTTTACTCGCAAATATTTTACAATCTGATAGTTGGCTAGTGAATATGATTACACTGGGCGATTTAACTAGCAGATAATGAATTTGCCAAATAGCAGCTTGTAAACTCGCTCAATGCATACAAACTTAGGGTATTACTTACACGTTTTTCGCTTTCACGTTTTTGTACATATAATTATTCAAATATGAAAAAAACGAGAACGGTAACAGAATGCAATCCAATAAAAATGGTGGTCTACAGTATATTACGACGTCAATTAACAAATCGGTACCAACTGTTCCACATATAGGTAACATTACCGAATACCCTAGCCATAAAATTTATTGCCCACTCAGCGAAAAAAAAAATCCTGACTACAGCATTGCTGAGATCCATTATATATGAACGATGCGCGGGTAAAAGAGAGTAAGTAAATCAAAAATCACAACACTATACGTTTCAAAAATAAACATATTGCTTTTGAAACGTAATACCTATAGTTTTCTGGAAACAAAATAAACTTTCCATTTGTTTAATACATTTTTTTTTTTTAATTATTTTCAATCGATTCTACTCCCCTAAATAAACCTCAAAAACCCTCCCTAACCCGAGGTCTAATGGACTGGGAAACTTTTAAATTTTCCCTAGAGAACAAAATAAACCTTAAAGTAAGTTTAAAATCTCCCAATGATATTGATGAAGCAGTTAATTTCCTAACAAAGTCCATACAGGAAACGACATGGTCTTGCTCATCCCCTATCCCCCCTAACACCAATACCATAAACATTCCCCTTCATATCAGATTATTAATATCGGAAAAACGAAGAGCAAGAACCATTTGGCAGAGAACAAGATATCCCTCGAACAAACGTAAATTCAATAATCTCACCAATAAGCTTAAAAGATCCCTCGCCCAGATTAGGTCAGAAAACTTCACAAAACATCTTGTAAACCTATCTTCCAGTGATAACTCGCTCTGGCAAACTACCAGGAAAATCCTCCGTAGTCAGCCCTCAGTTCCTCCCTTAAAAAGATCTGACAATACTTGGGCCATAAATGACTCAGATAAATCAGATATATTTCGTCACCACCTGGACTCTACATTCAGACCACATGCTGATATTCTCTCTTCTAACCAAATCAGAAAAGTAAACAACTTTTTATCCTGCCCGCTACCAATGAGTCTCCCTCCTAAACATATACGACCAAATGAAATAATATATACAATAAAAAAATCGGCACGGCATAAAACCCCTGGATTTGATCTTATTACATCCGAACTAGCCTCCCAACTACCCAAAAAAGCTATACTCTTTTTAACTCGTATCTACAATTCAATGATACGACTAACATATTTCCCTGCCCTATGGAAATTCTCAATAATAGTAATGATACCAAAACCAGGAAAACCACCAGACACCCCTAGCTCTTACAGACCTATCAGTCTACTCCCTTTCTTCTCAAAAATATTTGAAAAACTTATTTTAAAACGTCTTATACCAATCGTTGAATCAAATACTCCGAACTACCAATTTGGCTTTCGCACAAATCACAGCACCATTCAACAAGTCCACCGATTAGTCGACAAAATATCATACTCACTGGAACAAAAACTAATATGCTCAGGTGCATTTTTAGATATGGCCCAGGCTTTTGACAAAGTATGGCACCAAGGCCTACTCTTCAAACTAAAAACTATTTTCCCGCCATACTACTACCTCCTATTCAAATCATACCTCGAGCATAGACATTTCGCTGTACGTTCAGGGTCCGCCATATCTGAAATAAACCCCATCCACGCTGGAGACTCCCAGGGTGCTGTAGCAGCCCCACTCTTGTTTAACTTATACACATCAAATCAACCCACAACCAATCACACAATCACAAGCGACTTTGCAGACGATAAAGCTATCCTAGCCCTTCACTCAGAACCCGAAACAGCATCAAACTTAATCCAATCACATCTAAACCTATTACAAACATGGTACAAGGAATGTGATATTAAGATAAATGAATCAAAATCTGCTCACTGCACTTTCACATTTAGACATTCAAACTGCCCGACCATAACTCTCAATAATATACCCATCCCTCCCACACAAAATATTCGCTATCTAGGCCTCCATCTTGACCGTCGACTAACCTGGGCATATTATATCCATACTAAGCGAATTACTCTCAACAACCGATCACGACAGCTGCGACTCTTACTAACTTCTAAACACGTTAATCTAAACAATAAAATACTCATTTACAAACTTCTTTTGAAACCTATATGGTCGTATGGTGTACAACTTTAGGGTTTAGCCAAAATCTCAAATCTAAATAAAATTCAAACGTTCCAATCTAAATGCCCCCGTCAAATAACCAAAGCTCCCTATTATATTTCAAATGAAACACTTCATAATGATCTCTCAATTCCAACAGTAAAATAAGTAACTAAAATTTCCTATAAACGCTTTCACTCAAATCTATCCAACCACCGCAACCCTCTTGTCTCAAATTTAAATACTCATATTATCCCTGGTGATCCAAGAAGACGCTTAAAACGCTAATGGTGCCGGGACCTTCTAAATGACTAAAAGCCAACCTCTGCCATGAAGCTCCANCTTATCTCACTTATACTTATTGTAAAAATATATATATTTACAGATTGTATAAATAAATATATGATTCAAAAAAAAAAAAAATTTATTCTTTAAGTGTCAAATTATGAGTTAACTTACTATCGTATAACATGATATTTTAAAAATTAGGATCTATGTAGGTATTTAAGAGACTTGTTATTATCTCTTAAATATTGTGATATTGATTTATAGGTACATCTATTTGCATAAATTATTCCGTATAACTATACACATTTCATAATTAAATTATAATATTATTATCTTCTTACCTTTTAAGGATAATTCTTTTATTAAATATGGTAGGATTTGAGATATCTCTTTCTTACATAAGTTAGTAAATAATAAAATAGACTGTCCTCAAATATTAAAAAAAAAAAAATCAACTTTAAAACCAATAAAAATGTGGAAAAAATAAAGGCACTTTTAAATATAGTTTTGAATTATTATCATAACTGTATTATGCATTCCCCAGTTAATAGTTTAATGTCCTACAGAAATGATGTTCATATCGATGTACTGAATTGTAAATTAAATAATATAAATAATATTAATTATTGTTCATTATAATTTGCTTTGAATATTTTCTATTATATTGTATTCCATATATTATCACATTATACTATTGTAAATATAATTATGTTGTAAATGGAGTTTTATATTTACTCTGTGTGTAAAATAAATTTATTAATATTACTATTGTCTATAAAGTACTTTAAGGAGATTATTTTTCAAGCGGTATTCGTATATGATGAAAACCTGAATAAAACAGGAAATTTACAAAAATAATTCCTACTTTTATTTAATACCTACTACTATTTTCAATTTTGTTATTTATTGCTATTCAGTTAAAAATATTCGTAGAAACTTTAAATTTGAACAGAAAACTTATATTTACTTTTTCTAGACGTGGTAAAATGTTCAAATAATTTTAGCCATTTTTGAACTATTTATAAACAATTCAAATTTGAGAGTTTTGTACGTAATTTTTATACAGAAGGTACTTAGTGGAAAAATTGTTAGTCTAAACAGAAATGCTTGAAAATTTAACAGGTTCATTAAAAGTCATAATTTGTAAATAAATATGTAAGTAAAAAATGTATACATAAAAATAAAAAAAATAAATGAATCAATGCGTTTATTATGAGTATTAACCATTTTAATAATTTTGTTTTTACTTCATTATTTTATTATTCATAATGTGTGTAAAAAAAAAAATGAACTTAATGTAGTAACTTTATTTTATAAAAAAATTTTAATATCAAATTATTACGAAAATCGTTTGAGTAAAAAATTGTATGGAATTGCATTTTTGATTTAATTTCTTACGATACCATCGCCAAAACTTTTGAGCTTTTAAGGAATTTTAATTTTTTGGAATTTTTTACTGAATTCGGTTATAAATACACATAAAGACTTGAAACTTGGTAATACTACTTATATTAAACTTACCTAGAAGAGGTAAAATTTCCAAAATCATCGGACGTCCTTTTTTTTTTTTAATAAGAGTTGGAATCAAATTTTAATGAAAATCGCAAAAAAAAATTACGGCACTTCAAATTATGTATTATCGAATTGCGCTCGGAATCGTCTTTCATCAAGCAATGGTTTATCGTTGCTTACAGATATAAATGAAATAACGTATTTTACGTTCCCAAGTTCTCACATACAACAGTGACCGCTCCCATCCCCAGTATCAGGGCTCTTTGTTTTTTTTATAATTTTTAACTTTTATTTTGAATAAATAAATACATAAAATAATACCAATTTACTACTCTCTACTTTTTACATTAGTTAAGTAAAAACTACTTTGTTAAGTACTAAAATACCGCTGAAAAAAAAATGATGTAGATGCGTATAATAATAATATTATATCTATTATAATCAGTGCTCGAACTGGGAAAATTAAAGTAGAGGAAATACCCTTAATAAAAGAGCTTCTTCCCCTGCGATCCCTCCTCAAAATCAAATAATGGTTATAATATTACAATGAATAATAATTAATTTTAGTACTTACTTAATTTTCACAGGTGATGACCGTATGACAGTTTAAAAGAAAATGAATATTATTTATGATTCAGTTTCAGTTTTATTCGTGTGTTATCGCAAACATTGGGTAAACCCACGATTACCAAATAATTCGAGATTATTCTTTATTAATTATGAGACAATATTATCATTCATTTGGCTTATTCTCTAGCTTATAAATACATATATATTAAATAATAAATTAAATAAAATCTAACAATTATCATGTTATAATAAACAATTAAGGTCTATTTACACACATCCGTTCCGTGTCCGTTCAGTATCAGTGCCGTCCGTTCCGTGTCCGACGTTTAAAGTTTGTTTACTTATTACGAAATGGGCATGTTTTTACATGTCCGTTCCGTATCCGCACGGTCCGTTTCCGTATTTTAAAATTTGTCGGAGACAATGCTTTTGGGGATTTCACTGATACGGATATGGAAAATACGGAGTAATGTATACAGCCGTCAGTGACAACTGACAACTCGATCGGTTTGTTCTTACCTACTCGCGAGACGTATTTGTAAAATTTAAAAAAAGTTTTAAGTTTAAAAAGTTTTTTAAGCAACACCCAAAAGCCAAAACAACAGTGAAAAATGGAATGTAAAAAACGTGCGTGTGCTCAGTAGTTAGATTCTAACTGCACTGAACGGGCACGGGCAACGGATACTGATCGGATACGGAACGGTTATGTGTAAATACTCTTGCACTGATACTGAACGGACGTTACGGAAACGGAACGGTTATGTGTAAATAGACCTTAAAAGCTTTCATTGGTCTGATGTTGGGACCGAGAACCTATAGGATCTCTGATTTTACCGTATGAAGCACTGAAGATCTGTGGCTCCGCGGTCAGTTTCCGCCGGGCATCGGTTGTCTTATGTATCGCGTGTTCGTTTAGAATTTTTTTTTTTTTTACGGCCATTACGAATATTAAAGTGTGGTGTTATTCGTCAAGAAAATCAGCGGTGTATGGTGTAAAAATATGCAAATTCCAACAAATAAGTGTTTGTGGACTGTGATTGGTATGTAAATGAAAATTGTACTTTTTAACCTATGTAGGTAGATACTCTATTAATAGTAGCTGATTTGTTAAGAATTCCCGAATTTTAAAAACCTCGTGTGTATTCGCACCGGACGAAAGTACAGATTTGTAAGTTTTACTGCGTAGTAAAATCCCGGGTACTTACCGAAACATAAATAGACCAAACCTCTTTTTTTTTATTCAAAAAACTAAACATTTTTTTTGTAAATGTTAGTATTTTTATTCGCAAGATTTTCGTGAAATTATCATTTACCTAACTTTCTATGTTATTAATAAACCATGTAATCCTTAATTATTATAAAGTTATCATTCGGTGTACAATAACATAAAGATGTAACCACCACTCTCCTTCATCGGTGTTTTTAAATTTTGTTACTTTAATATGTATTTAACCCCTTTTAGATGCTCATACATTTATTTATCAATATATCACTGCTAATACTCTAATCTATTTATGGAATTTTTAATACAAGTTTCCATTTGAAAATCAAAAATAGGTAGTCGTTTCATCTTCAAAAATAATGATAATGTAACATTTTAGAATATACTTTACGAGATAATATGTGTATCCAATCAAATGGATCACTCGGTATAACTGGACTCCGGTTCTTTTTTATAGGCATTTTATATGTAGGTAAGTACATAAAATAAATTTGAATTTCTAATCGAATAACTATGCGTACAAATACTGATCTTACTTAATAAATTTAGGCATTCAATATTGTTATTAAGAAGATTATAAATTAATAAAATATCAGATAGTTTATGTTCAATCACACATGGCTAAATATAAATTGAGTTTGCCACCAATGAAAATGAGTCTCTCTGGAAATAGGTAATTTTAAATGGTATGAAATTAGCTTTAGGAATTTATATTGAACATTGTTAAACAGTTTATAAGCCGAAATTTTGACTTAATATAAATGATCCAAACTCAGAGTTAGACCTAATAAGGGAGCAATAGAGCATTTTGAATGCATGCAAATTTTAAAATTCTCTGGTATTCTTTAAAATGAAACCTAGCATTTTAAATGGTTTATTTATTTTTTTAACCATATTAGTGTTAAAAGAGAAAAATAAATTACAGGTAAAGAGAATACCCAAATCTATAACCGAATCCACTCGATTAATCATAATATTATTAATATTTACTGGTAATAAATTTTTGTAACACCATGTGATGAAAAGGTTTATAGTTTAGCATGTGACTGTTATATTTTAAATATTTATTTATATTTTTATTGTTTCAGATTTGGCATGGCCAGTAGTAAGACCAAACTACAGTCACAGGTAAGAGTAGTGGATAGTTAAATTAAATATCTAATGATTCATCCTCAAATCCCTATAGTATTACTAAAATACAATCATCTCGATATTGATTGATACCCATAAAATAGAATATTGGCTGTTAAAATAAAGCATCATTTTCTATTATTTTTCATTTTAATTAATTATTTAGTTAAATAGAATATTAACTGAATTAATAACCGTATTATATACATTATATCTTGTTAATCACCAATTATAGACCAATTTCAATTCTAGGACATATTTCTATAAGCTAAGTCTTGGACTCAATTCAGTCTTCGGTTAACTCAATTTT